TCTCCTGATACTTTACCATGTTCTGTGACCTGATACTATAGGAGCAATTGATACAGTAACACAATTAGGTAAATGGCTAGTTAAAATTTGTGGCTGATCATACACAAAATCCCTGTACTATAGTACAGGGACTTTTGTCCAATTATGGAGCAACTTTAAAAAATCATAGAAAATCCAAACTTGATCGGAATCAGCTCAATCTCTCTACACTGCATAAGTACATGTATATGCATCAGAAAATGTAATAAAATTAAGGAATTTTCTACTTGTCAATTTTTGTGAAATTTTACAAAAATCCCTGTACTATAGTACAGGGACTTTTGTCCGATTTTTGAGCAACTTTAAAAAATCATAGAAAATCCAAACTTGATTGGAATCAGCTCAAACTTTCTATACAGCATAAGTATATGTATATGCATCAGGAAATGTAATAAAATTGAGGAATTTTTTACTTGTCAATTTTTGTGAAATTTGACAAAAATCCCTGTACTAAAGTACAGAGACTTTTGTCTGATTTTTTAGCAACTTTAAAAAATCATAGAAAATCCAAACTTGATCGGAATCTGCTCAATCTCTCTACACTGCATAAGTACATATATATGCATCAGAAAATGTAATAAAATTGAGGAATTTTCTACTTGTCAATTTTTGTGAAATTTTACAAAAATCCCTATACTATAGTACAGGGACTTTTGTCCGATTTTTGAGCAACTTTAAAAAATCATAGAAAATCCAAACTTAATTGGCATCAGCTCAAACTTTCTATACAGCATAAGTATATGTATATGCATCAGAAAATGTAATAAAATTGATACATTTTCTATTTGTAAATTTTTGTCAAATTTTTGAAAAATCCCTGTACTATAGTACAGGGACTTTTGTCCAATTTTTGAGCAACTTTAAAAAATCATAGAAAATCCAAACTTAATCGGAATCTGATCAATCTCTCTACACGGCATAAATACATGTATATGCATCAGTAAATGTAATAAAATTGAGGAATTTTTTACTTGTCACTTTTTGGGAAATTTTTGAAAATTCCCTATACTATAGTACAGGGACTTTTGTCCAATTTTTGAGCAACTTTAAAAAATCATAGAAAATCCAAACTTGATTGGAATGTGCTCAATCCCTCTATACTGCATAAGTACATGTATATGCATCAGAAAATGTAATAAAATTGAGGAATTTTCTACTTGTCAATTTTTGTGAAATTTTTGAAAAATCTCTGTGCTATAGTACAGGGACTTTTGTCCAATTTTGAAGCAAATTTTAAAAATCATAAAAAAATCCAAACTTGATCGAAATCAGCTCAAACTTTCTACGCAACATAAGTACATGTATATGCATCAGGAAATGTAATAAAATTGATGAATTTTCTACTTGTCAATTTTTGTGAAATTTTTGAAAAATCCCTGTTATGGTACAGGGACTTTTGTCTGATTTTGAAACGAATTAAAACAATCATAAAAAATCCAAACTTAATTGAAATCAGCTCAAACTTTCTACGCAACACAAGTACATGTATATGCATCAGGAAATGTGATAAAATCAAGGAATTTTTTACTTGACAGTTTTTGTGAAATTTTACAAAAATCCCTGTACTATAGTACAGGGACTTTTGTCCAATTTTTGAGCAACTTTAAAAAATCATAGAAAATCCAAACTTGATTGGAATATGCTCAATCCCTCTACACTGCATAAGTACATGTATATGCATCAGAAAATGTAATAAAATTGAGGAATTTTCTACTTGTCAACTTTTGTGAAATTTTTGAAAAATCTCTGTACTATAGTACAGGGACTTTTGTCCAATTTTGAAGCGAATTAAAAAAATCATAAAAAATCCAAACTTGATCGAAATCAGTTCAAACTTTCTACGCAACACAAGTACATGTATATGCATCAGGAAATGTGATAAAATCAAGGAATTTTCTACTTGACAGTTTTTGTGAAATTTTACAAAAATCCCTGTACTATAGTACAGGGACTTTTGTCCGATTTTTTAGCAACTTTAAAAAATCATAGAAAATTCAAACTTGATTGGAATCTGCTCAATCTCTCTACACTGCATAAGTACATGTATATGCATCAGGAAATGTAATAAAATTGAGGAATTTTCTATTTGCCAATTTTTGTGAAATTTTACAAAAATCCCTGTACTATAGTACAGGGACTTTTCTCCGATTTTGAAGCAAATTTAAAAAATCATAAAAAATCCAAACTTGATTGAAATCAGCTTAAACTTTATATACAGCATAAGTACATGTATATGCATCAGGAAATGTAATAACATTGAGGAATTTTCTACTTGTCAATTTTTGTGAAATTTTATGTACTATAGACAGGGACTTTTCTCCAATTTTGAAGCAAATTAAAAAAATCATTAAAAATCCAAACTTGATCGGAATGAGCTTAAACTTCTACACAGCATAAGGACATCAATATGTATCAGAAAATAGTTGTTGCCTTCACCCACGTCATAGGCGTATACTAGGGAGCATCACCTTGTAGTTAGGCCTGTGTTTATACACTGGTGCCTTTTGTGGGTTGCCAACTTGTCAAACGACATCAAAGCAATAATAACATTCATGAACAAAATGGTGTTCATCAGGATAGAAATTTCTACTATTGCACAAGATAAGGACATCAGAAAATGTAATAGAAATTAACTTTTAAAGCAAAACTTGATTGCTTGTATGACCTTCAATTTTATCATGAACAAGTGATAATAAAATCATTTAAAATAATAACAACAATAATAGTAATAATAATAATAATAATAATAATAATAATATGAGAGTTTTGAATACACAACAACTGATAAAACTAATAATAATAAAGTTTGACGACAACAGAAACATAAGAAAGATAAATAGAAAAGGATAAACTGCTGCTGTAACATTTAACTATTTATACCGAAACAGCAGAAATTAATTAACACAGAAGAAGAACAACAACAATAACAATAACAATAATAATAATAATAATAATAATAATAATAATAATATGTTAATGATGAAATGGCTATTGAGACTGGGGAGGATCTAGTAAAATTGAATAAATTAAATATAATACTTCATTCGATTGACTAACAGTGTTCACTACAACCACTGTTAGGTCTAAACACTTACTTGTATCGGAGTCATTGCTTCTAACAAACTCAATCTGTCTCATACCAATACCACCGGGACCAGGCACTGTACCATAATTAGCCGCACCTCCTCCGACCCCACCAACATCAGTGCTCCTCTGTCTCTGCGTTGATACAGAGTATGTTCTGTTACTAGAGCCACTAGGGGACCCTCTGCCGTGCTGGGCACTAGTGGGTCTCTTATTGAATCTTAAACTATTGGTACGATCCCTTTTAGTATTAACACCAGCTGGAACTAACGAATTACTATATGAGGAAATAATGTGGGAGTGGTTATTAGGTGTGGCCTATACCTAGAGGCTGAAGGTGATTTATTAGAAGGAACAACTTCTCCAGCTTGTAACATTGATAACCATCGGGATCGATCATCATCACTTTTAATTAATAATAATAACTTCTTTTGATCTTGTTCTCCTAATAAATTAATTAATAATCAATGAATAATTAATGAGTATGTACGTACCTGCCACACAAGGTCTTATAAGGTCAGTTTTATCCACATCATCTTTGTGACACTTCATCTGACAGTCTATTCAAGTAAATGTACAATACATTACACGTTACATATTACGGGTACAGCTAAATACTGTCTATAATGTAGAGGTAATGTACTGCATGTGCAGTTGTTGCATGTAATTACGTTTGCATTCCAGTATTCCTCCGCTGAGAAGTGCCAGTGGGAGGGTCTTCCCACACACATCACAAGATGATCGACTGGAGTTCCTGGACTCAACAAAATGATGACCACGAACATGGACCTCTCCTTCCTGTTATTAACAGTTATTAATTGTTATTGATAGGTATTAACTCACTACTGGTGGGTGGGCTATTATAGATTGTTCAGATTGTTGGTCCACATAAGCTACTTGGAGCACTCTCTTGGAGTCATTTGGTTTGATCCTCACTCTCTCGTGCTCCCCTTGAGTTAGGCTCCGTACACTGTAGACCTGGGACAGCTCTAGAGTGAATGAAGGAGGTATGTCTGTTCCCATGTCCTCTGGTCTATCGTATATCAGCAGTTTCTTATTCGTGAATGACAACACTAAGAACTAAGAGACAGAGACATGTCGTAATGTACACATGTTCTTACGACGTCCTTCCATCCGTTCTTTCTTGCATTGTTTCCTTTGGGTACTTGAACCAACAGAGTCTCACGCTGATCTGTGTATTTAATAACTATTAATAACTACTTATGACCACTAGTCCTTACAAATGGCTGATGCTCCATCATGTGTTTCAGTAGAAGGTCCATTCGACACATAGCTACCAATCCCCTGTTGGAGTTGCTGCAGTTTTCCTTCACTGGTGTGGAGCTGGTGCTGTAGCTCAAGTCTCATTTGAGTCTCTTCTTGAATTTGCTATTAAACACAACATTAACATACTTGTACATTACATAGTATTTATATATTATGAATGTTAAATAATCTAATTCTTACTCTTTGTATTTCTTCCAGCTGTTGCTGATATTTTTCAACGACACGTTTATATTTCTGAGTTTCTTGTTGCAGTTCTCCTCTCAACTTTCTAATCTCTCTCTCGTGAGCTCTTCTTGGCTCGGGCTTCTTAACATTACTACTGATTAATAAATAATTAATTAATTAACTACTTAATTAATTAATTTCTTACGGCAATGATTTTCTTTCCAGCATTATTCTTGTTAGTTTATTAATTGCTTCCTTCTTCATCATCTTTTCCGTCTCAAGTTGTTTTGACATTTTCTTTATTTCGTCATCTCTAGTTTCATCAAACGTTTGATAATCATCCAAACCTATTACCAGTAAATTATTAGTATATTATTAGTATATTATCAGTATACTACTCATACGTATTAAGGCTCTTTTTAGGTTATCTTGTAGCTGTTCATTCTCTAGGTTCTTTTGGTTCAGTTTGTTCTCCATTATAATCAATTGGTCTTTCATCTGTACAGTGGATCACGTGACTGACTGGTCACCTGATATCTACATACCTTTGAGCTCCAGGCCATTCTCTCCGTTACTTCAGTTTTGTGTCTGGCTATTATTTCTTTGATGTCCAGTTCTATCATCATCTTTTCCCTCTCAAAATCAGCTAGTTTAGCCTCAGCAGCTGCTTTGATTTGTGTAACGTTTTCCAGTTTTGAGTTTAGCTCTGAATTCTCAGATTTCAGACGAGTACTAAATTAAATTGTTATCATTTTATGCCCCAACCCCTTAGACATGGCCTTACATTTCTTTCTCGTTGACTCCAGCTTCTCCCATATTGTTTATTCTTCCACGTAGTGAGTTCTAATTAAAGCCCACCATTAAACTGATACAGTACAGGTATCCTTACCGTTAGTTTTCTCTCTTGTTCAAGTTCTTCAAGTGTTTCCTTTAATGAAGCATCAGCTGCCTTCCCTTCACTGCACAAAAAAAAACAGAAAGTACGTGTAAATTATAAACATACAAGTAAATGTATACAATAGCAAGTACATGTATACCTCTTTAATCTGTAAATTGTATCTTCCATTTTCTGTTTCTCGTTCTTCAGTTCTTGCAGCTGAGCTCTAATGTCTTGTTCTCTTCCAGCCAATCGATCAGTCAATTCTTTTTGTTGTTTCTTAGCCTCTGCCTCCTCTCTCTCTCTCAGTCTCTTCTCTTGTCGGAGAGACTCTTCAAGGTCGTGTATCTGCTGCTTCAGATCAGAGACTTCTTCGTTTGTTTGTTTCAAGTCTAATCTAAGAAAAGAGGTTTGATGCTCGAGGTCGCTGGCTGTTCTCTCTGCCGTCTGTCTTGCTGATACTTCAGAGTCCAACTGGGACCTTAGCTGAGACACACTCTCCTCAACACTCGTTGATGTGGATTTGAACTGAACTGACAGTTGCTATGGAAACACATGTACACATCAGACAATATGTACATGTACATGTACCTCGTGTGACTTGGACATTTGATCGTAACGTTGCTGCAACGACTTTAAATTCAACTCAAGGGAAGTTTTGTCCTTCTCTGATTCCGCTTGAGATCTCTTGATTCGCTGATTCTCATCACTGATCTCACTTAAACGTGACTTCAATGATGATATTGACTGGTTCTGAGTTTCAGATAATTCTAAATACAAAAAATAAATAAATAAATAAATTAATAAATGTACTGTATTAGTGTATTTGTTATGTACTTTTAAGTTCTTCATTGCTGGTCTTCAGTTTAGCTGTTAGTTTGTGTTGTTTCTCCAGTTCATCTTGTACAGTTATCATGTCAGAGTCTATTCTGTCCCTCTCCACTGATAGCTCTTTACTCCTGGACTCAAGATGATCTATCACACTCTCCTTCACTAACAATTCCTAATATAATACAAGTTACAGTCACTGTCCATTCACATAAACCAGTTTGCCAAACCTGTTTCAGTTTCTGAGTGGCTTCTTTCAAACTTGCAGAGTTCTGAAACTCAGATTTCAGTTCACATTTCAACTGTTCAATTTCAGTTAAGAGTTTAGATGGAGACTCCGCCCCCTTTAATTGACTCTCTGCTTCGTTAATACGAGCCCGTAGCTATTAACAAGTTAACAAATAGTTATTCATACATGCAGTTATTAATTACTTGACTGATAGTTTCTTCATTTTCTTCACATTTTCTTGTCAGTTCTTTCATGTCAATACGAGACAGACCCAAGTCTTTCTCCGACTGGTTATATTTCTGTGTTACCTTAAGAATACAAACACGTACATTAATTGTTATTATTATCATCATTACTTGGTTTAAAGATGCCTGAACCTCTCTATTTTCCTTCTCCATTCTTTGAAGCTTTTCTTCAGTTTTTCTAATTAAAGAGCACCACCACATTAAACAGTACCAGTACAATGAGCCCCACCTTAAGCCCCGCCCCTTAAACCAAACCCCTTTACTTTATATGGGTTTCAAGGTCTTCCTTTTGTTTGGTCAATAGCGTCAATTGTTCTTCAATTTCTTTTGATGGTTTGATGGGTGTGGCCTCAACACTGCTCACCTGCTCCCTCTCTCCCTCTAATATACTAAACACAATAAATAAATACATGTAACCACACCCCCTGCCAAACCCACTTTGAATCTTTAACAAAAGTAAAACCGACAAAAGGAAGATGGTTGCCTTGAAATTCCTAACAATAATAATAATGATGATGATGATACTGATGATGCTAACAATGTGGATACATGAGTAGACAGATGATATTCAGTGTATACATGTACATGTACGTGTCCAGTGATTGACAGCTGGTCACAATCATTCCTTTGGAATTTAAGACATTTGATACTTATTCTAATTAATGCCCAACAACATTCACAAATTAAATATTAATCAAGCAGTTAATTAGTTATTCTAATTAAAGCACACTCTAATTAATGCCCACCATTGGTTGTGAAAATGCTTGGGGTTGAGTGCTAGTGTCCTCAATGTCATCAAAGTAAGCCGTATCAATCTCTGACTTGAGTTCAGGGACAACGTAAGCTACAGTTGACCTGATGTTCTCCCAGTTCCACTGGTCAGTGACAAAGAATGGATGAGCCTTCACTTCTTCCACTCCATTAAGACCCAGCCTGTTTGAACTGGAGGAAGAATGAGCACATGAACCTCATTCTAACTCACGCGTCCTCAAGGAAATGGACTATTATATTCTTTGCATTAGCTGATAGTTGGACATCAGTGAACTGTAACGTGTTCTTATGGTTCATTATATTGCCTAGTGTAAGGACAATAAACAAACAAACAAACAACAAACAACATACTGTACGTTCCAATGAGAGAGTCGGAATAAAATGGGAGGTCTCCACAGAGCATTTCAAACATGACCACACCCACCGACCACCAATCACACTCCTTCCCATAGTACCCATCCCCTCCCTGGGACTTGAGCACTTCAGGAGAAATATAGTCTGGAGTACCCACTGCTGTCTCACATCGGACCTTACCATTCTACAGGACACAAAATAACAAGTACTGTACTTTATATTCCCAGACTGGTTTTCATTGGCAACCAAATTCCAGCTGGAGGACAGTTTACCTTGTCTACCTTCATGCAAGTACCAAAGTCTGCTAGTTTCAAGTGACCTCTTCCATCCAGTAACATGTTCTCTGGTTTGACGTCACGATGAACGTACCCCATACTGTGGACTGCCTCTAGGGCCAGGACTAGCTCTGCTATATAAAACTGGGCCCATTCCTCAGGTATCTCATACCTCTCCATTAGAGAGACAATATTACCACCTGATAACAAGTACATGCATGTAATGTATCCACACACTGACCTGGCATGTAGTCCATTACCATATATAGATTGGAACTGTCTTGAAATGCATAATGTAACTAATAATGATGATGATGATGATGATGATGATGATGATGATAATATACTTGTACAATCCATTCAGATGTGGTATGAGCCATGATGTCTCTCTCTTCCCAAAAGAAAGCTGTATCCGACCTCCTTATCTATATCCATGGGTAGATGTAGAGTATGTCCATATTAAGAATGTTAAAGTACATGAACACATAATTCCCTACCATTTCAAACTTGCTGAGTATTTTCATTGCAAATATTTTCTTAGTTTCTTTCATTCGAACCAAATGAACTTCACCAAAAGCACCACGACCAATAACTTTGATCAACTGAAAGTCGTGAGACGACAAACGATTGTTTGATATAACAGGAACGACTCCTTCATCTGGTAAACGATAAACAAACAAATCATCATTTAATGGAAAAACCAACATTTGCATACATATTTTAAACAAACAGGTTCATATTAAATCATGTTTTACATAAACAAATAATTATTATTGAGTCTATGGGTTAACAGCTGATTAGAATTCAATATTACATTACAATCCAATAATTAGATAAACTATGGAACATTAAATCATTATGATCTTATGTATTGTAAGCAAGTAATCACTAGCTCCACCCACTACAGCCACACCCATTATATATGGACTGACAAACAAGTTGCTCTGTTATTAAAATAGTGTCCCAAACAAAGTGAGATACATAATAATAACAAATTAGAGAGAGAGAGGAGGAGGAGGAAACTTACATCTTCTCCTGAACGTGTCAAGGTTCTTATTTCTGTGTAAAGTTGGATAGTTACAATCACTATAAACTGCCACAACAGCATCCTGAGATAATACAATAACAAAATGGATGAGTATCAACATGGTACGATAGAGTTGTCCCGATTCCCTGGCCCTCCTAATGATCAGTTAATGCACTTACCAGTAATCCTTCAACATGTAGCAATCCTTTATTGTCGGTGAGTGACCCTAACAGAGTTTTATGTCTTGCCTTTAAAGAGGAGTGTTCAGTGGCCATTCCCTATCCTCTCCTAGTTCGATACAACATCGATAAACTATTAGACAGTCTCCGTCTGACCTGTTCGTAGTCACAGAGGTATAATGGAGGCAAATGAATAGTTTTGAGTTTGTTTTCTTCTTGTGTTATGTTCCTCTACCTTTCACCGTCTCTCCCTCACACTGTAAAATTGTAATTTGTAAAGAATACGTCACTAATGACATCACCTCATGAATATTTAATTAGAAACGTGGGTGTGGCTTAGCTAGAACCACACCTATTAGACTAGCTATAAATTTCATTTTTGCTGTTCACTTCCTTTACAATCAGCTTACAGGCAATCAAGGAAGGAACTAGGATGCACTACAGTAGTGTTGTACTGTTATCTTTTCTGGCTATATATGGTATCAGTGCAGATAAGGACCGAGTCCAATGCAGTAAGTACAACAGACCAGCAGCAGTTGAGGAGAGGGCCAGTAGTAGCCTCATCTTATCAGCAATTGAATGAGTCCAGTACAAGGTCCAGTAGAAAGCTAAATCCATTGATTTGTATTTGATGTTGAATATCAGTTATGGTACTACTGCTCCTAGCTCCTGTATGCTGTGCATGCAACTGTGGTTTAGCCTTTGCTTTCAACTGAGGCTCAATGATAATCCCCTCCTTGTATAAACTACATGTTTTTGTAATGTTATTTCCTGTTGAGAATCCCCTCACCACATAATGACAGAATCCATTACAATAACTATACCCATCTATGTAGTAGACAGTTATTGTTTTGTGATATGCATCACTCACTGTTTGTAATGAAAACATTGTTTCATAAATATTCCTTTATTGTTTTATCTACTATCACAGCTCCTACTCTCAATTCTTCAATTGTTTCAACCTGCAATATAACTTCAAATCAAGACGTGATCCTGAACTGCAGTGCACCCGGTTCATTCTGGTACCAGAATGGATCTGTAGCTCAAGTCTGCTCTCAGTCAGTATGTAAACTATCATCTGCTTCTATTGAACACTCTGGCTTATATTACTGCACTGATAATGTTAGCAAGTACTTTGTTAATATCAAAGTGTTAGGTACATGCATACACTAATTATTATTAAGATGATTGTATTTCATTTGTAGGTAGTCCCCCAGAGTTTGTTCCTATAGGTGATACTCCAGTTCAGTGTCACCCGACATACTGTGAATATGAAAGATTGGCAGAATATATTGATACTCCAGTCATGAACTTCTCAGTTAAAGTAGGTTACATCATATCATCATGATACAGCAAGCACTGTCTCTCCTCTTAGGTGATTGGTACTCCTCCTTTTACTGTTAAATGGGTAAATTGGCCTAACAATCAAACTAACGGAGTGAATCCTTGTAATAATCATGATCCATGTTCAAACGAGACCAATAATGACACCTACTTGTTTGTAAGTTACAATGCTCACACTATCCTTCCTATATACCAGTGACTATGTATCTTGTAGACTCATTTATTTTATAATCCACAATACCAAATGTCTGGATACATGTATGCTATTGTGTCCAATCATTATGGATCTAATATTTCAAGAATTTATTATGACATTCAATGTAAGTTTTAATAGCAAATTGAACATTAATTAATTATTAATAGGTAAAAAACCAAGTACTACATCACAAAAAGAACCTAGTGCTAACACACTGGTACCAGTTTCTAAAGGTCACAGTGTTGATGTTAATTGTTCAATGAAGTCCAACATGTTAACAAGAATAGGGATGTGTTACTTCAGACCTGATGACAATACCAACAATATAAATGGAATAATTACAAATGAGCGATTGTTTAATGAGAGCTGTGCATTGTGTACCCCATCAAGTAATGAGCCTGAATGTGAATTCAGTTTCATTAATGAACAAAATTGGACCGTGACGACAAAAACTGAAAGGGATCAAAACAATTGCTATGACCTTCATATTATCAATGTTCACATACCTCAGTATCAACACAATGATTCAGAACTGAGATTTCAGTGCTTGTATCAGGACAATGATGCCGCTGATCGAAAACTATTCGAGTATTGGATTGGATTTTATGAAAAATCATCACCTCCTTCCAAGGAATCCAGTTCAAGGTGGTACCTTTGGCTTACCACACTAACAGTTGTACTGCCATTGATAATAGTGGTGACTGTAGTGATATACTGTGCAAGAAAGAGGAGAAGGAGATTACATAAATCATCAAAAACAATTCAAGAAGAATACAGCAGCTGCAGTTCAGATAATGGTAATAATAATAATAAATTAATAATAATTAAATATTATTTTATATTTTCAGACGATGAGACTGGAACTATTAATCAATACCCTCCTAGTATTTATGGTAAATGTTAATTATTATTATTTATTGATTTATTGATATCAATTAGGTTCGATTGAGGCGTTAGATCCAGTAAAAAATTCAAATGAAATAGACGTTTGACTGAAATTTTGTATTGCTTTTTATTATTTTTTACAAATAAAATATTTAATGCAAAATACAAACTGTCACCTGTTTCAAGGTGAAACTGCCACCAACTTGTGGCTCAATGTTTAAGCAAAAACCTCACCCACCCACGTGGAGCTGATAATTATCGTAAAAATTGCCATCCTCTTTAAAATGACTTAATTAAAAGGATCGATTTATAAAATCACTGTTTCTGACAGACATCAAAAGCCAAATGAGAACACAATAAATAATTATTATTTCCTGTAATGTTTTATGTGGTAATCATCATCTCTATGGTAATGATGATACCTTCTCTCCCTCCATCTTTCTCTGCTGCTACTCCTCTCCCTACTCCAGCTCCTCCTGTCTCTACTGTTGCTTCTGGCTTCTCTCTTCCGACTCTTTCTTTCCGTTTTATGTCGACCACTTCTTTCATGATGACGAGACTTCATTCTTCTGCTCTTATCATTTTTATGAACCTCATGATATCTCGAAGATTCATCTTCACTATCTGATGACAGTTTAATTGGGCTAATGATGGGCTTAGAGCTAGCTTTGGTGTCATGATTGTCTAACTTTGACCTTTTCTCTTGAGTAGAGGACAAAGGAGGTGTGGCTGATAAAGGTCGCTTGTGTCCATTCAATGGCTTAAGCTCATTACTGGTAGTGGGGGGTGGAGCTTCCTCTTTATCACTTCTCGAAACAGTCAACTGACTCATTCTAGTTATTAATAGTTATTGATAGTTATTAATAGTTACTAACTCTTTTGGGCTTTTCTCTTGTGAATCTTGTGACATTACACCAAGATGAGCTGGAGACACTGGTCAATTAATAATAATAAATAATAATGAATCATTTTAACAATGAATACCTGTTTGTGATGATGGAGTCATTTCTTTGTTGCTATCTTTCTTTGACTAAAAATAAGTAAAAACAGATTAAATTTACAGCAGATTATACATACTATCAGCAATTGCTGAAGTTGATCAACTTGTTTCTCAAGTTCTTGTAACTTCTTTATTTCTCTTTGATACAAAGCAATCAACTCTAAACTAATAGTCTAACACAATACAACAATTATTATTATTATTATTATTATTATCAATGATAATCAAGTACTTTCATATCAGTGTAGTTGACATCAAATAGTTCCCACCAAGGAGGCTGTAATGGAAGTGCTATCTATAACAAACAACAAACAATCAGTAAAATAAACAACAACAAACAAACAAACAAACCTTTAAATGTCCTGTAGCAATGTATATACATGAACAAGCTATGGTCTGTACATTGTATCTCAGGAATATGTTGGTTCTTAAACTGTCGTTCATGTAATTCCTACACAGAAACACTCATTGATGATGCTTACTAATCAACTTACCATGCTTTCTGAATCAATGGCGTGTTCTTTTCTAATTCGAGTATTTGAAGGCACGAAATAATCAACTAACAAGACAATGAATAAATTAATGATTCCGTTAATTAATATTAATTACTTTGTGTGGGTGTTGAACGTGAACACAGAAACCCAACTCCTAATAAAAGTTAATTAATAAAATGGGAGCAGCAACAACAAGTACCTTGAGAATGTATCGCTCGTGTTTGATGATGAGGTTTCTCAGTCTAAAATATTCTTCACCGACATAGTCCATGACGACTGGAGGGCTGAGGGTGAAAGTACAATGTACATAATAATAATGGAAGAGAGAGAGAGAGAGAGGGGATGAGCTCAAGGTTGAATGGAGAACCTCATTTAAAATACATTAACAATAATACTACCACTAGTATATGGAGGAGTGGTTCCATCTTTTATACATAGTCAAGAAGAAAAAGAGAGAAGACAAGAGACAAAATGAAATAGTCTTACCACAAGAATTGATGAGACAACCTGCCACAAAAACATTACTAGCCATAAACTACAGATGGCCATTCTGTACTGTGACAGTGAGAAGATATGGACAATAAATAGTGATCAGTAATTAATTAAGCCACACCCACAATATAATACATATCCCATTCTAAATAAAGCCCACCCAATCAACCAAGAGCCATTAGTCCCTACCTGCCCTGTCTCTTGTTCCTGAGGTGATGGAAGACATTAATGACATCTCTCAGTCTCCTACTGCTCTCCTCTAGTTTAGCTGCCAGAAACAGACAGGCCATCATGGTATACTAATAATATACAATTAATGGTCTCTCCCTCTTTATGTCTGGACTTGACTTACGTAACATTTAAACTTGACAAACGACTTCGCATAATAGAATCTATGATACAATATCTGAGCAGTTGCCATAGCAACCTAAGTGTAATGGGTTATAGTCAAGAGGAGGTGGGAGTGTTAAACTGACCTGAGGTAACTTCAACAGAATGCCAGCAGACTGGATGTAATGACAGCCTGTTACTCTCATGTCTATCTCAAGATCACGTGACATACCATCCTTCCTTGAAGGAGTGTTTATCAATCTCTCCTTAGGCACCAGAAGATTGGACGACGATAAATAAATTCTATCAAACACTTTGACTGGATCCATTGACAATAAATACCCTAGGAAGAATAGAATAGGAAGAATAGGAGACACCTACATACCAAGAGAGAGAGAGAGAGACTGAGGGAGAAAGGATAACCACCAAAAGTGGGAGGAGTCTTAAAAGTGGAGGTGGTTTGTTTTGTGAGCATGCTCAGTACAGTCAGTAGGAAATTAATAACTAGTCACACCCACTAAAGGAGGTGTGGCCGTGGCTAACAGCAGCAACCCAATGAGCAGCATGAGCAGTGACAGGAGCAAGTCTTATTACAACAGGAGGAGAGGAACCAGTCCGTTGGTCAGCACTGGAGTCAGAAGTAGACTGGAGTATAACTCACCTCCTCAGCAACTCTTACGAGCTGGTTCTTTTAGGGGCCATACTCCAGTTACCAATAGGTCTCCATTGTCTCTTGTTAATTACCACATGTCAAGACAAGATCCTTCCTTCATTGACAGTTCCTCAATGGCTGAGCCTAACCTCAATAAGGAATCAATGGTCATGTCTTCCCTGGCTCGCTCTACGGTTCGTTCCTTTAGAGACAAGAGGACCAGTATTGTTGAATTGGCATTGAAAGGACAAAGAGGAGGAGGAGGAGGAGGAGGTCATTCCCACTACAGCACAGCAACAAGACTAATCAACCAGTCAAGGATACAAGAGACTCCACGAGTAGTTCCTGACACCACTTCACATGAAAAGTAAAGTATCATTTCACCTTTCAACACATTCCCTGATACATATACATGTTCTTATGTTGTGTAGAAAGTTTGAGCTGATTCCGATCAAATTTGGATTTTTTTACGAATTTTGAAAGTTGCTCTGAAATTGGATAAATTTCCCTGTACTATAGTACATGGTCTTGGGTCAAATTTTCCAAAAAAATGAAAAGTAGAGAATTCTCAATTTTTATAACATTCCCTGATACATATACATGTTTTTATGTTGTGTAGAAAGTTTGAGCTGATTCCGATCAAAATTAGATTTTTTATGAATTTTTAAAGTTGCTCCAATGTCGAAAAAAACCCTGTACTATAGTACATGGTCTCGGGCCAAATTTTGCCAAAAATAAAAAGTAGAGAATTCTTAATTTTTATTATATTTTCTAATAGATTAAATGCACTTTATTTTGTTTAGAGTTGAAATTGAAAGTGAAAGTGTCTGCTCTACACAATCTGTTGTGGCAGCTCTTAAGTCAAAGAGGTACAACTATTAAAGTTTATTATTATTATTATTATTATTATTATTATTATTATTATTATTATTGTTGTTGTTGTTGTTGTTGTTGTTGTTGTTGCAGGAAGAGATGGTGGACAATGGATCATGATTATGTTCAGGCATCACAATTAGTACCTAAGCGACAAAAGTAGTTAATTAATTCATTGTACATGTACATTTGATAATTATTATTTAGGGTGGATTATAAAGGTTTGACCACACCCCCTGTGATTCCATCCAGTGACCAATTGCCATCGTCCAGCCCACTGGCTAAGAAGAGACCTCCTGTCCAACCAGCCACTAGCAGCAGCAAAAGGAATACCTCAAAGTGATTGTTATGCTTTAATTAAATTTATTAATTGATTTTAGGATATTACTCCCTGACCTTGAATTTGATCTAGTTCCTTCAGTGGAAACTACTCTATTTAATGCCCACCCAGAGGAGGAGGATGTAGTGAAGGATAAAGAAGTGATAGACATAAAATTAAAAGTATTTTGAGACTAATTTTGCATCAATTAACTGTGTGGGTGTATTTTATGTAGCGAGAAGCCACAGTTAAATTACAAGATACATTTTTGACAGCAGTGTACCCCTCACCTTCAAGAGATCAGTCAGTAGTTAGGAAGGAGTGTCCCATTCTCTGTGGCACTGGATATGTTCCTAATGTAAGCAATGTGGAGGTGTTACCCTCAATGGGTATACACTGTGGGCTCAGCTGCAGCTACTCATTAGTTTTTATCATTTTAGATAACTTTGTTTTCTGATGATTCTATAACCAAAGACTCAATACTTAAAGACAGGGAGGATTCTGATGAAAGAATAAGAACATTATTAACGTCCAATGATGAGCCAAGTGAATCCACAGTTGACCTCCCTTCCAGCAGGGCCAGCAGTGTTACACACTCGACTAGTAACTCCAATGTACTGACAACCACACAACCTGTTAACACTACTGCCTCAAATACCAGCACTACAATACTTCCAAAAATAACACAGCAACAAAGTAATACTCTGGTAGATTTTTCAGTAAAGGAAGCTTCCAATAACTCAACTAAAACAACTGAAACACAATCCGGCCTGCAGTTAACAGGAACCAATCAATCCGGCCTGCAGTTAACAGGAACCAATCAATCCGGCCTGCAGTTAACAGGAACCAATCAATCCGGCCTGCAGTTGACAGGAACTAATCAATCCGGCCTGCAGTTGACAGGAACCAATCAATCCGGCCTACAGTTAACAGGAACCAATCAATCTGGTCTGCAGTTAACTAGAACCAATCAATCTGGTGTACCGTTAACTAGAACTAATCAATCTGGCCTGCAATTAACTGGAACCAATCAATCTGGCCTGAAGTTAACAGGAACCAATCAATCTGGCATACAGTTATCTGGAACCAATCAATCCGGCCTGCAATTAACTGGAACCAATCAATCCGGCCTGCAATTAACTGGAACCAATCAATCTGGTGTACCATTTACTGGAACCAATCAATCCGGCCTGCAATTAACAGGAACCAATCAATCCGGCCTGCAATTTGCAGGAACCAATCAATCTGGCCTGCAGTTAACTGGAACCAATCAATCTGGTGTACCATTGACTGGAACCAATCAAACTGGCCTGCAGTTAACTGGAACCAATCAATTTGGCCTGCAGTTAACAGGAACCAATCAATCTGGTGTACCATTTACTGGAACCAATCAATCCGGCCTGCAATTAACAGGAACCAATCAATCCGGCCTGCAATTAACAGGAACCAATCAACCTGGCCTGCAGTTAACTGGAACCAATCAAACTGGCCTGCAGTTAACTGGAACCAATCAATCTCGCCTGCAGTTAACAGGAACCAATCAATCTGGTGTACCATTTACTGGAACCAATCAATCCAGCCTGCAATTAACAGGAACCAATCAATCTGGTGTACCATTGACTGGAACCAATCAAACTGGCCTGCAGTTAACTGGAACCAATCAATCTGGCCTGCAGTTAACTGGAACCAATCAATCTGGTGTACCATTGACTGGAACCAATCAAACTGGCCTGCAGTTAACTGGAACCAATCAATCTGGTGTACCCTTTACTGGAACCAATCAATCTGGCCTGCAGTTAACAGGAACCAATCAATCTGGTGTACCCTTTACTGGAACCAATCAATCTGGCCTGCAGTTAACAGGAACCAATCAATCTGGTGTACCATTTCCTGGAACCAATCAATCTGGCCTGCAGTTAACAGGAACCAATCAATCCGGCCTGCAGTTAACAGGAACCAATCAATCTGGCCTGCAGTTAACTGGAACCAATCAATCTGGTGTACCCTTTACTGGAACCAATCAATCCGGCCTGCAATTAACAGGAACCAATCAATCCGGCCTGCAGTTAACTGGAACCAATCAATCTGGTGTACCCTTTACTGGAACCAATCAATCCGGCCTGCAATTAACAGGAACCAATCAATCTGGCCTGCAGTTAACTGGAACCAATCAATCTGGTGTACCATTGACTGGAACCAATCAAACTGGCCTGCAGTTAACTGGAACCAATCAATCTGGCTTGCAGTTAACAGGAATCAATCAATCTGGTGTACCATTTCCTGGAACCAATCAATCTGGCCTGCAGTTAACAGGAACGAATCAATCCGGCCTGCAGTTAACAGGAATCAATCAATCTGGTGTACCATTTCCTGGAACCAATCAATCTGGCCTGCAGTTAACCAGTCAATCTGGACTACAGTTTGGAGTAACCAAATCAACCAATCCGCACTTTGGCACCAATCGAACACCAAATGTTAATTTCAGTATAAGTTCTGCAGTTTCAAGCACCTCACAGCAGGGGTCTATCTTTAGTTTTGGTTCTCAAAGTAAACCAAGTGCAGCTTTTAGTTTTGGATCAGGGCCCACCACTGGGGGTTCTCAACAACAATCAATCTTTAGTTTTGGACAGTCGAATACTGCCCCCTCATTGTTTGGTAACTCTCAGCAAGTACTTCCAGGGACACAAGGAAAGTTCAGCTTTAATGCTGGGGGGTCCCAGACTGGTATTAATTTTGGTAATACTGGTTCTGGACAGCATACAATGCCACCAGGGGATAAAGCCACACCTCAAAAACCATTTCTTTTTGGTGGGCAATCCTCTAATGCTTCTCCATCATTTACATTTAACAGTTCTGCAAGTAGCCCTGCTCTTGGATCATTTTCAGGAGGTGCCAGCGGCACTGGGTTCTCAACTGGCTCTAGCAAAGGACCTAACGCTAGAAGAAGGACTAATAACAGGAGGAGGTGACCTTAATAATTAATTAATTAATTAATATTTTTTGAATTAAAAGTGATCAATTGTTCGAGTATGTAATGCTTTCTTGAGATAGTTTGACAATTGTCTCCACATTACTCCTGTTATTGCTACCATTGCTCCTGATACTATCCAAAATGCATACTGGTTCTATGGTGATACTAATTATAAATAATTAATGATTATAGAGACCATACCTCTTCTAATGATGAGTCAAGATTCATTCCAAAAGCGACGCCCATTAGCCCTCCTAGTGTTAAAGAGAATGTTCCCATTCCCAGTTGAAGACTCATTCTCAACATGATATTCCTTTGACTGTCCAAATTAATTAATACAATGTTTTGACTTTGATCAATTTGTTCTTTCAACCTCTTAACGCGTCCCAGCATGTCTTCTGTCTGTACATGTACCACATACAGTAACTCATTAGTACTTCTTTACTTGCATATAAAATGATTCCAGTATATTGCAAAGCTCTTCCGTGTCATCTTGGTCCCTCTCCTCTCTGCATTGATATACATCACAAGTTATTAATCTGCTCCTCCTCTTACCCGTAGTCAATGTAGTGAGTTAGATAAAAACTAGCCATGTCTTCTTCACAATCTAAAAGGTCACTCAATGTTTCCTGAATATCCTTCACTAAAGAGTTCAGTTCTGATAAGCTGCATAGGATCAGTAATACTGTGCCATTAAACATGAGCTGATACCTGGAGCTGTGGTACATTAGACCATGTAAGGAACCTTTGTCAATGGAGAGCAAGTTTGAGTCCAACAGATCATTGAGCACTCCTGTTATGTAGGACTCTAATCTCTCAAACTTATTCTCTAAAAGTGAGAACTATCATTATTGAAATTAAATTATTGTTTGTAATAAAACAATTATGTTACTGTTTCGGTGAATAAAATTTCAATGACTTTTAATTCGTAAGGCAAACCATCACCAGTGACCTGCAATCTTGCCTTAAGAAATAAATAATTATTAATTAACTAATCATTCAATGTTACTTGAAGCTCAGGTAATAGATCTTTGATACTTTTATGATCTGTTTCCATTAAAATTAACTCATTTGAATTAATTATTGCTTTAATATGCTATAAATTTTAATCAATTATTATTCTCATTATCATACAATTACTTCCAGTCTCAATATGATGCTGTAATTCCTCAGGTATAGAGAAGAAGGAGCTGAGAATCGTATGTCCCGAGGTTGAAGGCCGTACAATGATAACAATTCATTCTTCCTTATCACTTTGTACAACAACACAACAATATAAACAACAACAACAATAATAATAACAAATACCTTCTGATTGGTAATGCCCTGTGATGTCAAATTTTGCCTAAATGAGGTGAATCAGTTAATCAGTGATACAAGATCTATTAATTATCATAAACTGACAATGTAAACGTTTGGTAGTTTTGCTCCTTGACAGTTCAAATGAGAGTCCTTCATTGACGAGGTCAGTCTAATAAAAGACCTTAACGAGTCTTGTCTTAAAACTTTTAAAAGATTTGAAGTTCCTCTCTGCATTCTAACCACCCCTTTCTCACAACACGTGGTTTCTGTATACTTCCGGATATTATTGTTACATTATGTATAATTGTCAAAATTGAACTAAAATTTGCTAAAACTACAACAAAAGAACATGCTAGAATATAAAATCAAACAATAAAGCTGAGAGAGAGGTCAGTTATAGTCTCAGGCAGAATAAGTCGAAGCAGACACGTCTCCTCCTCTCCCAGTCCAATTGGTGTGAATGAATGTACCAGGATTGGACAATAGCTCGTAGGTATGGGCACCAAAGTAGTCCCTTTGGGCCTGTATTAGATTAGCAGGTAGACGCTCAGACCTACCAATAATAATTAACAATAATCAGGAAGACAAGGGGGCGGACCTGTATCCATCAAAGAAGGCAAGGGCACAGCTAAAGGCAGGAGTAGGGACTCCAATCTCAGCCGCCATCCCAATCACTTTCCTCCATGAGACCTACAGAAAGGATGTACAATAACCAGTCACCTAAGACCAATAATGATTACTTGACAGGACAAAATTGCATTTTTAAAGAAATCGTCCATTAGCAGGTTCTGTAGAGAAGGATTCTTATCAAAGGCCTCCTTAATGTTACCAAGGAAACGGCTACATAATAATAATAATAATAATAATAATAATAATAATAATAATAATGATAATAGAGCATCCCTTACCTCCTTATGATGCAGCCTCCCCTCCACATTAAGGCAATGGACCCATAGTTCAGTTCCCAGTTGTAGGTCTTAGCCGCTTCCTTTAACAGCATGAAACCTTGGGCATAGGATATTATTTTTGACGCATACAGAGCCTTCAAAGAGGGACACAACAATACATTATACTATAACTGAGGGCATATTGCACCTGTCTGATCTGCTCAATGTATTCCTTTGTATTTGATTTATACTTTGAGAGGTCAACCGATGGAGCTGGGAATACTTTACTAGCTGCTGTCCTCTCGTCTTTTAGAGAAGAGAGACATCTTGCAAAAACAGACTCACCTGATGGAGGTATAATTATCATTTAATGCATCAATGAATCAGTTAATCTCACCAATCAGTGTCACTGGCATCCCTTTATCAAGAGCAGAAATTGCTGTCCATTTACCAGTTCCTTTTTGACCAGCAGCATCTCTTATCTTTTCAACCAATGGCCCACCATCTTTATCCTACCAACACAAGAGGGTCAATAGTGCTGCTAATTAGTGAGTCTCATTACTTTGAAGGCCATTATTTCTGAGGATATTTCAATCAAAAATGAGTCCAGTTCTCCTTTGTTCCAATCAGCAAACACTTTACTCATCTCATCATTAGATAAACCAAGGCCATTCTTCATCAAGTCATAAGCTTCACAGATCAGCTAGGGGACACTTAATAACTATTAATAACTACTACGACTCATACCTGCATGTCCCCATACTCAATTCCATTGTGGACCATCTTCACGTAATGGCCTGCTCCGTCAGACCCAACCCAATCACAGCAAGGATCACTGCCCACTTTAGCAGATATGGCCTACAGATGCAGCTGGTAATAACAAGCAATGTCTACTGGAGGTGCTACAGACCTGGAATATGTCCTTCACGTGAGGCCAGGCTCCAGCACAACCTCCTGGCATTAGAGAGGGACCATATCTTGCTCCTTCTTCTCCTCCACTCACTCCACAACCAACAAACAAGAACCCTTTGTCAGATAATGTTTTACAACGACGCTAAATAATAACAATAACAACAACAGTAATGATAATTATACTTGACTGTCGGTGTATTCAGAATTCCCTCCATCAATAATAATGTCTCCTTTCTCCAGGAGTGGGACCAGCTGCTCAATGAATGAGTCCACAGCTGAACCAGCTTTCACTAGCATCATCACTCGTCTTGGCTTCTTCAACTTGGCTACCATTTCCTCCAGACTCTTAGCCCCAACTATATTAGTGCCTATGAATAGTAAATAATAGTATCAGATAAACTGATGGGGTTTCAACCACAGGAGCAGACCTTTAGCTTCATTTGCAAGAAACTTGTCAACTTTCTCTGTAGTTCTGTTATAAGCACAGACAACAAATCCATGATCATTCATGTTGAGGATGATATTCTGACCCTAAAAACAAGAGCCAACTCAAGCCACTGGCTACACAACATGCAAAGGTAGACCTACCATAACAGCAAGGCCAATGAGTGCAATATCAGCTCTGCGTGGAGTGAACAAACATAAAACCACTCATTAAGAACATGGACTTACACTGCCTCAGTAGACATGGCTCCTTCTTAGATAATATTGACCTGAGCTTGGAAAGAAACACAGCAAGCAAGCTGGAGCAGCCCTGAAATATGAATTACAAAAGTAGGTGGGGCTAATCCAGTTATAATACTGAGCTAATGCGCATGCCCAGATAGATCAGTTAACTGGTAGGTGTGGCTAGCACAGAATAACTAATAACCAGTCCATAGGTAAAAGTGTTTTCATTTACTCTATTATCTATGGAACAACAAATTATACAGCTACACCTATAGTAGTATGACAAATGGCTGCTTTATTACATTTTCTGATGCGTAGAAAGTTTGAGCTGATTCCGATCAAGATTGGATTTTTTATAATTTTTTAAAGTTGCTCCGAAATTGGACAAAAGTCCCTGTACTATAGTACACGGATTTTTGTAAAATTTTGTCAAAATTGACAAGTGAAGAATTCCTCAATTTTATTACATTTTCTGATGCATATACATGTACTTATGTTGTGTAGAAAGTTTGAGCTGATTCCGATCAAGTTTGGATTTTTTATGATTTGTTAAAGTTGCTCCGAAATTGGACAAAAGTCCCTGTACTATAGTACACGGATTTTTGTAAAATTTTGTCAAAATTGACAAGTGAAGAATTCCTCAATTTTATTACATTTTCTGATGCATATACATGTACTTATGTTGTGTAGAAAGTTTGAGCTGATTCCGATCAAGTTTGGATTTTTTATGATTTTTTAAAGTTGCTCCGAAATTGGACAAAAGTCCCTGTACTATAGTACAGGGATTTTTGTCAAAATTTGCCAAAATTGACAAGTGAAGAATTCCTTAATTTTATTACATTTTCTGATGCATATACCTGTACTTATGTTGTGTAGAAAGTTTGAGCTGATTCCAATCAAGATTGGATTTTTTATGATTTTTTAAAGTTGCTCCGAAATTGGACAAAAGTCCCTGTACTATAGTACAGGGATTTTTGTTAAATTTTGCTAAAATTGACAAGTGAAGAATTCCTCAATTTTATTACATTTTCTGATACACATACCTGTACTTATGTTGTGTAGAAAGTTTGAGCTGATTCCGATCAAGATTGGATTTTTTATGATTTTTTAAAGTTGCTCCGAAATTGGACAAAAGTCCCTGTACTATAGTACAGGGATTTTTGTCAAAATTTGCCAAAATTGACAAGTGAAGAATTCCTCAATTTTATTACATTTTCTGATACACATACCTGTACTTATGTTGTGTAGAAAGTTTGAGCTGATTCCGATCAAGTTTGGATTTTTTATGATTTGTTAAAGTTGCTCCGAAATTGGACAAAAGTCCCTGTACTATAGTACACGGATTTTTGTAAAATTTTGTCAAAATTGACAAGTGAAGAATTCCTCAATTTTATTACATTTTCTGATGCATATACATGTACTTATGTTGTGTAGAAAGTTTGAGCTGATTCCGATCAAGTTTGGATTTTTTATGATTTGTTAAAGTTGCTCCAAAATTGGACAAAAGTACCTGTACTATAGTACAGGGATTTTTGTCAAATTTTGTCAAAAATGACAAGTGAAGAATTCCTTAATGTTATTACATTTTCTGATGCATATACATGTACTTATGTTGTGTAGAAAGTTTGAGCTGATTCCGATCAAGTTTGGATTTTTTATGATTTTTTAAAGTTGCTCCGAAATTGGACAAAAGTCCCTGTACTATAGTACAGGGATTTTTGTCAAAATTTGCCAAAATTGACAAGTGAAGAATTCCTTAATTTTATTACATTTTCTGATGCATATACCTGTACTTATGTTGTGTAGAAAGTTTGAGCTGATTCCGATCAAGATTGGATTTTTTATGATTTTTTAAAGTTGCTCCGAAATTGGACAAAAGTCCCTGTACTATAGTACAGGGATTTTTGTTAAATTTTGCTAAAATTGACAAGTGAAGAATTCCTCAATTTTATTACATTTTCTGGTACACATACATGTACTTATGTTGTGTAGAAAGTTTGAGCTGATTCCGATCAAGTTTGGATTTTTTATGATTTGTTAAAGTTGCTCCGAAATTGGACAAAAGTCCCTGTACTATAGTACACGGATTTTTGTCAAAATTTGCCAAAATTGACAAGTGAAGAATTCCTCAATTTTATTACATTTTCTGATGCATATACATGTACTTATGTTGTGTAGAAAGTTTGAGCTGATTCCGATCAAGATTGGATTTTTTATGATTTTTTAAAGTTGCTCCGAAATTGGACAAAAGTCCCTGTACTATAGTACAGGGATTTTTGTTAAATTTTGCTAAAATTGACAAGTGAAGAATTCCTCAATTTTATTACATTTTCTGATACACATACATGTACTTATGTTGTGTAGAAAGTTTGAGCTGATTCCGATCAAGATTGGATTTTTTATGATTTTTTAAAGTTGCTCCGAAATTGGACAAAAGTCCCTGTACTATAGTACAGGGATTTTTGTTAAATTTTGCTAAAATTGACAAGTGAAGAATTCCTCAATTTTATTACATTTTCTGATACACATACCTGTACTTATGTTGTGTAGAAAGTTTGAGCTGATTCCGATCAAGATTGGATTTTTTATGATTTTTTAAAGTTGCTCCGAAATTGGACAAAAGTCCCTGTACTATAGTACAGGGATTTTTGTTAAATTTTGCTAAAATTGACAAGTGAAGAATTCCTCAATTTTATTACATTTTCTGATACACATACATGTACTTATGTTGTGTAGAAAGTTTGAGCTGATTCCGATCAAGTTTGGATTTTTAATGATTTTTTAAAGTTGCTCCGAAATTGGACAAAAGTCCCTGTACTATAGTACAGGGATTTTTGTTAAATTTTGCTAAAATTGACAAGTGAAGAATTCCTCAATTTTATTACATTTTCTGGTACACATACATGTACTTATGTTGTGTAGAAAGTTTGAGCTGATTCCGATCAAGTTTGGATTTTTTATGATTTGTTAAAGTTGCTCCGAAATTGGACAAAAGTCCCTGTACTATAGTACACGGATTTTTGTCAAATTTTGTCAAAAATGACAAGTGAAGAATTCCTTAATGTTATTACATTTTCTGATGCATATACATGTACTTATGTTGTGTAGAAAGTTTGAGCTGATTCCGATCAAGATTGGATTTTTTATGATTTTTTAAAGTTGCTCCGAAATTGGACAAAAGTCCCTGTACTATAGTACAGGGATTTTTGTTAAATTTTGCTAAAATTGACAAGTGAAGAATTCCTCAATTTTATTACATTTTCTGGTACACATACATGTACTTATGTTGTGTAGAAAGTTTGAGCTGATTCCGATCAAGTTTGGATTTTTTATGATTTTTTAAAGTTGCTCCGAAATTGGACAAAAGTCCCTGTACTATAGTACAGGGATTTTTGTCAAAATTTGCCAAAATTGACAAGTGAAGAATTCCTTAATTTTATTACATTTTCTGATGCATATACCTGTACTTATGTTGTGTAGAAAGTTTGAGCTGATTCCAATCAAGATTGGATTTTTTATGATTTTTTAAAGTTGCTCCGAAATTGGACAAAAGTCCCTGTACTATAGTACAGGGATTTTTGTTAAATTTTGCTAAAATTGACAAGTGAAGAATTCCTCAATTTTATTACATTTTCTGGTACACATACATGTACTTATGTTGTGTAGAAAGTTTGAGCTGATTCCGATCAAGTTTGGATTTTTTATGATTTGTTAAAGTTGCTCCGAAATTGGACAAAAGTCCCTGTACTATAGTACACGGATTTTTGTCAAAATTTGCCAAAATTGACAAGTGAAGAATTCCTCAATTTTATTACATTTTCTGATGCATATACATGTACTTATGTTGTGTAGAAAGTTTGAGCTGATTCCGATCAAGATTGGATTTTTTATGATTTTTTAAAGTTGCTCCGAAATTGGACAAAAGTCCCTGTACTATAGTACAGGGATTTTTGTTAAATTTTGCTAAAATTGACAAGTGAAGAATTCCTCAATTTTATTACATTTTCTGATACACATACATGTACTTATGTTGTGTAGAAAGTTTGAGCTGATTCCGATCAAGTTTGGATTTTTATGATTTTTTAAAGTTGCTCCGAAATTGGACAAAAGTCCCTGTACTATAGTACAGGGATTTTTGTTAAATTTTGCTAAAATTGACAAGTGAAGAGTTCCTTAATTTTATTACATTTTCTGATACACATAAATGTACTTATGATCAGCAAAAGTGAACTATTTAATGTAATAATAATTATTAAAACTGCCCTGCAGAAAAATAAAAAATAAAAACACAGCAAAAACAGCAAATGCAATTAAAACAAAGAGTTTAATTTTTAATATAAATACTGCACTGTATCAAGAGTAGAGGCTCTCTTAGTGTTTCTGTCTTGTCTTAAGCTTTAGCAGGTAAGTCTGCACTGTCACTCTTTCCCCTCATTATCATTATCACCGTGACAACAATTACTGTGACAACAAGTATCACACCCATAATGGCTCCGATAACTGAAGCAGCTATTGTTCCAGCAGGACTCCCTTCATTAGTGTACCTTTGATCAACAGTATAGGAATAGAGGGACTGGCTACATGTACTACTGTCCATTACTGACACTGTGGCCTCTGTATTAATAATAATAATAATAATAATAATAATATAATAATAATAATAATATTAATAGTAAAACTAAGCCATTACCTGCTGCATATACAGGTATCTTCATTGGCGGTTGCCCTTGACAAGATGAATTGGATGCAAAGTAGTAGGTACCAGTAGCAGGTGGAGTATAAGAATATGTTCCAGGTCTATCAAAGAGCAATGTAGCTGTGCTAAAAACACAGCCATCATAACGATTCTAATAATAGTTGATGAATGCTTAATAATTAATAAAATAATAATTACTTTGTTCTCCATTAGATATACATTATCAGGTGATTGAAATTCAAAATTCAATGAATCTCCTTGGAGGATTCTGATAGGCAGGTAGCGTTGTCCCTGACTCCACCCATTCTCTCCTCCCACTTTTATTACATATTGATCTTGACCACACCCACTGGTATCAATGGATGGTATAGACCCATACATTATTCCGCCGGGATAAGTGGGTGTGGTCACATTAAAACCAAGACGACCAGCTTTAGCATAATTGATGACATCATCAGATAAAACATCATCAAAATTAGCTGGATAATAACCCTGGAATTAATTAATTAATTACATATTATTAATATTGTTATATAATTACCATCAATTCTTTTACATTGTCTCTGTTGGGGCTGGTCTGGAAGTTATTACTAGTTATTAAAACTCCTCCTGGACTGGTCAGCATAAACTGTACTGTAGCATCAGGGACATTCATTAACGATATACTAAATAATTAAAATAAATAAATGAAATTGATTAATAAATCAACCGTATTAGACAAGTACCTAAATTGTATTCTTCCAACTCTGTCAATGATAGCAGCTCCAGTTCCAGCTGGTTTCATGTTATTATTAGTATTGTCAGCAAGAGCTGCTCCTGACAACATAAGGCTAATGTATTTACCTAATAAATAATAATAATAATAATAGCAATAGCAATAGCAATAGCAGCTGCACATTACATTGGTTGGTAAGGGCCCCAGTACTAGGGCAGACCCAGTCTCCTATTACTGATACTTGTCCCCTCAGTTCTCCGCTGGGGTTAGCAGTCGTGTGCATGTTCAGGTAGAACAATCCTTCCTTGAAATACCTCAGCTCAGACGCTGATATGTTCTATCAATGAGTTAAAGGTGAAAGTTAATATCCAGAACTATATCCTTTTATGCTTATACAAAAGGTGACCCAATCTTTAAAGCCCTGGATCGCTTTACATGTCAATAACTACAAATTTTTTGCTCAAAATTGGCTCAAACTTTCTACAAAGTATAAGGACTTCAATATGTATCAGAAAATGTAATAAAAATTTGGGGTGATTTTGGAGCCATTTTTTGGAAAAAACCATGGGCTATAGCCTTGGGTATTTTTCAGATTTTTGACGTTTTCTTAAAATGGCAATAACTTGAAAAATTAAAGTCAGAATCAGCTCAAACTTTCTACACAGCATAAGGACATCAATATGTATCAGAAAATGTAATAAAAATTTGGAGTGATTTTTTGACCATTTTTAGGAAAAAACCATGGGCTATAGCCTTGGGTATTTTTCAGATTTTTGGCATTTTCTTAAAACGGCCATAACCTGAAAAATTGAAGTCGGAATCAGCTCAAACTTTCTACACAACATAATTACGTCAATATGCATCAGAAAATGTAATAAAAATTTGGAGTGATTTTTTGGCCATTTTTTGGAAAAAACCATGGGCTATAGCCTTGGGCATTTTTCAGATTTTTGGCGTTTTTCTAAAATGGCCGTAACCTAAAAAACTAAAGTCGGAATCAGCTCAAACTTTCTACACAGCATAAGGACATCAATATGTATCAGAAAATGTAATAAAAATTTGGAGTTAATTTTTGGCCATTTTTTGGAAAAAACCATGGACTATAGCCTTGGGTATTTTTCAGATTTTTGACGTTTTTTTAAAACCACCATAACCTAAAAAATTGAAGTTGGAATCAGCTCAAACTTTCTACACAGCATAAGGACATCAATATGCATCAGAAAATATAATAAAATTTTGGAATGATTTCGGAGCCATTTTTGTAAATCTGCTTTACCTTAAGTACAGTGTTGATGTTCCAGCTGCTCCCATTCTTTCCACTGATCTTAGAACTGAGGTCATAAGGTATTGAACTGGTAGCTAATCCCAAGGGGGCGGGGCCATGAAGATGTGAATTCAATAAAGATGAAGTCAAACCATTTAACTATTAATAATGAAGGGTAACGTTACCATGGTAATAACGTTACCATGGTAATGACATAGATATACGACTGTTAGAGGGATTGGAGACTGGTCACGTGAGCGCATTACTACTACACTCACCATCCGCGTTTGTGTTAAGTATATTCATAGTCACGCCTTTTCTTTGACCTTGTGCTATTTCAATGGAGGAAGAGCAGAACCAACAGTACATTTTTGTGGGACTATTGTATTAGTTTGGAAGCTTAATACAGACAGGTAAGGTATTGAGCAGTTAGGTAAAGGTTTAAAGTAGTTGACTGGGTCCTTTATAAGTGCCTACAGATGTAGATACTGCAACAGTAGAGCCTAAAGGGTATTTTCCACTTGTTGACTTTGTGGGACTGAACCAGCTAACTAGAATCATGAATGGTTGTAAGACTTTCATTAATGGAGAGCTACTATGATGAAATATTTGGCAATGTCAGTTTTAAGTTGATGTAATATTTATTTTGGTATTTATAGGTCTGCAAATGGAAGGATAAAACTGAGGTTTTTGTTTAAAAGAATCATGAATATAGGAGATATGATGCTTCAAAGGCACTTATAGAACACAAATTTTAATTATCTGTCAATATCATTATCTATTGTAGTATTCAATGCTTATTTGTAGGCCTTATAGCATTTGGAGTAGTTTCTTGAAAGGATCATGATAGCTGCCATTGTGAAGGGGTGTGACTTAAGGCAAACACGGATGGTAGGCACTAATTGTGCTAATTGCCAAGAGTCTCCAATCCCTCTAACAGTCGTATATCTATGGTAATGAGCACTTACCGTAACCTGAAGTTTAATGTCTCCGGAAACTGAAATTGACAAAAAGGCGGAGCCAGAACCATTGGTAGCCACACCTACTGGAGGTACTTCAACACCACTGGTTAACATTGACTATAATGATATTCATAGATAAAATATTATTAATTAATCAATATTAATTACTGACTATCATTCCTTCTTCAATACCACAGGATAACTGACCAGCAGAAGTTGATACTGATAGAGTGGACAAACCTAATTAATAATCAATCAATAATCAATTAATATTCATTGCATTAATATTCATTAGTACCAGATGTTAATCTATTCTGTTGGAGGTCGCTGATGTCCATTACTCCAGTCACCATGTTACCATTAGACAAATAAGACATCAAGTCAATTGCTTTTAATAAATATTAATAACTATCAATAACTATTAATAACTTACCTTGTGTAGCTAATCCCATTATATTAATATTGTTAATGTTTGAAACATTAAATAATTGAATATTGAACACAATCCTAAAGTGAATAATTAATTAATGAATTACTATATCTCATACCTGTTACTGGTCAGTGATACAGCTGCAGTACCCCCTCCATTGTTAAGAGTAGACAGCATACACTGTAAGAGGATCACAATATGATTCATTGAGTCTCTTGACTTACCCCAAAGTACCTGCTGTTGGTACAAGGCCGACCAGAAGGTGAAGAGAAGAAGGTAGCAGTAGCCATTGGCCCAGTGAATGGGTTACCAGTGAACCAACCACCACTGGTATACGAACCATACTCACTGCCATAGCGATTATCAGCAGCTCCAGTCTATTAGAGCAACATTACAAATAATAACAACTATTAGTATAAATTTACATTTCCAGCTGGGAGTATTTGTCCAGTGATAGTGGTGGAATCAGCAACAATGTCTATGAAGATGAGTCCATTCTATTGTAAGATAATAAAGAGGCAGCTGCTATTAGACTGTGGTACCTTGAACAGTCTCCTCTCATTATCAGACAGTCCTGACCAGGTCCCTGAGGTCCAGCCCTTCTCCACGTTAACATTACTGAGAGTTGAGATCACTTCCATTCTTTCTGTGGTTGGGTAGTATGAGAACCTTAAGGAGACTCCTCTGCCAGAGCCACTATTAATAATAATAATTTATAATTAACTAATGATCAATTCTTACGTAAAGGGAACTGTCATTGAAATGTTGTATATTAGGTTTGATCCAATCAGGACGAACTGACCAGCTGCTCTTGATGAAGATGTACCGCTCCTTATGGTGGCCTAAAGTATTTCAATAACAATTAATAGCTAATAATCACTATTAACTATTAATAACTATTAAAACCATTACAGTGTATAGTTGGGTTGGGTCGTACGGCCAGTTATACATTACAGCTGGTCTCCTCCTGACACCAGAACAAGAAGTGGAAGTACCTCTGAAATGTAAAGAGATGCATTCATTATTATTATTATTATACAATACCTGACTGTTATTTGTGTTGTTGAATTATACACGTTACAACCATTAGGATACTGACAATAACCATTAGATGTAGCTGCATTGAAATAAATAAATAAATACATAAATTATGGAACCTACTATCAATTTGTCTAAGGACTAGTCTGCAGTTGTTGCTCCTAGTGCATGAGATATTGGGAATATCAACAGTCATGTAATAAGTACTGGACCCTCTTTGGTAGGGGATGTGATCCAGGAATACACACTCAGTGGACCCACGATATATACTGACACGAAATGGAGATCCTAAGAGGGAGAGAGAGAGAGAGGGAGAGGTGCTGCAGGTGGAACAGATTGGGTGTACCTGGTCTGGGGATGGTTTCTCTAAAAGCAATGGAGCGTGGGCCAGGAGTGAGGGAAGTGTATTCACTCTGTGTAGAGAAATAGTTGTACAATTAACTCAAAGTGTCTACACAACATAAATACATGCATCATTCACTGCTCTAAAGAAAAAGCTATCGGCCAGTTCATTATTCAGTAGCTAGACTAGGTAATAATACACTGGGTCCTTTCATACAGGGACAGCACTTACCCCAGTTAGTACAGCTGGACAGATCAGCTCTACCTCTCCCAAAGAGAGGCTCACTAGTAGATGGAAACTCAAACATAAGAACAAGAACTTCTCCATAGTTAAAGAACTGTTGCTGCAAATGCAATAAGGGCGGGGCTCATACACTCCCATATATGGATATTAATGATATTCATTGGTACTAAAAAGGAATATGACACTGTTACTATTTATAGTAACAGTATAAGCAACCAGTGACGTGTAAGGAATGATGATTGCAGAACTAGCATAGCAAGAAATGATAAAACAACTCACATACACATGTACACTGACAGGCAGTTACTGTGTAGGGTATAAAAGGAAAGTTATTGAAGACATTTTTAAACAGAAAAAGATAACAAAGAAAGAGAATAAAGAAATAGCAGCTAAAGAATCAAAGCAGACGAAATGGGTCAGCTAGCCTCAATCCTCTATGATGCAATACAGAACTTTACTACTCCAAGACAAGCAAAGATACTAATGCTTGGACTGGATGGAGCAGGAAAAACAACTCTACTTTACAAACTAAAGCTAAACGAAACTGTGTCCACCATACCAACACTTGGATTCAACGTGGAAACAGTTCAGCCAACTAAGAGTTTGAGTTTCACTGTCTGGGATGTGGGAGGACAGGAAGTACTGAGACCTTTGTGGAGACACTACTTTCAGAACTGTGATGGACTATTGTACATTGTTGATAGTGCAGACTATAAAAGGTTTAATGAAGCCAAAGAAGAACTTGAGTGGATACTAGGTACTAACATTACATGATAAGAATCTGTACTGATATTAATATCTATTTTTAGAATCTGAGGACATGATAAATGTACCGTTAATTGTAATGGCAAATAAGCAAGATCAGCCACAGGCAAAGTCACCAGCAGAAGTATCAGAGAAACTAGGACTGAATAATGTAAAGAACAGGGACTGGAGGGTACAGGGTACCTGCGCTGTTCAAGGAGAAGGAGTGTTTGAAGGAATAACAGAGTTTAGCCAAATGGTGAAAGAATTCATGAATAAACAAAGATGAACTATGCTATAACAATCAATAGAACTATTATCCTTTATGATTCTTGTCTTATTAGTGTTGTAAATTCAAAACTTAGTGCCAAAAGTGGTTATGAATATTAATAACTAGCTAAAGTGTCCAAAAGAATCCTATTAATATACGGGATAAACAACTATTTCCGTATACTAGCTAGAATATAGATCTACGGAGTAAACAAACAGTGACAGTCAAGAAAAGAATGAATGGGTATAATTCAAATAATATGCCAGAGATATCAAACCATTTTGAGGAGGTCAGTGAATAATTTGCTCTTTTTACTTTCTCCAAATTCACAGAATGGGCAGCAAGATCACTTGCTTGATGATGACAGAAAGCTAATACTATTCAACACTTCAAAAAAGGTACTGCACTGTATCCAATGGACCTTACCCTCTATACATTACACAGGAGATGTTCACTCCCAGTACTGGATTCAAGCTAATACACAGCAGGTTGAAGGTTCACTGGACAGTCAGACAGCAGAGGGACGAGATCACTTTTGATAGACTCAAAATGGCTGCTCTCATAATATTTGGTTTGCCGAGAGAAAAGTTCTCACTAGCTGAGGTAGGTTATAAGATCATGGCATCTAGTGTCTCCATTTCCATAGTTCAATGCTCTACGTAGCTACATCAGTAGTGGGGGGTGTGTCCTTCTCTTAATGAGCGAAGGAGGAGAGAAGGAATGTAACATCAACTTTTTACTGGAAGAATTCGGAATATTACTTAATAATGGTGGGTGTGGTCAAGGGTGGGGCTAAAGCTATTGATATTTAATAGATTCAGTAGTGAGGAGTGTTTATCACAAGTTCTTACATCCAAAGGAATCTTTTATAGCAAACGGAATATTAAATAGGTAATTAATATTCATAGTCTAACAATATTATTAATTAATAATGATAGGTCAATAATTAATGCAGCATCAAGTGGATCAGAAGATGTAAATGATTATGAAATGAACAGACACTCGACTGTATTCCAGTAAGAGCACATGCACAACCAGTCAGACATAAACTGTTCACCTTGTACACTTGTACTGTAGGTCAGTCCCATTTGTGTATCCATATGGAGGGACACTGACTGTACAGAAACCAGCAGTGGCAGTGTTATCATCAGGGGCCACTTCTTATCCATTGAACAGACCAATCTGTGCTCTCTGTACTGCTGGGCAGGTAATACACTGAGAGACTGTTACTGCTATTGTATTGCTACTATAGTCTGGTAAACTAGCTGTGGTTGGATCAGCTCAAATGTTTTCTGATAGTTTTATACACAAAGAAAGGAATGAGACAGTAAAGACAATAATATAACATTGTCTTGTAATTAATTAATAATTATAGATATTCAATGTTATAATTCAGTGGCTGACAACTGATGAATTGCAATTGAATCAAATTGATGCTGATGACCCAGAGGTAATCAAACATGTACTGCAATAATCAATGAATCAATTGATAGATTTCTGACTTTCACTTGCAACCTGACATTGGTAAAGCTTCAGAAAAATTAAGGACTTGCTTACAAGAAAGTGACGAGGTACTTTATAATAAGATCATTGTACATGTACAACTGTTTATAGATCCCGTCAGACTTCACATCTTTGTTCCATTCTCAACAATACTCACTAGACACACGACTACTGCCTCAAGTTATCAAGTGAGTCCATGTACACGATGATGTCATTATGATGCCATTTCTACTAACAACAGATCTTACGATAAACTTCACTTGAAACACGAGCCTCTTTCCCTCATCACTCCTCAGTTTGAGACGCCCCTCCCTCCACTACAACCAGCAGTATTCCCTCCTTCCTTCCATGAGCCTCCTCCTCCAGCTCTGGACCTCTTTGATCTTGACGAGTGCTTCTCCTCCGAGAGAGTACGACTATCACAACTTACTAACAAATGTATGGGCTTTAATTAGAATAATGGGCATTAATTAGAATAATGGGCATTAATTAGATATACATGCATGCAGGTACTGAAGACGATTTAGAGTTTTATGTACGAGAGTCAGGGGCCATACTGGGCATCACTAGGGAACTACCTGAGGACTGCCGGACTGCTAAGGATATCGTCAGCTATATAGTGTCTCACATCACTGAATACAAGAAACCAGCACTGGTAATGAATGTATTATTATTATTATTATTATTATTAATTGGCTTTTAGGATCCCCCAGGATTAATATCACCAAGTTAACTAATTAAAAATTTCTCAAACAAATAACTATTACTATTATTATTATTATGTACACAGCAAACATTAATAGTTATTAATTGATGTGATATCGATACTCGTCAAGTAAATACATTGGGACGTATTGCTCCAAACACTATTAATTATAATTAATTAATTAACTAGTGGGTGTGGCTTACTCTTCTAGGTAAGTGACTGTAATGAGCATATTCCTCCATAAAGCAGAGGGCACTGAAAGCATCTCCAGTAATGTCACCTTTATCTTTACTAAAGGAATAAGAGTTTGTACATGAAACTATGAAGCCATGTCTTCTCAATTTTATAACATTCCCTGATAGCTCCTCCTACCTGGTTTCCATCAGTGACTTAATGTACTGTCCTAAGAAGAGGAGACATTGTTCAGAATTGTCCGAATGAAATTGTCTCAATAAAGTGACACAACCGGCAACAAAAGGAGCTCCATCAATTGGATCAACAGGTTTCTTAGCAGTCAATGAGCCTGTCCATACAATTAATAATAATAATAATGAATAACATTAATACCTGTGGTTTTAGTGTATGTGAGACGAGATAACTGAGAAATCACAAACAAGAAATTAATTAATGAGAACTGGTCCATCACGTCAGTAGTGATGTATATCTATGAATATTAATGAGTTAATAACTATTAATAACTAGTAATCAGTACTTTGGACAGTGGATCAGATATTCCAGTTGTTTCAAGGTAGGGAGTCAGCTCTGAGAGAATATCATTGTCCTGTTCATTAACCCCAGGGTAAGGCTTGTCAGGGTCCCTATAATGAGCCTCAACTGCTGACAGTAGGGAGCTATAGGGGAGCGGTTCATTAGGGGGTGTGGCTTCATCTCTTACTTGTTAAAAGTCTCTAAAGCATTCACTAATAGTCTTGAATCAAACTTGCCACACCGGTTTAACTGGTTTGCTATCTGACAGCGAATCAGCTGGAGCTGTCCCACACGAAGGACACAAGCAAGATAAGGATCCCAAACTTTAACGGTTTTCTGAACAAAGAACCCATAGGTCTTCTGAGCCTCAGCTAATAATAATAATAACAACAATAATTATAATAATAATAATAATAATACATAAATACTGTACTTACGAATCAAAGTGAGAGGTGACCGTACAACTTGAGATAATTTCTTAAGTAACATTTGGAATTCTTTCAATTTTAACAAATTTCTAAATGCAAAAACCAACAACTGTATTTATATAATAATTATCAATATAATACCTTTTGAAATACTTTATAAAATATTTTATTTCTTTGACAATCATGAAACAAAACAATCTGTCCAACCCACTCAAACCAAATATATCAACAGCTTTCTATAATAAACAAGAATATACTGAAATACACAAAGATATACTGAGTTACCTCAAGATACTCCCAAAGCCTCAAATTAACAACTTCACCATTCGTCCTCTTATCATACCTAATTAATTGATTGATTAATATTAATTAATTAATTAATTAATTACCAAGTGTTCATTTGGTCTACATAGATTGTTAGTTTGGGGTCGGTTATTCTCAGTATTTCGTGTGCTAGTCGTCCAATGAAATTAACTGATAGCTGATCCACAGGAGGATACTGAGGTATTGGAATGATACGACTTTGATAGACCGACTCCCAATCAAGGACCTATGAATAATTGATTAGAAGGTGTGGTCAATAAATAATTAATTAGGAGGTGTGGCTTACTTTCTTCTCAAGAAAGCTATTGCACTCTTTCTCAACATTGTAATTAATTATTCTTGAAATCTCTTCCTAATTATTAAAATTAAATTATTATTATTAATTAATTATTAAAATTACCTGCCATATCTTCAGTCCATACACGTTCACATAGTCCTGTATATATTCAAAGGATCTCTTGAATCCGTTCATTCTATCAGCAAGACCCACCAGCCTTGGAACAAGCTCACTAGACTATTATAGGTTGGTTGCTAGGATACCATTGTCATGGTAACAGTTACCTTTGCTTTAGGGTTAAAGATGAGTCCGTGATGGAGTGCTCCAGCTACTTGTCTCACAAGCTCTTTACGAATACCGTCCTCCAGTAGCTGCTTAGGGTCTACCTGTATCACAGTAACCACACCCCCTAACTCCACCCCTCACCTTTATCACCCCCACTAGTGTGGTCTTCATCATTAATATTCCTTCAGTGAGGACTGATATGTCATGAGTTAATTTCGCTACCTGTTGTTAATAAAAGGGGTGGAGTCAATGAGTATAAGCTCAACCCACTTTGTATCTGTCATCAAGTTGAGAATATTCTTTCATTTTGTCTTTTTCCAATCGAGTTGGGACCTAAGAAGGTGTGGCCCAGTTATTAATATTAATTAATGGTTATTAATTACCTCTTTAATGTCGTGAGTCAATACTTTAACTATCATGTGTAATATTGAGAACATAGTCTCCGGAATAATCTGTAAAACCTAAAAAATAAACAACAATAAACAACAGTAAACAACAACAGGTTCTCCCATACCTTCCTGACGTAGGTGACGAGTTCCCTTGAGTAGTAAGCACTGACTGACCCAAGGTCATTACTCCTGGCCTGATCTATCCTTTGCAAAGGGAGGCCAAGGGCACTGCTCATCTGTAGTTATTAGTAGTTATTAATAGTTATTAATGGTTATTAATGGTTATTACTTTAAGGAAGGTTGATCTCAGTTTAATGACTAGCTGTGGTTTCTTCTTGATCCCTTCTTGCATGTAGGGAGTGTAACTATTTTTAGTAACATTATAAAGTGGGTGTGGCTCATTCTTACTTATCAATCAGTATCCAGGCATAGGATAGATCAGCAATGATCTCCAACTGAGACAAGTTCTAAAGAGGAGGGGTTGACCACACCCACTGACATACCCACTTACATCTTCCTTTATATTGACAGTTCTTAACATTTTAATGAGATACCCTTTCGTGTCTTCAAGGAACTGTTTCACTTGCATAATGGTCTCCAACTGGTGGAACTCTTGGACCTAACGACAAGCACACATTTATTTACTCATAAATTTATTCATTCATTCATTCATTCATTTTATTTATTCATAAATTTATTCATTTTATTTATTCATTACTGAATGTACCTCATCCACTGCTTGGTGTAAGTGAGTTATCTTCCTTCCTGCAGTGACTGCGTCCTCATAGTTCAGTTGATTAATTTGACTAGCCATCTCGGTAAACCAAGCTTGTAAATGTTCTAAAATATACTCAATATAAGCCACACCTCCAACCACACCTCCTTACCATTCTTCTCCACTCTGGTCAGTGGTTTGGTTCCAGAGAAGACCTCCCCTAGTTCAGCCATTCTCTCACTCGCCTCTTTCTTGTACAGCTCCCACTTGTTCTGTTTCTCTTGCAACAAGTGCTCAAACATCTAATGAACAATAATTGATATTATTTATAATCTCCTCAAATGTATCTTACTTCTTTCATGATGAATTCAAATTGTGAGACGTTTAATAAAAATTGGAACAGCCCCCTGGGGTCGTACCCTGTCTGTACAATCTCCTCTCGTATCATTTTACACTTTTTATTGTGATCAGCAACTGGAATTAAACCACACCCATTAGCCCCACCCCTTGTGTCCCCCTAACCTGGTGCAGTGTGGAGTATTATCCATCGGAGGGTGGCATTAGAGTCCCTTAGAGACCCCATCAGGCGAGAGAGGTTATCAAGAACATACATCTCAGTTAGGGTACCCTCTGTAAGGTACCCCTCCATCTAAAGGTACAGGTCGTACTACATTCTGATACAAGTACTCCACTTACTGCTTTGTTCAGTTTAGGTACTTTAGACAGAAACCTCCGAGCCTACATACAATCAATAAGTACAGTAAGCCCTGCCTCTTGACCACACCCACTGTTAATTACCTGAGCCTGTATGTTCCCGGCCTGCAGTGTATTAGCTAGAGCTGTCCTAGCAGCTTTATATGGCTCCCACTTATCAAGGAGATCAATCGTTATACCCATGTATATACTAATAACCTAATAATAATTAATAATAATAATAATAATAATAATAAATTCCACTCACTGACCCAGTTGTCAGGAAAGTGCTTGTCTACAATCTCTCTCATTTGTGCCTCCCTGCTGTGGAGTGTAGCAGGAGAGAAGTAAAGTATCACGTACAACATGGCCGCCTGGTTAGCTAGGGCAGTGCTTCTGTGCTCAGGGTTTGGGTACTTGGATATCTAACGGACAGGTATTGTATAATAATGATAAGCCACACCCACCAGATTATAAATATCATCAGACCGAAGGCGTCCAATCACCATTGATATGAATTCATCAGATATTGGTATTCTACTGAAGAAGTCTTCAGGATAATTCTGTGGTTTATGACTGCTGGTGAACCCAGTGCTCCTCAACAACTTACAGACATCATCCACATTACTGTCAACTGACGTCTCAGCACTGTGACAAATGTTCTATTTTTAGTAAGTCTATTTATAGTAACACATACCTGTATCGGTGGAAGGCCACTAATATTCTCTCCCGTATGAGTCCGTCAATCTTCTCGTCAGTAATCAATAACATGATACCATACAAGTACAAGGCCTCACTCTAATTAATTGATTATCAATTAATTGATTATTATTATTATTAATTACCAGTAATTGTTTTCCATCAATGTTTAGTAGAACCGATTCCAAAGTCAATTGAACGTACACGCCCTCATAAAGATCAATTAAAAATCTAATTAATAATAATAATAATTAATAATCAATTTATTTAATACCTGTTCAGGTCATTAACATATCGGTAAATGCTTTCAAAAACTTTAAAAAATCTTTTAATTATTTCCAAATGATTCTCTTTGAATTCCTCATCTCTGTCCTGTAGCTCCTATTAATTAATTGATTATAGCCACACCCACAATAGCTTTGAGCCACACCCACACTACAATCTCTCACTCTCGACTGATAATAATCTTACAATGCTAGCATCAATCTTGCTTTCAAAGAACTCGGGTCCGTTGAAGTACCTAAAGTCAGGGAGTATAAACTCGTAGAGTTGCCTGTCCCTCGGGTTGTCCAGTCTCAGTACTGGAGGGATGAACTGAGAGAGACGGAGCAGCTCAGCTATGATAGCATTAGCCCTGGAGACTAGTTTCAGTATGGTCTGGCCACAGACATTCCTTTCATCAAGGAAATCCATTGGAAGAAAGAGAGAGAGCTACACCTTTAGCTTTGGAGCAGGCTAGCTGGGAGTGTCTGTATCACGGGACTGGTTAATTAATAATAGTTAAGGCCACTCCAATTTGATTCCTTGTTTCCCATTACCCGCCCGCATGGGGCCGCATCGCTATTCATTATTGCGGTTTTTCATTGATTATACAAGCAATTTATACAGCTGATAATGAATAAATTTAATGAAAATGAACAAACCCGCCCGCCCGCATCAGGCCCGCCTCTGTAATGGGAAACTATGAATCTTATTGGAGTGGCCTAACTAACCTGACCATCAATAATAGTTAACTAATTAGCTTTGGCTGCTGTTCTTCCCATTGCATTACTACTGTATCATTACTGAATAATAATAATGTTGCTTTTATTAAACTTGTTGTTGCATCAGAAATCAAAAAATGTCCTAAGCTGACTACTAGTAATAACTAAGCTAAACTAAATCTAGATCTACATAATAATTAACGAACTGTTCCTTTTCTACTTCTGATGCCTTTATAAAACCAAATGCTAAGGTCTCTGAGGAGTTACATTAATTGCAGTATAGATACTGCCAGACCCAAAACCAACTTGAGTGTAAGCTGATCCAATGTGATTGAACACAGGACCTACATACACTTGGGATATTGGCCCCTGATTGTGATCCATAATGTCGCAAAGGTAAGAAACCTTTCTCTGCCCTGGACCAACCCACTGCCATGTCAGGTACCCTGCACTAGGATAGGGCAATGTACTATAAAGAAACAACACTAAATGTTAATAATAAATTTTTGTATATAACATACTATCTTTTCCTATACACTCCTAGCCAGGCATACTTTCCAGACAGTGTTTTCTTGGTGTCAAGAACAGGATAGACGTAAGTATAACTGTGCCTCAGTGATATCCACAGTTTATTACTGCATACACTAGATTTATCTTCTGCTGCTGTTGGTACTGACTTAGGAAGATCAGGGTACGCTTTCAGTGGTTCAGGCCATTCCTCATCATCAGTATATTCCGGTTTCCTTATATGAATAGGAAGACAGTCTTGTTCCAATATTGGATAAAGCAAGTCACGCTCTTGCTCACTAAACTGAAACCAAAGATTTTGCAGATTCTCTTTAGTCAATGTAGATTTAGCATTTGAATCAAGTGCTTTTTCAAGAGATGGTATAAATGATTTTATTTTAGGATCTATCTCATGCTCATTCCTGCTTTGATCAGAAGCTTTTGTAAAAGGTGATGAACGGACTACGCCATACAACTTATTGCTGATTGCACTCACCCTTTTATAACCTCCTTTAAATAGACGTAACTCAAACTCTTCAAAACGTATTTTGGATTTTTCTCCTGTATTCGACTCATTGAGCAGTTGACCAATGTAGTATGAGCCTTGGGCATTCATTCCGATCCACTTGTGTGTCAGGTACTGTCTATCAGATGCACCGACCTTGTAAATACCCACCCAGTAATCCTTAGTATCAGGAGTATTACAGAGACTCCAGTGGATTGTAGGATAGTAGTACAGGTAGCTGTAATATGAGTACAGGTCAAGTGACTGATATATTTTGTACTTGTCATGTTTATGACCTACAGTTACTCCACTATTATTACTACTCTTGCTCCTTCTTCCAGTGACTGAGTCAATGAATTCTTTAAAATCGAGTCTCTCTTCATCACTGAGCTGTCTCCAGCCTTGTACTAGTGCCTCTATTTCATTGAAACCAGTAGCATCATGGAGGCCATCAATATCTACTCCACTTGCTCCTACAAAGAAAAGAATTGTAAGACTCAAAGAAATGGACAAATTCATGATCTCTTGGTCAGCTTACACTCCTGGAAATCTCACAAAAGTATATCTACTACTGGCAGGATGTTCATTATGAAACATACTATTGGACATCTCATCCTTTTAACAATTGACTATTTTTAGAATAACAATTGAAATAGGCATGGATCCTACACTAACAATTGATGGAGAGATAGCCATCTGAAAGTAAATGAATGCCAAACGCTACTGTATAGTACATGGTCTCGGAACAAATTTTGCCAGAAATGAAAAGAAGAGAATTGTTAATTTTTATGATATTTCTACATATACATGTGGTGTTGTATAGAAAGTTTGGGTTTATTCTGATCAAAATTAGCAGATATTTAAAGTTACTCCAAAATCAGGAAAAGTCCCTGAACTATAATACCGTAAGGCTCCAAATTTTTTGTCAATAAAGATTTTTGTCAAATTTGTCAGGTATTTTTGTTTGATGAAATTTTGTAACTCACAAAATTAATTATGACAAAATTTTTGACCGACAAAAATTTGGAGCTATACAGTAGACTAGTACATGGTCTTGAGTCAAATTTTGCCAAAAATGAAAAGTAGAAAATTTTTAATTTTTATAACATTTCCACATATTTATGCTTTGTAGAAAGTCTGAGTTGATTCTGATAAAAACTGGATTTTTTACGAATGCTTAAAGTTGCTCCAAAATTGGACCAAAGTCCTTGTAGTATAGTATATGGCTTCAGGCAATTAATTTCAATAGTTAACTAATTATTATTGTTGATGATGATTAAGTGAATTAACTGTTAATAATGCTTTAGATATATTATTGTCATTGGGTATAGTTCTCCCCATTTCATTACTAATGTAATACAATTTTGTTTTTATTAAACTTGTTGTTGCATCAGAAAAATCAAAAAAATAATGTCCTAGGTTGACTACTAATAATAAGCTAAACTAAATAATTAATGAATTGTTCCTTTTCTACTTCTGATGCCTTTAAACTGCCTGCTCAGCACTCAGGAGTCACATTAATTGCAGCATAAATACTGCCAGACCCAAACCCAATATGAGTGTAAGCTGAAGCAATGTAGTCAAACACTGGACCTTCATACACTTGGGATATTGGCCCATGTTTGTGTTCCGTAATGCACCCAAGTTTAGAGACCCTCTTGTATCCTGGACCAACCCACTGCCATCTCAGGTACCCTGTGGCAGGATAGGGCGATGTACTATAAAGAAACAACACTAAACGTTAATCATAAATTATTTGTATATAACTTACGATCTTTTCCTATATACTCCCAGCCATGCCCATCTTCCAGACAGTGTTTTCTGGGTATTGATTGCAGGATAGACGTAAGTATAACTTTGCTTCAATGATATCCACAGTCTATTACTGCATATGCTACATTCCTCTTCTGCTGCTGTTGGTACTGAATCAGGAAGATCAGGGTACACTTTCAGTGGTTCAGGCCATTCCTCATCATCAGTATATTCCGGTTTCCTTATATGAATAGGAAGACAGTCTTGTTCCAATATCGGATAAAGCAAGTCACGCTCTTGCTCACTAAATTGAAACCAAAGATTTTGCAGATTCTCCTTAGTCAGTGTAGATTCAGCATTTGAATCAAGTGCTTTTTCAAGAGATTGTATAAATGATTTCATTTGAGGATCTAGCTCAGACTCATTCCTGCTTTGATAAGAAGCAGATTTAGGTGGTGATGAATTGACTTTGCCATACAACTTATTGCTGCTTGCAGGCAACCTTTGATAGCCTCCTTTAAATAAACGTAACTCAAACTCCTCATAACGTGAGGTGGACACCTCTAAACACTTAGTGGCCAGTTTACCAATGTAGTATGAGCCTTTGGTATTCTTTCGAACCCACCGCCATGCCAGGTACTGCCTATCAGTAGCACCGACCTTGTAAATACCCACCCAGTAATTGTTAGTATCAGGAGTACTACTGAGACTCCAGTGGATTGTAGGATAGTAGTACAGGTAGCTTTTATATGAATACAGGCCAATTGACGGGTATGTTGTGAACTTGCGATGTCTATGACCTTCAGTTACTGCACTATTATTACTACTATTGCTCCTTCTTCCAGTGACCGAGTCAATGAATTCTTTAAACTCAAGTCTCTCTTCATTGCTGAGCTGTCTCCAGCCTTGTACTAGTGCCTCTATTTCATAGAAACCAGTAGCATCATGGAGGTCATCAATATCTACTCCACTTGCTCCTGCAAAGAAAAGAATTGTAAGACTCAAAGAAATGGACAAAATCATGATCTCTTGGTCAGCTTACACTCCTAGAGACTTGCTGCAGGATTGATGCCTTTTATAAGCCATTTTTATTAATAGTTTAATAACTTATAAATTAATAATAGTTAATTAGCCAAACTTTAATAATGAAATGAACTAATTTCTTAAAAGGGTTAAAATTTGGAGCTAAATGGGTAAGAAAAAGAACATTATTAAAGGAGAAACAGCAAAAGAGAAGGAAAAAGGAGCCCCAACTATCAATAATAATAAATTAATTATAATAGGAGCAGGTAAAATAATGAAAATTGTCATTTATAATAAAAATAATTAATCATTATTACATAATTAGTTTTACTCATTGGCTTGCTTCACAGGTATGTTTGTTGCCATGGCAACAGTATTAATTATCCTATTGATTATTTTTAGTCAACATTTAAGTTTATTGTTTGAAAATGATCGTTACTTCTCAGCGTTGTCACCTCTGGAAAGAGACCTCTCACTGAGGACTGAAATGGTAATTAATTAATTAATTAATAATTAGTCTCCTCCCACTTTTAGGGCTTATATTATTCGTATTATAAAGTCATTATTAATTCAGATAGTGTGATTAATGGAATCAATAATTTAATTAATGACAATATCACAGAATATCCTGACACTATCAACACCTTAAAAAGATTCAATTTATATCCAGAAGTACACGCCTACTTAATTAACTACAATAAGCTCCGCCCATTTAGGTAATAATAGGATTAATGTATCGAGGCCTTAGAGTGACTGCTGATACTTTGAAATTAAATTTTGAGAATTGTTTTAAAATTGAACGAGGCCGAGGAATGTCTTCAATAATAACTTGTACAGGTACATGTCAATACATGTACATAATTATTAAAGCATTTTATAACATTCCCTGATACATATACATGTTCTTATGCTGTGTAGAAAGTTTGAACTGATTCCGATCAATATTGGATTTTTTACAAATTTTTAAAGTTGCTCCAAAATTGGATAAAAGTCCCTGTACTATAGTACATGGTCTCAGGCCAAATTTTGCCAAAAATGAAAAGTAGAGAATTCTCAATTTTTATAACATTCCCTGATGCATATACATGTTCTTATGTTGTGTAGAAAGTTTGAGCTCATTTCAATCAAAACTTGATTTTTTATGAATTTTTAAAGTTATTCCAAAATCGGGCCAAGATCCCTGTACTATAGTACACAAAAGCATATCTACTACTGGCAGGATGTTCATTATGAAAGATACTGTTGGACATCTAATCCTATTGTTAGTACTGGACTAACAATTGAGTATTGTTAAGATACTGAACAACAACAACAATTGATTGTTATTGTCCTACACTAACAATTGATGGAGATAGCCATCTGAAAGTAAATGAATGCCAAATGCTACTGTATAGTAGTACATGGTCTCAGAACAAATTTTGCCAAAAATGAAAAGTAGAGAATTCTCAATTTTTATGATATTTTCTAATATGCATACAAATTCTGATGTTATATAGAAGGTTTGAGTTTATTTCGATCAAAATTAGACTTTTTAGTCATATTTGAAGTTACTGGCCAAAGTCCCTGTACTATAGCACATGGTTTGGCCTATTTGTCATAACGTTGTTGTTGATGTGCTTCATTGAATTAATCTTCATTGGACCTTCTCTACAGGACTGACTGTCCCTCATTATTTCTACATGTACTGTGTATTTGCACTCAACTCTTTACTGCCAATTTCAATATTTCTATTGTCACATTATTTGAGGTAAGCCACACCTATTTACTATGATGTCATACTCTTGTGTTACTAAATATAGTAACTCCTTATTTGGTGGTCTATTATCAGTTGCTATGTTCTTTTATAATCATTCAGAGGTGGGTATGGCAACTGGGTGTGGTCATTTATTATTATTATTATTAATAATTAGGCTACCAGAGTGATGTGGACTCCGCCCCTAAGAGAAAGCTTTTCAATGCCATTTCTGTTTTTACAGTTTCTATTTTTGACTAAAATCATTAAGTAATCAATATTCTATTATTAGTAACATATTCTATTAATAATGAAATTCTATTTTTAGTAACATACAGGGCAGTGTTAAGAATATTAATTATTTATTTTTTGGAATTTCAACACTTTTCTTTATGATACCCTGGCAGGTACCCAGTGTTCTTGTCATGGTAACTTGCTTCTCCTTTCTGTTTTTTAGTTTTCACAGTTTACAATATTAACACAAGTAATGTATTATTGATTGATTGATTGATTGATTGATTGATTGCAGGTCCTGTCCATCATGTGTGTATATAGTTTAGGGTTAATTCCCAAAAGTAAAGTGATTAGAATTCTCCTAACACTAATGGTATAATGATATTATTATTATTAAAATATTAATTATTATTCATTATTGTATAGATTGTGTTATTAATTAATTATATTGTCCAGTTTGGTAATGTAATGCTCCTAACCTCATACCTAATGCTCACTCTCCTCTCCTCTTTGGTAAGCTCCTCCCACTCATTTCCTCTTCATATATTCCTTGTACTGTTGTACTGTATCATTTCCAATTCAAGCTAATTACATTTCTTGGCTGTCAACTTGCTCTCCAGTAATAATTCTTATAATTAATATTCCATTGTCCAGTACACACTGTTAGTATACTGTCCATTGTCACTCTACTCTGCCCATTTCCTCTTATTGTTTATTATTATTATTAATATTGGCATTGGCTCTAGTCTCTACTGTTACATTACTGCAGTATTGATAATTATTATAAATTAATAATTATCCATAAAATAGACAATAGCTCTTTGTCATGAAGCCTTCCATTGTTTCAGATATACACTACTTATATCAGTAAGCTAATTTTATTATCATTATTATTATTATTATTATTGTTGTTGTTAGTTTTTGAGAATGTCACTAGTTGTTGTTCTGGTTTTGGTTGCTAAGGTAACCAGTGGATACTTACTGGGAATCAAAGATGATGTTAGTCTCCAATTAATTAATTAATTAATTATTAATTAATTATTAATTGTTGTTGTTGCTGTATTTATTCATAATTTGTAAATAAGGATGTCTATGAGTGAGGAAGGTCAAGTAGTGAATGTCAACAAGAACGTGACAATAGACACCATGTACTATAGTACAGGGTCTTTTATCCAATTTTAGTGACACTTTAATAGCTCATAAAATATTCATTTTTGATTAGAATCAGTTCAAACTTTCTGCACAACACAAGTGGACTATAACCCATGGTTTTTCCTGAAAAATGGCCAAAAAATTACCCCCAATTTTTATTACATTTTCTGATACATATTGATGTCCTTATGCTGTGCAGCAAGTTTGAGCTGATTCCAACAAATAGTTTTTGAATTATGGACATTTATAAAATGGGCCAACATACACTCTACACTGCATGTATGTTGATATGCATCAGTCAATACAATATTTCTAGTCATTCTCATATTAATAATGACAGGCTCATATTGGCTCTATACTACTGTCTAAGTTTACTTCTTATCAAGACTTCCATACTCAACTGTACACCTGTGCTGCAGAGTTTGACTTCATATCTTTCAAGTACTTTATGAAACTATCAGTGACTATTCTGCTGCCACTAACAATTGTAATAATGCTTAAAATAATGGGACAGGTATGGTAGTAATATAGTTCTCATAGTTTCCTCTTGTTTATGTAGTTCCTTAATGTTGCAACTACTGACAACAATACTCAGGTAATAAACGTTGTTGTTGTTGTTGTTGTTATTATTATTATTATTATTATTTTAGGCTGTTAGGTTGTACCATATTCTTCAGTTATCTTGTTTTGCTGTGATGTCATTCTTAATAATGAGATTGAAACTGTTCCTAACCCCACACCTCTGTATAATCTCAGGTCTATTGGCCAGCAGAAAGGTATGCTTCTGTCTATTGGTATCTCTTTGATCCTTGGTCATGTGTAGCTGTTCAAGTTGTCCTCGAGACAGAGGGCGTGGGTTTTAGGTGGAGCATTAGCTCTCTCCTCCATTGCTGGACTTTATAACTTAAACGAGCAAATGGTAACTATGGCAACATGTTGTTGCTATGGTAACTGCATGTGTTAATAGAGTATAATCGGAGAATATAGTAATCCTGAGCTAGAGGAGATGATCAACTGGATTAACGACTCACTACCAAAAAGTAACTATTATACCTAATCTACACAGTAGCATCTACTGTTAGTACTGTATATACTGCTTCATGTATACTGGTCCTGTTTCTTATGTTAGATGGAGTGTTTGGTGGTAGCCTGCCTTTAATGGCTTCCATTAAACTAACGACTGATCGTCCAATAGTGGTCCACCCTCACTATGAACACACTGACCTGAGGTGAATGTTACTAAAAATAAAATAATGACGTTACTAATAATAGAATAATGATGTCACTAGTAATGAGCTACTAATCATAGAATATGGTTTCATGTTCTTTAGGGAGAGGGCCCTCCTAGTGTATACCATATATAGTAAAAGGTCTCCTGAAGTTATTTATAATAATTTGAGAGGGTTGGGGGTGGAGTATGTTGTCATGGAAACACCAATGTGTCATGCTGAGTATCGTAAAGGCTGTGCTCTTAGTGACGTAAGAATAATAATAACATTTAATTAATTAATTATAATAATATTTATATAATTAATTATTGTTCTTTTACAGGTATATTTGAATTATTTTCCTGATGATATTAATAATGATTTATTCTGTGATTCAGTTCAAGAGTCTGTCCCCAGTCCCTTTAAACTAGTATACTCCAATGAAGTGTACAGGATACTCATGGTTGGAAATCACACCCAATGACCTCCCCACTTCAAGCTAAACTGACAAGAACTTTTCCCTTTTATAAACTCTATTTTTGATAATCAATTTCTCAGGTTTTTGTTGAAAAATGAAATAATAATCTTCAACAAGTTTCTTTGAAATTTTGAATTGAAAAAAATCTAATTATACGTCCAAAGGTGCTTCCTATTTATTCGTTTTCGGAATCATTTCTTTCCAGGGGGACTGTTATTGATTTTAAGCGCCAGAAGGAGAGTGAGAGAGGAGACAAAATGGCAACTCTTGATGTAGGTGGGAAGAGACGAGTGTGTTACTATTATGACGGTAAGGGACCCTGTCCTTATATTAGCCTGTACTCTCCTCACGTTAAAGGTGATATTGGCAATTATTACTATGGTCAAGGTCACCCTATGAAGCCTCATCGTATCAGAATGACCCACAACCTTCTCCTCAACTACGGGCTCTATCGTAAGATGGAGATATATGTAAGAACTTGTTAACTTTTCCGCCATTTTATGAGGTGCTCTTCAATTAGAGACCGCACCCAGCAACTCAAGAAGAGATGACGGGTTACCATAGCGATGAGTACATTCGGTTTCTGAAGTCAATTAGGCCAGACAATGTCGGGGAGTACACTAAACTGATGCAGCGATGTGAGCTGACCCTGTACATGTACATGTATTCATGTGTAATGGTATAATGGTGTAATGGTATAATGGTGTAATGGTGTAATGGTGTAATGTGTGTTAATAGTTAATGTTGGGGAGGATTGTCCAGTTTTTGATGGAATGTACGAGTTCTGTCAGTTGTCTGCTGGAGGTTCCATAGGTTAGTACCTAATGAATATTTTAAAACTTGTTTGTTGTTTGTTTGTTGTTTGTTGTAGCTGCTGCAGTTAAGATAAACAAGCAGGAGTCAGATATTGCCGTCAACTGGTCAGGCGGTCTCCATCATGCTAAGAAATCAGAAGCTTCTGGTTTTTGCTACGTCAACGATATTGTCCTAGCAATACTGGAACTACTCAAGTAACCACACCCATTGATCACACCTACTGACCACACCCCTTCAGGTACCATCAAAGAGTCCTTTATATTGATATTGACATTCATCATGGGGACGGAGTCGAAGAAGCTTTCTATACAACTGACCGAGTCATGACAGTCTCTTTTCATAAATACGGGGAATACTTCCCAGGGACCGGAGACCTGAAGGTAATGTACAGCCTCTTTATAATGGACACTCTCTATAGCGTGCACCTCCATTTAACGGACAGCACCTAGTGTACCAATTACATTCCTTACTGTATAAAATAACCTCCACATAAAGGACACCTCTGTATAACAGAGACACAGTGTCCATTATATATATTATTATCCTGCAGGACATTGGGTCTGATAAAGGTAAATATTATGCTGTGAATTTCCCCCTGAGGGACGGGATAGACGATGAGTCATATCAGTCTATTTTTAAACCGGTTAGTCAAACCCGTTTAACTGTACATGTACATGTACATGTACTTTGAACAGGTAATTACCAAAGTGATGGAAGTGTACAGACCGTCAGCCATTGTCCTTCAGTGTGGAGCAGACTCACTGGCTGGGGACAGGTTGGGGTGCTTTAATCTGTCGTTAAAAGGTGGGTATGGTCAGTGGGTGTGGTTTCATGAGTTACCCTCTAGGTCATGCTGAGTGTGTTGATTTTATGCGTCGGTTCAATCTCCCAATTGTTCTGCTCGGAGGGGGAGGGTACACTATTCGTAACGTGGCTCGTTGCTGGACTTATGAGACATCCACTGCCCTTAACTGTGTTGTTGCTAATGGTAAAGGTTATTCTCTCCCTCTCTCTATCTCTCTTGTTCCTTTAGAGCTACCTTATAACGACTATTTTGAGTACTTTGGGCCGGATTTCAAGCTCCACATAAGCCCTACTAACATGACCAATCAGAATTCACCCGAGTATCTCGAGAAGATTAAAGTTAAACTGTTTGAAAACCTTCGGCTCATTCCAGCAGCTCCCAGTGTTCAAATGCAACGTAAGACATTACTAAACTACTAAAGTAAAGTTATTGTTAACTTTTCCAAACCTTTAGCTATCCCTGAGGATGCCATTACATTCCCTGAGCCAGAAGAGAAGAATCCAGAAGAAAGAATATCAAGTAATGAATAATAATAATAATAATAATAATAATAATAATTGTGTTATTACAGTAAGGGATAGAGACAAGAGGGTAGAGAGAGATGATGAATTCTCTGATTCTGAGGATGAGGGAGACAACAGGAGAGACACTAGAACCAGTAAAGAACCTTCGGGTCGTAAGCGTCCTCGTCTAACCAAAGACTCCACCCCTACTGCTCCCAGCCCTGCTCCGCCCACTAATAAAAATAATGAGACTCCGCCCACTAATGATACACCAACACCCACTGATAATAAAGAGAGTGAGGCTCCACCCACCAATGATGGGAACGATACTACAACCAATAATGGAAAACCGTGAGTGTCACCTTATCAATCAATTAATTAATGTTTGTTTATTAATTATTAATTTAGAGAATCAACTAATGAATGTGTAATGGAGGAGCCTCCCCCTCCTGTACAGGAACCAGTGGAAGGAGAGAGTGTCGTTAGGGAAGAGGAGGAACAGCAAGAGTCTGAAGAAATGGAACAATGAAAGACACATTCAACAGACAATAGCACTTCATACTGTATCTCATTGTCTTTTTCCTATTGAATTATTTTATTTAGTCCCACAATTAAGTCAAGAGTAACACTCCTTATATGGCGGTTGGGTAAATGTACAGGTGCTGTCCTGTCACTGGTTCATGTAGAGTATTGGATATAATGGCACTGTATTGCAGGATAATGATCATTTTATAATTAAAGACAGTTCAGTTGTTATATTTACAAAAGGAGCAGTAGAGACATAGTGTGTGTGTGTGTGTGTGCATTAGTACTGTGGTAAGTCAATGTAAGTTATATTATCAATTCTTTGTTTTTTCAACGTGGAACCACCCTTCCAGTCATTAAGGGAACTATCGCTAGCAAACAGGAGGCCACACCCCTTAGCTCCTCCTCCTGTCTTATCGTACTCCTCAAAGGTATCCTCAAAATGGCAGTAGCTGGTATCGGAATCCATGGACTTTATGTTTTGAGACGAGTAAGAAGTGGGCGGAGTTTCAAGGTAACCCGAATCACAAGAAGAAACTGATTTGAGCTGAATGAGGTGAGCGTGTGATTTCAGATCAGTGTTATTATTATTATTATTAGCACTAACCCTCCCTTCATAACCAGCAGCTGCTAGACTGACAGGCACTATCACATTTTCACCATTCTTACTAATCTCTCCATGGGCTATATACTCTGTTTCAATGGTTGTACCTGGCCCATTATTGTTGTGTGTGGTCATTCTATTCTTGGCTCTGGTCCCTGGCTGCCAAACTTGTGGCAAGTCATTTCTCTCATTATCTTCCTTGTCATTCTCACGGACACTTCTTGTACGGCTTCCCACGGGGAGAGTGTTGTTTCCATGGTGAAGAGTATGTTCATGGTTGCTTGTATGTAAGTACGAGCAGCTGCTGGACTCGGAGCTTTCTCTTTCTACGTTAAATAAACTGCTATCAGATTCCAGAGGGGCCCCTCTCTCATTGACTAGTAGTAAATGATGCGGCGACCTGTTGTCTATATTCAAAGCTGATAGACTTTTACTCTTTTGACCCGCTGGAGTGTTTCCTGCTATGTATCTTAGTTCAATTTCACTTCTGGCTAGTCTCTTGTATTCATCGCTGTCTTGGCTGATACTTGATCCTGTGGTCATGTACCTCTCCCCATCTCCTCTGCTGTCCCTCAGTTTCGTAGTTTCATCAGAACTTGCTTTACAGAGAAGAGTAGAAGAGTCTAATGATTGTAGCAGCGTTACCACGGAGCCGTTTAAATCATTATCTTTGTATAGACTTAATGTGTGTCTGGCCTCCTCTATATTGTCCTGTGAGTAGTAAACAAGGAATAAACAAACGCAATAAACAAATAAATGAATAAACATGTTGTCTTACGTTGCATGTCGCTGTATGTAGTTCATTCATTGATGATACTTGTGCAGTCCGTCTATTAGAGAAAGAGCAAAAGAGGAAAGAGATTATGTACATGTACATCAGTACAGGTGTGAGATCATTTCCCACTTAAAATAACAATTTTCAAATTTGTCTTCAGAAATACCTCAAGGCACTCCTTCCATTCAAACCAATACCTCAGTCCATAGAGGGTTGGTTTAGGAGGAGATAATGTGGTGCTATACTCTACTGATTGGCTTCTTTGATGAACAGCATTGTCATGCATTCACATCAAAGGAGAAACAAAGCCCCTGCACTATCATAACCTATCTACAGTAACCTGCCCTTACCTTGACTTCTTACGTCTCTTTATACTCATGCAGGAGAGTATCAGGGCTATTAGGCTGAACCCCAGTATAAGGATCATTACTCCAATCAGAGTGTATGTAACAATATTCTGGTGCCCTATTAAGAATATACCCCATCAGTTGATCATTTGTTATAATATAATACTGTACCTCTGGCTATTGGGTTACTAGTAATGGTTGGGGCATTGGAACTACTGCTCAGTCCATTCTTAGTACTGCTAGTTCCAGTGACACTGGCTGTACTTTCTCCCGATGGGAACACTGAGCTCCTCTTTACGTTAGTTGTTTCACCGAGTGTGTAATACTCGCTTGTTGCCGTTGTTTCTTTTCGGCTCGTAGTTAACGCTGCTGTCAATATTATTTCGTTTGGCGGTGAAGTGTCAAGATGGTATGATTCCTGGAATATTGTTGGTGTTGCTAGTATATCGTAATTATCAGTTGTTGTCAATAACTGATCAATCGAACTACTGCTAATAGTCACTGCTGAAGACACAGAGAGAGAGAGACAGAGAAGATCAAGTCTTTCAATGAACATTATTAAACTTACCTTCTCTTTTTAGTCTGCAGGAATAGTCCTCTGAAGTGATGTACAAATTATGAGTGTCCTCATTGATAATAACTAGCATGCACACTGACCAGTTGCAGTAGGCTCCAGTCTCCAGTGGAAACTGTGTCTCCTGCAGGAAGACTGGGACAGTATCATTGTAAGTAAGTTTAGAGCCAATTAGTGTCACTTCAGAGTTAAGAGGAGGGATCTAAAGAAAAGAACAGACTGAATGCAGTTCCTTATACATAGGGAACCAACCTCTGTGCCATTGGAGAGGTAGCAAGTCGGATTTGGGCTATGGACTAATTTTAAATCATGTCCTCCTTTCCAGTTGTATCTGAACAGAATCTTTGACTCATAACAATCAACTTGTAAAGAGACATTAGCTGAAGCTACAACAATAAGAATAAATCATAACAGCAACAAGATTTATAGATTATATGTACGTTCAGCCTTACGTGTAGAACCTTCACAATAATTGAATGAAGTTCCAGCAGTTGCTAGCAAGAGGAGGATGAAAACAGAGGAGTGACTGGATTGAAACATCTTTTAACAGAGGGAAATGATTCCTTCCTTCTCTTTCTGTCTCTCCTGAGGATTGTAGCCCACTATATATAGCAGAAGAGAAGGAGTAGTTATAAATTAATCATTACTGCATTATTATTGTGCAGTGCAGCAGTCTCCTAGGAGACGGTCTTTGTGTAAAGAAGACTTCAAAGTGACAATTAACAGCTAATGAGATAGATAGTTAAGTTATTAATAACCAGCCACACCTTAATACTTGCAACTCTGCAGCTAAAATTAGATTTATATTTGTAGGTATCACAATGGTTGAGATCCTACCAGGCCTGTTGTTAGGAGGAATGAGTGACGTACAATATTTACTGAGAAGAAAGAGCACAGTTAAACTAACTCACCTCCTGTCAGTGGTAAAGGAGGCTCTGGATTGGTCTGATCTTCATTCACCCAGTCCTGGTCCTATCAGTTGTAAATTAATACAAGCCATTGATCTACCTTCCACTGACCTACTGATACACTTTCCTGAAGCAACTGACTTTATACAAGAGACTATGGACACTGGCGGCACCATACTGGTACACTGGTGAGGACAATGGTTGGTTAGATTAATTCAATTTCTATTTGTTATTAGTGAATATGGACTGTCCAGGAGTGCCACTATTGTCATTGCATATTTCATTAAATATCACAAGATGTCTTTTAATGAAGCAATTGATTTTGTTAAAGAGAAAAAACCTGACATTAGGTAACATTCCTAATTAATTAATTAATTAATTATAATTTATTTGTTGCTCCTTCAGACCTAATGCTGGTTTCATCAGTCAGTTAAAGTTATGGTACAAAATGAAAGGAACTTTAAATGAAACTGATAAGTCATACAAATCATACAGACTGAGCCACCAGGCAAAAGCAATGAAAGGTACGTGTCACATGACATTCACATGACACACGTACATGTATCAGATAATGGATACATGAAGTCCATGGAGATGACTCCTGACCCAATCAACAGGGACAAGGGAAGGAGCTGTTACTATACCTGCAGAAAGTGCCGGTTAGTTGGTTAATGGTTATTAATAATGGAAATTAATTAATAATTAGAAGAGTATTGTTTGATGATGAGAGTGTCCTGCAGCATGAACTAGGAGAAGGTTTTGATGATTATAAATACAAAGAACCAGTTCTTAAACCAGCACATTATGAGAGACAAGAAAAAGAAGTGAGAGAGAGAGGGAGGGAGGAGGGTACATGTAAGTGGTATAACAATCCATTGATGTCTCCCTCTGATACTAACTAGATAGCAGCTACCGATGAAGCTGTCGCTAGATTAGGACAGGAAGTATCTCAGATAACGTTAGAAGGAAGATCACATGACGGTCACATGATCTCCTGTAGTTCATTGTTCATAGAGCCAGTAGAATGGATGGGCCCACTCATCATCGGAAGGAAAGATGGAAAGGTTTCCTTTGGTATATATTTGGATCATTTTAATGTTTTGAAATTAGTTGTCCTGCCCAAAGTGTTGCTCAAGAATCGGTTCCTTTGATTGGTCGGGTAATAATTATTTTAATAAGTTAATTAACTTATTAATTATTCATAGGTGGTCAGTGTTCCTGTGGTCGTTGGGTCACGCCCTCTTTCCAAATACATAAAAGCAAAATTGATTTTAAAATTAAATTAACTGAAACTCCACCTACTGCCACACCCACAACTAAATCTTTACACTGATCATAATCTATTATTAGTAACAACATTACATCACCAGTTCTATTAATAGTATAAGTACATGATAAACCAGTTACTCTTTTGGAGGCCATTTTCCTTCTTTGATGAGTTTCTGTCTTTGAGCTTCGATTACTTGCATTCTCATAGCCTAAAACAACAACAACAATATACATATATTATTATTATTATTAATTAATTATAATTTACTATTTTTCTATGATGTAGACACTCTAAATAGTCTTCTTTTTCAAGCTGGCATGAGTCCATTGGTGGTAGTTTTTTCCCTCCTCCTCCAATTGCTTTCATGCACTTCATATAGTCATCCCAAAATGAATAGCACCTCCCTCTCCCTCCGTTCAGTCCTCGACCTGACACCATCTTGAAATGGGCGTGGCATAAACAACTGGGAGTGGCTAGTTATTAATAGTAGTTATTAATTGATTCTTTCTTTCTCAAGGTGGACACGAGGAGGTAAGTGTGTGAAGAAAGATCATTGTCAATCCTCTGTTGGGTTGTTTCTTGGTCTGTTCTTGAGAGTTTGTTCGTTTCTAGATGACTGCATATCGGCCAGGAGTAAAGATTGTTAAAAGAGGAGGTAAACCTCTGGATAAATTTGAAGAATCCATACAGCAGGTCAGCCATTGTTAATATATATTACATTATTATTGGATTATAATATTCAGGCAATTCTTGACATTGAATCCTCTTCTGATATGAAAGCAACTTTAAGAGAGGTCTATTTCACTGGAGCGAAGGTAAACCACACCCATTTTACATGTACTAGTTGCCATGGCAATAAACCACACCTCCTTACAGGAAGTTGATGCCGCAGGGAAAAAGGCAATTTGCATATACTTACCAGTTCCTCTTCAGAAGACGTTTCAAAAGGTTCAGGTCCGAACTGTGAGAGAATTAGAGAAAAAGTTCTCAGGGCGACCAATAGTGTTCATAGCCCAGCGTAGGATCCTACCAAAGGAAAAGAGGAACCAGCGATCGAAACAGAAGCAGCCAAGACCAAGGAGGTACAGAGAACATGTACATGTACATTCACTACATTTACATGTATCAAGCTCTCATTTTATGTTCATTTTCATTTTTGGCAAAATTTAGCCCAAGACCATGTACTATAGTACAGGGACTTTGACCTGATTTTGCAGCAACTTTAAAAATTCATAAAAAATTCAATTTTGATCGGAATCAGCTCAAACTTTCTACACAGCATAAGAACATGTATATGTATCAGGGAATGTTACAAAAATAGGGAATTCTCTACTTTTCATTTTTGGCAAAATTTGGCTCATGACCATGTACTATAGTACAGGGATTTTGGCCCGATTTTGGAGCAGTTTTAAAAATTCGTAAAAACTCCAAATTTTGATCGGAATCAGCTCAAACTTTCTACACAACATAAGAACATGTATATGTATCAGGGAATGTTATAAAAATTGAGAATTCTTTACTTTTCATTTTTGGCAAAATTTGGCTCATGACCATGTACTATAGTACAGGGACTTTGGCCCGATTTTGGAGCAACTTTAAAAATTCGTAAAAAATCCAATTTTGATCGGAATGAGCTCAAACTTTCTGCACAACATAAGAACATGTATATGTATCAGGGAATGTTATAAAAATTGGTAATTTTCTACTTTTTGTTTTTGGCAAAATATCAGTAAATGCAATGAGTCATTTTTGATGGACTGTTGTTATAGTGCCAACTTTGTTTTCTCTTCAGTCGTACACTGACTGCAGTCCACAATGCATTGCTTGATGATGTGGTGTATCCAGCTGAAGTGGTTGGGAAGAGAACTAGAATCAGGATGGATGGCTCACAGTTAATTAAAGTGTAAGTTAATTAATGGCAGTTAATTAACTATTAGTTAATTGATTATTAATAGGCATCTTGATAAAACCCAACAGACAAACCTGGAGCATAAGGTATCTATGTTTTGTGTCTCTAATCTTGTAACTCTCTCTCTCTCTCTTTAGCTTGATGTTTTTTCTGCCATTTATAAAAGGTTGACAGGAAAAACTGTCAATTTTGAATTTCCTTCAGACAGTTAAAGAGAGAAATTAATAATTATTATTAATCTTATAATTATGATTAAGAAAGGAAATTGAAAGTTGTTTTGGAATAAAATTAATAATATAATTTTAGTGATGATACGCACGGACAGGAAATTCTTGACCTTATTTGTATTATAGTATTTGCGGCTGTTAATAGTGTTTGTGTTTTGTCTGGAATTTCTATACAATTCAATTAGTGAACAAAATATCATGAGATTTGAATTATTTTAGTATTCACATCATTGTTATATTCATTTAATTTTGGTTCATAATTCTCAACTAGTCCATTATCATCCCAGCATATTTTAATGACACCTTTATTATTGTCATTTCTTCCTCTTAGTAACAGGATCTGTCTTTCATATGCTCCTCCTCCAACCAAAATTGCAGTTTTTGAATTAATGACTGCTTCCATTTCAACAGCTGCTACTACCCCAGTATCAGGCCTGGTATTGTATAGCTTTGGATTAAAACTAGCTTTAGTGACATTGTTAGCTTCAAAGAAACTCCTCGTTTTCTTTCCTCCTCTACAAGAGTAGCAGGAGTCACTGCCCTGAGGGCCAAAGTCACTAAAGACTATCAGTCTGCCTCCACGGCTCATATTGGTTGCTAGGGACCATGCTTTATCCAAACAGTTGTCAAGGAAACCACCCACCCTCCTGTCCCTCTGTCCCAACTTCTCACTGCGTATGTGAACACTAGTGTAATCCCCAGGCACTAATTGGAGCTGCTTCATAAAGTCCCTTGATAGTTTTAATATATCATGAGAGTGGACAAATGGATCAGTGATTCCTCTTGGACGTTTATATGAAGGAGCATGCTTCATTATCAGTCTTTGGCTCTTATGCTGGCCTTTAGCTGATCTGTGAACACTAGCTCCTCCTGTGATTCCCCTCCAGTTCAGGACCAGGAGGGTAAGGGGACCTTCCTGAGGATCAAAGCCACACCTCTCTGCTAGCTCTGAGGGGCTTGTTTCATGTGTTCCATTAACACAACAATGCCTCAGTAGTGAAAAGTGTTCTGTTCCTCTTCTTATCTCATCATTCAATGATGATAATAACATTTGAACTAGTGACTGTGCCACTCTATAACTGCTGCAATCTAGCACGTAGCTGTTGCCTAGGTTACGGATAAGCTCCACCCCCTCTGTCGATCCTGAAATAGACCACTCCCTCGACTCTATCTCATGAATGATGTGGATCAGGACCACAGGCCGAGGGGCAGAGTTGATGAAAGTGTTGAAACTGACTAAATGAGGGAGACCATAGGACTCACCCAATGTATTGATGTGGTTGATGCTGAATATATCAGAGAGTGATAGAGACCGGTCCTTCACTTTACTCCATTTATGGTCAGAGAGAAAGTGAGGGAGTCCATAGAGTCTTGAGTTATAAGTGAAAGGCTCCACTAGCCTACAGTGGAGCGACTTACCCAGTGAACTTAATGAGAACATGTTACCAACGGCCATACTCATCTGCTCCCAATAGTTCAAACCGACCACGTACCGAGGGCTCTCCTTATTGGAGTCTTCATTGAGGATCTCTGAATGGCGGCTGTAGAGCAACTCTCTATTCCCGTTGCTGCTGGATACAGTCTCCAATTTGACATTGGGAGCATTTGAATAGAATAAATATACTGCAAGGAGGAGGAGAGAGCCCAGGAGGCCCCATAGGTATATCTTTCTAGCTAGTCTGGTCATCATAAAGAGACACCTCGAGATTCACTGTACAATGGAGATGCCTGGTTGTAGGTGTGGCTAGTTAGCCAATGGGCGTGGCTCACTGCAGCCAGTACTGCAGTGCGGTGGGGGTGTGGCTCGTTGCTCTGTTATTCTTTCATGATGAGTAATTTTTTTGATAAAATGAAACAGTCCAGGACTGAGAAAGAGGTAATGGCTACCGATTGTGTAACTAACAGTTGTTCATTCTTACTGGCAGAGGCTGGTCTTTGGTGATCCAAGGAAAGCAGCTCAAGTGTCTAAACTAGCTTTATGGAGGAAAGTCTGCTATGCTGTTGGATCAATGCCTTATGCAATGTGTAATACTGTCATTGGATACTACTTTACTTTCTTCCTCCTTGAAGTGGCACTGGTACTACTAATACTGATAATTGTTATTAAGTTGATATGATACACTAGCTTGACCCCACCTATGCTCTTATGATTGTGCTATTGGGGAGGGTGTGGGACGGTATCTCTGACCCAATTTGTGGCTACCTCTGCAGTAGAACAAAGACTAAACTAGGACAGTTTAGACCATGGTAAGTAGCTCCACCTCCTTCGGTCCTTCTCAATTCTTTAAAGGTTACTGCTCTCAGCGTTTCCAACTGCAATTGTTTATTTCTGTTTGTGGTATGTCCCACATTTTGAGGAAGATGTCTTCAATTTTTTGTATTATTTGATAATGTACTTTTTGTTACAAACTTTATTGACGGTAGGTCACAATTATTTTAATTTATTATTTCATTTTCAACCATCACTCCTCCTCCTCCTCCTTCCTGTAGTGTGTTCACGTTCCTTATACTGCCCTAACAATGCACTTGTCTTATAATCAAAAAGAAATCGATTCAGTCACACTTTACAGTATGTCCCTGATACATATACATGTTCTTATGTTGCATAGAAAGTTTGAACTCATTCCAATCAAAATTGGATTTTTTATGAATTTTATTCTGCACCTGTTCTAGGGGTCATTTTTGAGATGTTTGGTACATTGCTTGGTATTGGGATCTATACTGTATCTTTTACAATATTTGTACGTGGAGCTGACGATGATTGTGTTAACGGAATTAAAGGAAGAGATATAGAAAAGGTAATGATAATAATAATAGTAATAATAATTATTATATTTATACGACAGGAGAGGGCATTCCGGTATCATGCTGCATTCCTAGGTGTGCTCATTGTGCTAATGATACTGACCACATTCTTTACTGTCAGGGAACAGAAAGGTGAATATTATCAATACTTGTAATTCACAGATTGATAACTACAAAGATTAGATCTTTGTTTATTTTCAATTTCCTTTAGAAATGACAAAGGAAAAGACTAAACTCTCCATAAAAGAAATCCTGAAGGAGACCTGGTCATTTAAACCTTACAGGTATCTCTTCTTCATTGAGCTCTTCTCGTGGCTCGCTGTACAGGTATTGAGAACCAGTAATGAGCCCGTTTGATATTCTTGTGTTAGTTTGGACAGGGAAATTTCACTTTTTATGCAAAATATGTATTAAAGTTGGATAGGACTCTACCCTATGTCATATTCCTGTTGATGGTAAAGTAACATTATTATTATTAACTATTGTGACTCATTCTTCTTAAGATTATTAATATATTCTGGTTGCCAATATGGCAGCTCATACTGAGTAGAATTGGAAAGAAGACAGCCTTTGTGCTCGGAGCCTGGGTAGGACATTAATTAATTAATTAATTAATTATTTTATTAATTGGCCACAGATATTGATGCCTTCCTTCCTGTCCCTACTGTACCTCGGCTACTATCCTAATCTGGTATGGGTACTTGGGGTCGTTATAGGAGGAGGCATATCGGCTGCTTATCTGTTACCATGGTAACTAGCCACACCCACTGGTACTACATGTATCGTCTGTAGGTCCATGTTGCCTGATGTTGTTGATGACGCGTCACTCAAGACCGGAATCAGAAGAGAGGAGCTCTTTTATTCTTTTTTTGTGTTTGGTAATAAATTCAGCTCAGGAATAACATTAGGAATATCCACTGGAGTATACAAGTATTTCATCCATTTACTTATTTATTTATTTATTTATTTATTTATTTATTTATTTATTTATTTGTTATTTGTTTAGGTTGGCAGGTTATGATCAGTTAGCATGTGTCCAGCCGTGGACTGTCCCTCTCTTATTCAAGTTATTAGTTTCCTGTCCTCCGGTTATTTTTATTTTAATTTCTCTCATTTTTCTTTGGCGGTATCCAATAAATGAAGAGAGAAGGGCAGAAATTAAAGAAAAGCTACAAAAGAAAAGGTACGGGAAGGTTTCCAGCTGCTAAATTATTATAATCATTTTAGACAAACTGTCAAAGAGTCTGTGGACGACAGCATATACAGTCCATCCAGTAGAACTGGGTATGCCTCTAATGAAGATAGGGACAGCGACTTTGGTGAGAGTTCCTTCACTTTACAAGGAAAATTAAAAAATAATAAAACTGATACTAGTGCTAGATCATAATAATCATTAAATACTGTGTGTTTGTGCTTAACAATTAAGTTCTTTATTATTTTCTATTTTGTAATTCATCTACACTTTTCACACACTTTGATTTTATCTAAACTTTAGATGAAATTTTTAAGTAATTATTGTTACTACAGTATCAACTGCAACTGAATGTTGTTACCTCTTGAGATAGTGAAAATATTCACTTCATTTTGTGCACATGTAGATCTAATGACTATGCAAATGCTGCAGGTTTAATTAGCCCACCCACCCCCCGACATGTTGACCATGTTCCTTCTGATGCTACTGTTAGTATTTCTTCTCCCTCATCCTCTTGCTGCTACTCTGAGTTGTCCCCAGCTAGTACACAATGAAGTTAATGGTAGTTATGTCTCTCAGCTAAAGGACAGGTCCTGTTCTTCCTCATCTACACACTGCACTGTTGTTCTTCAGTATAACAACATAAAATGGACTGTCAATCAAATGGTCTGCTCCCCTTCTTGTGTTTCAGGAAATACCTCAGGAGCCCTGGGAGTCCGTTACATGATAGGCTGCTGTAATTCATCATCATGTGTCGGTCCTTCTGATTTCTTTGATGATATTAATGTCGATATTACTTGGCCTCTTTTGCAGCGAGCTCCCATACTAACTTCAAGTACAATAGAACCAACTGGAGTAACTGTAGCCACTGGTGCCTCCACTGATGGAGGGAGCAGCTCATTCCTAGCCTGTTCCACCTGCAGTCCTTCAGTTAGTAACAAGAAGTTTGACTACAAACCTTGTAAGAACTATAGAGTCACCTTCTCCCTCTTGTTAAAATCTCTTACTAAATGCACACTGTCTCTCTCTCTCTGTAGACTATATATTCAGTCCAATTATTTTTGTGGAGATATTCTTAATATTCCTATTCTTGATATTATGGATAAGAAAGTGCAGGAGAGTTTGTTTAAGAGTGAAGCAAGAACAAGCAAACAAGAAACAAGATGAGTGTATTTTTAAATTACGAAACCGCAGGGGAACCTGTCCCTAGCAACAGGCAGCTGCAGTGAACCCCACATCTTTATCATTTAATCACTTATATATAACAAGAGTGGATAATTATCTTGCTTATAATAATTTATATTATTATTTTTGTGTTATTTCCATTCATTTATTCCCTCCCATTATTCATTTATTCATTTTCATTGCAAAAATAATTAAATTAAAATAACTGATTTCTCTCCAGCACACGTTTCAATAAAAACAAAATGGAGTGTCTCTTAATAACTATTAATAACTAGAGAAGAATGAGAAAGACTCAATACCAAAAGTATAGGTCTGCCAAAATAATAATAATAATAATGATAAAAACTACAGGCTATAATTATCATCATTATAATATTACATGTAGATTATTAATAACTACTAATAACTATTAATAACTATTAATAATGTCAAGTAATCTCAAATCGTGTCCAATTAGAACAAACCAATAATCAGTTATTAATAACTAGTTAATCAACTAGTTATTAATGATCAGTTATTAAAATGAAAAATGCACAGTTGATGACATGTACATGTACTAGTCATCGGATTCCGTATCCCATAGTAACGCTCCTCCCCTATTTGCATTACCACGGTTACCAAAGCTCCATATGCTTGACAGAGAGTTGTCAAAAGGATCGTAATTATCTCCTGAAGAGAAGAGAGGAGGAGGAGGAGGAGAGGGAGCAGCTGCTAGTTGGGTAGCTGTTTGGAGCCGCTGCTCCTCCAGGGCATTGGACAATGGAGAGTTGAGGGACCAGAGACGCTGACAAGTGCTAGTGTCACTAGAATCAGGACCAAACCTTGTCAATACGTCCTAAATACAACATAATGTAATACATCATCAAGAAATGCATTAAAATGAAGAATTCTCTACTTTTCATTTTTGGCAAAATTTGGCCTGAGACCATGTACTATAGTACAGGGTCTTTTACCCAATTTTGGAGCAACTTTAAAAATTCATAAAAAATCCAATTTTGATCAGAATCAGCTCAAACTTTCTACACAACATAAGAACATGTATATGTATCAGGGAATGTCATAAAAATTGAGAATTCTCTATTTTTCATTTTTGGCAAAATTTGGCCCGAGACCATGTACTATAGTACAGGGACTTTTACCCGATTTTGGAGTAACTTTAAAAAATATGTAAAAAATCCAAATTTGATCAGAATCAGCTTAAACTTTCTACACAACATAAGAACATGTATATGTATCAGGGAATGTTATAAAAATTGAGAATTCTCTATTTTTCATTTTTGGCAAAATTTGGCCCGAGACCATGTACTATAGTACAGGGTCTTTTACCCAATTTTGGAGCAACTTTAAAAATTCGTAAAAAAATCCAATTTTAATCGGAATCAGCTCAAACTTTCTACACAACATAAGAACATGTATATGTATCAGGGAATGTCATAAAAATTGAGAATTCTCTACTTTTCATTTTTGGCAAAATGTACATGTAGACGGTTATTTTTTATTACTTTTTCATTTTCATCTATCATCCAGTTTCTTTCTCCTCCATATTGTGTTGAGGGTATCTTCGAGTATTGATTATTAGAAGGTATTGTCCCGGGGGCGCGGTTTAGAGAGGAGCTCCACCCACTAGATGAGGACTGAGACAAAAGTAAAGATAGTGATGTACCTGAGTTGGCCCCTCCCATCTTGGGCCCTCCCCCCTCAGCCATTCTCTTGTTAGCTAGTAGTTTCACGTCATCATGATGAACAGGGTATGAAGGGACCACGCCCCCGTCTCTCAAACGAGAAATAGAATAAGAATCATGATGAGGGACGGGGTCAATATTATCCATATGATGGTAACCATGGAAACGAGAGGAACTCCTCATCATAGGTTGTTCCTCGTATGGTGGTACATGTTCATATTCGTCAGGGCCAGGTGGTTTTACATGAGAAATGGGCAGAGACTCAAATGACGACCTCTTTGGTCTCCAACCAGGAGGCGGAGCCCCGGGAGGACCCCGCCCCATTTCATTTCTATGCTTCATTCCGTGATAATAATCATCATAATAATGATCCATTGGGGGGTGTGGCCTAATTCTTTCATCATACATGTGGGGCGGAGTCATCTCTCTATAAGGACCCGGTCCGTAATATGGAGGAGGAGGTGTAACCCCAGGGGGGGTCCCTCCGGCAGGTAACGGTAAATGAAACTGCTTGTTATGCTTGACGTGTTTCCTGTTAACGACAGACTCGTAATGTCTATCAGGATATGGACCCTCCTCACTGATTGGGTGATAGTGCATGTGAGGGCCAGGGGGTGGAGGGTAATCATACGGGGGCAGGATGTGATGAGGAGGTGGTGGGCGTGGCTGAGGCAGGTGTGGCCTCCCTAGTGGCACATGGTGTGGGTGAGGGAACTGGTGATGGTGTGGGTTGAACCCTGGGTAAAAGGGAGTGGCATCGTGAGATAGTGACGAAGGGGAAGGATTGGATCTCTTCTCTTCTCCTCCTGTGCTATGCTTCTTCCTATCTTTTGAAGGACTAGTCACAACTGGCTCTGTCTTTTTGCTTCCCTTCTCTCCTCCTTCATCGTTACTCACAACTCGTCGAACTATTATCTTTTCTTTATTTGATTGAAGTAATGAAGCTGCTAGTTCATGTGGATCCTTTCTCTGCTGTTTCTCATTATTATTAACAATTCCGCCCTCTCTCTCTCCCCTTGTAGTGCCATCAGTTTCAACTGACGATGGTCCTGAATCAGCACTTTTAATATCCTCGGCTCCGCCCTCTTGAGATAGCTCTAGTTTCTGAGGGCGTGGCTTAGGACTGGACTCCTTCAGTGGAGGCTCAACCTCAAGAACAGGATCAGGAGGAGAAGGATCAGTTTCAATATCTGTAACTGGTACTATAGGTTGCTCTGATATAAACCCTCCCCTTCTGTTATCATTAGCCATTGGGTCATTATGGTGTTGTTCCAATTCTTTAGTCTCCAATTGAGTGGGTGGAGCCTCTTCTTGAGTGGGCGGGATTTCCTCTTGAGTGGGTGGAGTCTGTTCCTCGTCGTTATTATCAGTTGAATTGGTTGAGTTTGAGGCAACTGATTCTTTATCGAGAGATTCTTGAGAACCGTGAAACCTTTTAGATCTCAAACCAGTCCCGTTACTATTATTAGTAACAATACTGCTACTATTATTAGACACACCGTTACTATTATTAGTAACAATAGTGTTACTATTATTAGTAACAGTAGGACTCTCTCTCTGCCTCCTCCTGGTTAGCTTATCTTCTTTCTTCAATTGTTTCTGTTTCTTTTTACTCTTTGCGGCTTTAATCAAGTGAGGGGGTGTGGTCAGTTCAATGGTGGGTGTGGTCAGGTCCTCGTCAGTCTGTGGCTCCTCCTTCACTTCAATGGTTTGTCCTGTGAGAGGTTCCTTAGTGTATGATGGGTGTGGCTTAGAAAACTGGGGCTTAGGCAATTGTGGGTGTGGTTTAGTCTTCCTTTTAGCTCCAGGGTGTTCTTCAACTGGAGAGAAGTCCTCACTGGCTCCACCCACAGACCCGCCCACACTACCTCCGCTACTGGTGTCATCAGAATTTGGTAAACTCTCGTCTGATTCCTTTCTAACTAACAGCTCATCAACTTTATCGTCAATAGGTGTCATACCTCTTTCCAAAGTCACACTCTTACAAGGCTTACGCTGAATCGGCTTCACTTTCTTGACGTTGGGGTCTGGTGGGCGTGACCTCAAGTCTGTTGAGGAGGTGCGGTCAGGTTTAGTGGTACATGTAACGGTAGCAGGTGTTTGGTGTCTCATTCCAGTTTCATAATCAGTAACAGACTGATCCTGTTTAGAGGCATAATGTACTGACAGTACAGTGGACGATGGAACAGTGGACAATGGTACGGTAGATGATGGTACAGTAGATGAGGTAGCAGTGGCTAAAGGTGAAAGGGTCACTGGACTAATGGCCGATGATAATGAAAGAGAAGAGACACTACTGGAAGTAGCACTGAATATGACACTACAGAGACAGAGAGAGAGGATACAATAGATTGTACATGATGGTACGGTGGGTAGGTACCTTTCTATTGGTCTTTTCACTGACTGGTGCTGGCTGGGTGTGGCTATTGGTAGTGATATATTGCTGGTCATTTTCTTAATGTCAGAGAAACTGAAGAGTTTACCACCAGTGGGCTGAATAGGAACATCCTTAACAACCAATGTCTCCCTAGTAACCACAGGCTGCAATAGTTTACTAGTGTGCCACTTCACCTGAAAAATACAGTAAATAAATTAACACACACAAACTAAAAATAGATACTGATACTAAAAATAGATACTGATACTCTTAACTAGCACCCTCAATAGCGGACACATACATTATAAACACACATTCACCTGTAGTACAGTGACTATGATCATTATGAGCAGTGCTATGATCCAGAGTGGGACCGATAGGTAGGCCGTCATGTACTCTAGGTCTGTAGGAGGTGTGGCCATGTAACACAGCGAGAGCATGTGGTGAGGTAGTACAGCAGAGAGGAGGAACTCAACCTGAGAACCTTTAGATGAATGAAGGACCAGGGGAGACGTGATACGAGAGACAGTGAAGTCAGGAGAGCAGCTGGAAACAATAGGAGTCATTAGGACCTATGATGTAATAGTAATAGTTACCTTATTTCAATATTTCGTGTTTTGTTCGGATATATGATGAACTGCTTCTTACAATTAGATACTTTAAAACCGTTTCCTTGGCAACCACCATTAGGTCCTATACTTATTCTGTTGATGGTGATGGGGGCGGGGCCAGAATTACGAACATGAAACAGCTTCCAATGAGTGAGGAGATCAGTAGTGGACATACCACCTGAAGGAGAGCATAACATAAATCAATAAACAAATTAAAGGCATACATTCCATCCCATTGATGTATCCTTCCAGCATTGATTGGGTGAATTCAAATAGGAGGGCTCCCCCTTGGTTACCGTTGCTAGGGTGAACCCCATCAATAGTTATGAACCCACGGCTAGAGGATCCCTTTAGCACCACAGGGTCCAACACAGTGAGGTTGTTCTTCAGTAGCAATATATCATTATCATTATTATTGCTGTTATATTCTTGCATAGGATTATAACGTATAGTCAAGGTTCCAGTCCCCCTCGGAGGTAATATTAAATCCAAGGGGTCTAATACAGGTCCCTTTACTGGTTCCGGTCTCAATATACTAAATGAATTTTTACTGAAATTACTAGCGAAGGGTTTTAGTTTATAAATCTCCGATAAAAGTGTAAAGAGCTTATGAGAGGACTCAGAATGATCCGATGACAATAATAACGGCTGAATGTATAGGGGGTGGGGCGAAGGATTGCGCAATAGCAACTTCATTTCCTAAAATATACCAATAATATACTAATAATATACTGACTTACAGTATGGTTTCCAATCAGTGTTAAAGGGAATGAGACTGTATGAGATGATGCAATCCGCGGCCAGACAAGTGACCCCTCCCCCCGGACACTCGTCACTTCCTGTCTATCACCGGCTGTTGCCATGGTTACGTTATAGAATAACTGAATATTAAAATTAATATTAAGTAAACTTGACGACTGTTGCAGGAGGTCCACCCACACACTCCAAAGTGAGTTTAAATGTGCGTACTCCCTTATAAGGGAATAATCATTTTTAACCCTTTGACCACTCATTAAAGACGTACCTATAAATAGTAACACGTACATGTATTAATGCATGATAATAATAATTATTATTACAATTTAAATTGATTCTTGTAAGCTTCTTCTTATCAAAAACAGAAAATGGATCTAATCTGACCTCACCAATCTATAAACAACAATAAACAACAACAATAAACAACAATAACAATAACAGGTTGTTTACCAGTGTTGTAGTGCTTGGCTTCAGGACAGGTAGAGTATCAGGTAGTATCAATGGCAGTGAACTGTTATTAACTGGTTCCAGAACTAGTGAAACCAGTTTGACTGGTTTAGTAAACGAGTTCTTTATACTTAGACGAACAACAGAACATAAACACTATTAATGATTATTAATATTAATTAACTGTTATTAATTAACTAACAGGGTATGAAGGAAGAAATTTGATTAAGTTTGGAATAAAAGTCAATTCACCTTTTACCGCAACATAATTTATTGGAACAGGAGTAACCTATTAATAGTAACATAATGACATCATCATGAGCTATTATTAGTAACACACCTTCCCAAGAGATGAGTGGATCAGTATCTCCCCAGTATAAGACCCCGCCCTCTTTGGACAGGTAACATTAACACGATAAACAACAAACTGGCCTGGCTTCAGTACGTGTTGCTATAGAAACAAATTATGTAAATAAACATGTACATGTAACGTACAGGTGGGTATCGGCCCCTTCGTAATCCTTCCATTAAAATGGGCGGAGTTCTTGTCTTCGGTTCATGAGGTGGAAATAAAATAGCATCAACACTAACACCTGTATATTAATAATTAATAATTAAATTAATAATATTTAATAATATTTGACATTACCTGGTATATTACTGCCTTCTTGCACTGTTATACTATTAATAGCAACCTGTAAATAAATAAATAAATAAATAAATTAATTAATTAATTAATAAATAAATAAATAATGATAATCTCACTTTGACCGGGTTATTATTAGTAATTGTGAATATTTTATTAACTCTTTCCTGGTCCGTGAGGACACCGAACTCAAGAGCATCAGTGTCAGTGTCCTCAAAAGTATACTGAAAATATACAAACTTAGTAAATCATTAGTATATTATGAGTATACTATTATAAAGTCAGTAAACTCACGTCTAGTCTCCCATCATAGCACTGGAGTGGTATGTTAAAAAATGACATGTTGGTTGATAGTCTGAGAGTGGTGTTGAAGAGACAGTCTGAAGACTGGGGCTTGAACTTGAGGACCAGAACTGTATGAGGGGCACCATCAGGCGGTAATACGTATGGAGATGAGAATGATAATATCTGAATAATCATGATAATAGTAAACTTTAGTATATCATAGTAAATCTTAGTATACTTACAGTGAACCAGTTCTGTACTTTAGAACTTAGTTTAGCGGAATAAATAACAACAGGGTCTTCAAAAAGGTTCGTGAGTGTCAGGTTGCGTATGATTGGGTAAAATGGAGGAGCATCAACACGAAACAGCATTGCCTCAGCATCATAATCCAAGGATCTATAAATAGCAACATTACACCATCATTACTGATACTATTAATAGCAACATTACCCTTTCATAATATGAGCCTCATAAGGAACTTGTACGTGATAAAAAGAGGTGTGGTCTTCCCCCCATATCTTTATAATTCCGGTACTTTTACCCCCGGGGGTAGTTGAATTTACAAAAAATGACAATGAAGCAACACGGATATACTTCAGACCAGGTTTGAGTGAAATGTTAGTGAAATTAACAACAATTGGAAGATCATCTGGCAATGTCATTGACTATAGAAAGATACCAAAACTTTAATGAAATACATGTACATGTACATACAGCATAAAGTAAGACCATTTAACCAGATATACATTGTATGTACATATACATGTACTATAGTACAGGGGCTTTTATCTGATTTCAGAGCAACTTTAAAAATTCGTAAAAAATCCAAATTTGATCGGAATCAACTCAAACTTTCTACACAACATAAGAACATGTATATGTATCAGGGAATGCTATAAAAATTGCAAATTCTCTACTTTTCATTTTTGGCAAAATTTGGCCCGAGACCATGTACTATAGTACAGGGACTTTTACCCGATTTTGGAGTAACTTTAAAAATTCGTAAAAAATCCAAATTTGATCGGAATCAACTCAAACTTTCTACACAACATAAGAACATGTATATGTATCAGGAAATGTTATAAAAATTGAGAATTCTCTACTTTTCATTTTTGACAAAATTGGCCCGAGACCATGTACAGTACATTATATCCTGTTGCAGTTACTGTACCTTCAGTTCCACAGTATATGGACCAGCATTCAACATATAGAGCCAGAGTTTAGTTTCAGCTGGTGATGCATAAAATAAAATAATAAAATTAACAAACGCAGCCCCTGACTTACCTCCAGTCCGAACAACTCCAAAATCAAGATATTCACGAGAAAGAAATAATCCATGAGCTAATTAATAATAATAATAATAATAATAATAATAATAATAATAATAATAATAATAATAACAGTGTAGGTACAGTACACTGACCTTGGCAAACCTCAACTTCAAAAGGTAGTACAATTGATGGCTCAGACGAATGGTTTGATTTTATTCTTATAAAAGAAGTGAAATTGTCTATTGACTCTCCGTGGAAATTGACACGAGCTATTGTCTTAGTCTCAAAAGGTCTGATACCCTGAGAGAGGGAGGGAGGGGGAGGGTTGAACAGGGGATAGTACAGCTGCTAGTCTTACCCATGCAGTTTTATTCCCTTCATCAGCACCACTCAACATCTCAATGTGAATAAACTGACTGGAGGAATAGACCTCTACTATCTAAAACAATATAATAATAATAATAATAATAACAATAATAATAAATAATAATAATAATAATAATAATAATAATAATAATAATAATAATAACAATAATAATAATAATACTTCACCTGGAGTGGTACAGTGAAAGGGTTATATATTGATATGAGAGGTTGGTAGGTTGCATTGAGAGGGATACGGGCTCCTCTCAGGCTCCGTAAACGAAATAAACTGGCCACACCTACACCTCTCACCTATAGATAGTATACTAATAATATACTGAAGAGTATACTGGAGTATACTGAGTAGTTGCAGGTGTACAAGTTAATGATTTGATAAAATGTTAATGGAACACAATACACATGCTACCACCTGCAGACACTATATTCCAGTATACTCTAGTATACTCCAGTATACTCTAGTATACTCCAGTATACTACCTTATACTCAAAGATCCCAAGAGATGAGTGTATGATGATTATATCTTCAAGGTCCCCAGGGACTCGCGGTAAGAACATGACGTCAAAAGAGGTTGTTTCGCCTGGTCTTAAAACCTGGAGAGAATCAGCTATTAGTGTCGCATTACTTTTAATTAACAAGAATTCCATGATAATTAGGAATGGAATGTACCATCAACAAACAGTACCAATACACATCATATGTACATATACTGTATGCTCTCTCCTCTCTCTCTCTCCCTTTCCCTCACTTTGTCGATAAAGAAAGATGAATGAAACTCGGGGAGGGTTCCTGATATTGAGATGAGTTGAAGTGTAAGAGAGTTCGTTGGATTAGTTAAAGTAACAGTGTGGAGGACAGGCATACCCACTGACCTATCGGGAGAAAGGAAATGGGTGTGACTTCCAATAAAGTAAACAAGTCAATTAAGATTTATAAAATGAACAAGTACATGTACATGTAGAACTTCCTGTGGTGGCAGAATTGTGTGCACTTTCACACATTCATTGACAATAAACTGGTTTGTAGTACAAATGAGGAAGTGAATTGAGTCAGAAAAATATGACATGCCAAGAATGTTTAAGAAACACTTACTGGTCCTTGAAATCAAGAGCAGGCGGATCAAACGTGACTGGGACTGCCGAGGGAAGGTCTGAGAGAATGTCACTCGTCTCAGAAATACTGTAAAATAATAATATATGAGACCCCGCCCACTTTAATTACCTATCTGTCTTTGATAATAGAGAAGATAATCTGTCAAACTAAAGAAAATAAATAAACAAATAATAATAATAATTATTATTATTAATAATAGTAATGTAATACAGGTAGTATTATCAATTACAATGAACTGATAAGGTCAGGTTATACACGTATTTATATACATGTACATGTAATGTAATTTATATGTACATGTACATTGTATTGAATAAAAAGGAAACCAAGATGAGTCATTAATGACACTTGTTGAGATTTCAGCAAATTCTGACAATAAGTTATCTGCACACTCCATTACCATACTCCACTATACATTCCAGGTATATATAGTACTACATAAAAAACCGTTTGGTTGCCAGCCCACAAAAGAGGTAGTACAGTTAATAATGGCTAGCTTTTAAAGGAGGATGAGTGTCTTACTTCTGTATCGTCGAGAAAACAATTTCTTTTAGAATTCAAATGTGAACATCTAGAATTTACAACACCTACAAGTAACGATACATTTATACGTAAATAAAAATGTTTTCATCGTATACATATTGAGTACATGTACATGTACGTGTCATTAAAAGAGAAGAAGACAATAGCCTAAACTTACCACCTTCATCTTGTTGAGTGTCCTCGTTTTGACTGTGTACAATGGCCACTAGTCTCCCGATATAAAGGAACAGAACAACAAGATAGGGCAACTTAGCAAGTCTTAACCGACCCATCTTTACTCATCCCTCTCCGTCACACTAACTGAATCAAATAAACTAGTAGAGAGACAGAAAGAAGGTAAGAAAGAGGCTCAAGAACTCGCCATCATCATCATCATAAACTCGAAACACGCAACAAATCCAACAATTGACGGTGGGTGTGGTCTGGATGAACCCACCCTTGTTCTATTTTTAGTAACAACAGGCTAGCTGCAAACACCAGCCCCACCCTTTACTCTGCAGCAGCAACACACCCTCTGGAAAGGAGCTGTAGTCATGTTGAGACAGAAGAAGCATGGCAGCAGAGAGGTAACTAAAGGAATAGCAATTCATTCACTCGTTTATTCATTTATTACTGTAGGGATTATCTCAAGACTTTAGCCAGCAGTTGAAAGAAATCAAATCTGATCTGACAAAAGATGGAGTCAAATGGGACAGCTCTTCACCTGAAACCAATCTCATTAACTTGTGGAAGAAATACAAGAGGACTCACTCCAGACTGGAGGAGTCGTTTGAAGAGGTGAAGACGATCAAGACACAGCAAAGGAAGCAGAATGAAGAGATGCAGCAATACCTGACCAACATCAAGCAACTCCAAAAAGGAAAGAACGACCACGTCCAGCAGATGATGGGAGAGATAAGAGACCTGAGAGATAAAGTGCAGCAGTCAGAGAAAGAGCGGGAAGCTTACTTTAAACAGCATCAGGCAATCACTGACCTCCTGGTCACAGAAGAATCCAATGAATTTGACACATTTAAAAAAGTACAGGAGCTAGTGAAAGAGTGCAGTAGCCTTCGAGAGACACTTTCAGCAACTAAAGAGAACCTAGGCAGAACTGAAGAGGAGAAGAAGTATTTGGAGGAAGAGACTGGGAGGTCTTTGGAAGCACTTGAAGAGGATTTAACAAGAAAAAGGGAGGAGGTGGTGTCAGTGCTTAAAGAGGAGAAGGAGACGTTGATTAAAGATAACACTGAGCTAGTACTGGAGAGAAATGAGCTCAGTAAGGAGGTGGAAGAATTAAAGGAGAGAGAAAGAGAGAGAGAATCCATTATGGAGTCAATCTCAAAGCAGCAGGCAAGACTACAAGAAGAACTCAAGCAATTAATGGAGAGTTTTGAAGAGAAGAAAATGAATCTTGAAGAAGCATTAACAGCAAAAAGATTAAGTACAATTTTATTATTTTAATTAATTATATACTGTATGTATGTTTAGCACAAGAAGCTCTCAAAATATCAGAAGAAACTGTTGAAAAAAACAAAGAAATTATCAGGAAACTTTTGGAAGAAGTTGAATCAAAGGAAGTTGAAATAAAATCTTTCAAAGAAATGAAGACGTCACTTCTGAAAGAGGTAAGAGCAATCTGTTTTCACATGTGTACAGAATATCATATAACTTCAGATCGATGTACTTACTTTAAAGAAACAAGAAAAGGAGACCAAAGAGAAAGAGTTACAGGAAAAATATGAAAGAACAGCAGCTCAGCTTGACAAAGTTGAAACAGCAATGAATGAATCTCAGGTACCCTGGCAACCAATGATTGATTATATCTTGTACAGTGAGAAAGATAGAGAGAGAGGGTGAGAGGGAGAGGGTGAGAGAGAGAGGGTGAGAGGGAGAGGGTGAGAGAGAGAGGGTGAGAGGGAGAGGGTGAGAGAGAGAGGGTGAGAGGGAGAGGGTGAGAGACATAATGTTCATTATGTACACATTATGCCATAGGCAAGCAATGAAACTCTAAAGGCAGAACTGTGCAGTCTTGAATTGAAACTATCAACCATGAGGGAAGAGATGGAGAGTACAAAGACTCAAGGAGTGATGCTGACAACAAAGTAATTATAATCAGCACATGTGACCACATGTCAACATGTTATGTTTCACAAAATAAACATGAACATAGTACAAATAACACTGAACTGAGTTTATTGTATCAATAGGATGGAAAGAGAATCTGAAGAGAAGATACAAAAAATGGTTGATAATTTAGAAGCAGCAGAAAGAGAGAAAAGAAGATTGATAGGAGAGAAAGAACAGCTACTGATCGAAAATGACGACATGAAGAGAGAGAGAGTTCAAAGTGATAACAAAATAAATGAACTTGAGGCAAAATTGGAGGGAAAAGAGGAAGAAATACAGGAGCAACTGGAAACAATGGAGACAGAGAGAGCAGCGATCAAGAAGAAAATGACCTCATGCAAGAACTTACTTGATGGAATAGCAGAAAAGGGAAGAGACATGATGAGTCTTGTCAGTAAAAGAGATGAGGAATTGTGCAGTAAAGCACAGGGTATTGAGACACAACTTCAGGAATTAACAGAAAAGATTCAAAGGTATGGATTTAGAGTAAGAGAGAGAAAGGAAGAGGACAAGAAATTCAAGGAAGCTCAGGAAGAAGTTGAAATAAGAATAACTGAAACAAATGAAGAGAAAGAGAGACTGAGAGAGGGACTGGAGAATATAAAAGAAAAGAATAAATTACTTGAAGAGAATGAAGCAGAACTCAAAGAGAAAATCAGCACACTAGAAGAAGTAAATTTTGAAATAAATATTTATGAAATTGAAATTAAACTTCTTTGCTTGCTTTTAAAGGAGAAAGTTGCTGTTAAAAGTTCTGCTGACAAAGCAATTAATGAGATGCATCAAGAAATAACATCACTCAAAATACAGCTGCAGGAAAAGGTACTCCAATACAAAATGATAACAATTAATAGTAGACTAATATTGTAGAGTAAAGAGGCAGAGTGCTTAACAGAAGAAGTAAGGACAGATACAGATTAGTTTATCATCATCATCATTATTATATTATTATTTATTATTAGCTGAGTTCAGCCTCAAAAGCAGCTGCACAATCACAGACGAGTCTACTAACCCTAACCTCACAACTGCAAGGTAACATACCACACACATAATGTACCACAATGATAATAATAAATAATAATAATAATAATAATAATAATAATAAATAATAATAATAATAATAATAATAATGATAATAATAATAATACTGAGCCTCTGCAGACTCATATCATGTATATATAATAGGACTGCAAAGTGAACTAACTGACAGTCAAACTGGTCATGATAATTTGTCAAGAAGGAATAGCAGCCTTGGAGCTGAACTGACAGCAAAACAAGAAATGATAAAGACACTACAAAGAAAATCAAGAGAAGAGAAAGTAATAATAATAATAATAATAATAATATAAGAATTATAATTATAATATAATCATAGGCCAACTTAGAATCACGAGTACATTCACTAACTCAAGGGAAACATATGATGGAGGAAAAACTGAAAGAATTGCAGAAACAAAAACAAGCCATCAAACAAGAAGCAAATGAGCAACTCCTTCAGTTACAAGTAAGAGCTGATAGTGCAGTTAGAAAGAGACTGATTTATAATTGTGAAAAAGGATGAACTGGAAAGAGAAATTGAAGACAAAAAGACAGTGATGGAGACATTGGACAGTACAAGATCAGCTCTAGCAACTTTAAAGGAAAGTTATGATGAATATAAGAAGAGAAGAAATGAAATGGAAAAAGAAAATGAAGACCATAAAAGAGAAATGGTCACGCTATCTGAACAACTTAAGAAACTTGAGGGAGTGAAGAATGCAAACCAAAAACTACTAGGGAAAATGAGAGAGAATGATGAAGAATTGAACCAACTTAAAGATACTTACAAAGCAAAGGAAAAGGTTCATATTATACATGTACATGTACATGTAAGAACAGATTTTTTAATTTGTAAAAAATTCAAATTTGATTGGAATGAGCTCAAACTTTCTACACAACTTAAGAACATGTATATGTATCAGGGAATGTTATAAAAATTGAGAATTCTCTATTTTTCATTTTTGGCAAAATTTGGCCCGAGACCATGTACTATAGTACAGAGACTTTTACCCGATTTTGGAGTAACTTTAAAAATTTGTAAAAAATTCAATTTTGATTTGAATCAGCTCAAACTTTCTACACAACATAAGAACATGTATATGTATCGGAGAATGTTATAAAAATTGAGAATTCTCTACTTTTCATTTTTGGCAAAATTTGGCCTGAGACCATGTACTATAGTACAGGGACTTTTACCCGATTTTGGAGTAACTTTAAAAATTCGTAAAAAATTCAATTTTGATTTGAATCAGCTCAAACTTTCTACACAACATAAGAACATGTATATGTATCAGAGAATGTTATAAAAATTGAGAATTTTCTATTTTTCATTTTTGGCAAAATTTGGCCCAAGACCATGTACTATAGTACAGGGACTTTTACCCAATTTTGGAGCAACTTTAAAAATTCCTAAAAAATTCAATTTTGATCGGAATCAGCTCAAACTTTCTACACAACATAAGAACATGTATATGCATCAGTAAACATTATAAAAATTAAGAATTCTCTACTTTTTATTTTTGGCAAAATTTTGGAGCAGTTTTAAAAAATTTGAAGCAGTTTTAAAAAATTTGAATGTATTATAAAAGTTGGAGGTAAATCAGCTCAAAATATTGTAGGAGTGTGATGATGTCACTAAAGTCCTCAGAGAGTTAGAAATGAAATTAAAAAAAGACAAAGAAACAACTCAAAATGACAGCCTGAAGCTACAAGAAAGATTGCAACAAGTAAATAAATAAATAATTTATTAATTAATAATGATAATTAATAGTTGGAAGAAGAGCTGGTTTTGACAAGAAAAGAATTAAAAATATCTCAAGAAGAAAGAAGAATATTAGAAAATGAGAATGAAGAAGTAATTAATAAAATATAATAAAATAATATCAATGATGATAATGGTAACAGAAAAAATCATCATTGATTGAAGTAAAGAATGAATTGGAATCACTGCACACAACATATGGACATTATGGAAGCAAAGTATTAATAATAACAATAATAATGATAATAATAATTTATTATTATTCTTACCATCATTAAGGTAAAAGAGTTAGAAACAAAAGCTCAAATGCAACTAGAAATGATAGAAAGTTTAGAGAGAGAGAAAACTCAACTACAAGAAGAAGCTCAAGAAATTACAACACTTCAAACAAAAACTGAGAAACTTGAAGAACAATTGTAAGGATTATGATCTAAAGATACACTTCACTACATACTCTGATCTGTAGGACAGAAAAGGATAGAATCATAAAGCATTTAACTGGTGTTGTGTCTAGCTTGAGGAAAGAACAGCTAGAAACAACTGAAGAGTTAAGTAAGAATGAAGAAGCAATGAAGAAACTACACACAAAAGCAGAAAACAAGATTAGAAAGCTCCAAGAAGAGGTGAATATAGTCCAACATTATTATAGCCATGACCACTGAGCTCAATAGATTGGAGAAAGGAGAAAAGAAAATAGAGACCTGATGACTAGAAACAAAGAATTAGAGACAGAACTAGCAGGAACAAGAGAGAAATGTGATAGTTTAACTGAAGAATTGATTGAAAGCCAACAATCACTAATGATGAAGAATGAGCACACAAAAGAAAAACTGAAGTAATAATAATAATAATAGTAATAATAATAATAATAATAATAATAATAATAATAATAATAATAATAATAATAATAATAATAATAATAATAATAATAATAATAATAATAATAAGTATGATGATGATTGTAATTGGAGCTCATGCAGCTAGTGCATACGATTTGTGGTCACTTTGATCTTTAGCAGAAATATTTCAGGCAACAGTGTCAGCCTGAAAGATCAAAGTAACCACAAATTGTCTACAATAGATCAGCATCATAGTACACAGAACAAAATAACCTATTTTAAATGATGTATTGCTTTGCAGGGAAAGCAATCAAAGAGCAAAAGCAACCCTGAGCTCAAGGATAGACAGCGTGTCTCATGAACTTGTATCAACACAAAAGAGACTAGAACTGGAGGAACAATGGAGACTGCAGGCATCAGGACTACACCAATCACTGGTAAAGGAAAAGAGTGAATTACAAGGAAAGTAAGAACAACAATAATCACAAAATAATTAATGTGATGTGTTAATTATTGTTGATGCAGGATCAGTGAACTTGAAGAGAAGATGAGAGAGAAGAACATCAAAATAATTGAACTGGAAGCATTGAAGGACAGACTAGAAAAAGAAAACAAAATGATAGAAGAGAAATTGAACTCATCACTTCCAAACTTTAACAACACAACCCCCAAGAGACCAAGTACAGCAATGGTAAGTGCATTATATGTGAACAATTGACGTAAATGGCTCTAATTATAGGGACGCTATAGAGGATTTAATAACGACTCATTACTGGATGTAGTGGAAGAGACCGGGAGAGGAGGAGAGGGTTTTAAAATGAACAAAACGCATTAAGTACAAGAACCATTTATACGTACACATACTCTTAAATAATTATTATTTATCATTTTATAAAGCTAAAAAGAATAAAGAGAAGTGAGGAAAACAGGTTCCAACATAAATAAAATAATAATAATAACAGGTGAAGAAATAAAACTAATAATAATTAATTAATTTACTGATACTCTGTAATACTGATGGATTAAAATTCATTAATACTCACAAGACTAATTATTATACCAGTTTCGACCAATCAAATTCATCCTCATCTTCAGTATCGTTCAACAAATCAGTCGCCACTGAGCTAAAAGGGGGCGGGTCCTTATGAGCATGGTTGTATAAAATAGGCGGAGACTCAATGCTACCAATAGTTCTTAAAGATGGATGATAGGGAGGGGGTGGGACTCCGCCCTGATAATGACTGGGGGTGTGGTAGTGGGAGGAGCCTGTCCCACCCACACTATAATTAGAAGAGGCTGGAGGAACATGCTGCGGGTTCAACTGGCACAAGAACTGGTTAAATGAGTCTGACCACTTGGCAAAAGAGGTGGGGTCCATACCTAACTGGGTGTGGTCACCTTCATTAACAGTATCCCATAGTGACTGTATCGTATTAGGACTCAAGCTGTCCAGCTGGTTACTGTCCGCTAGATCTCTCAACCCGTCCATGACGGAGGTAAGACTGGACTCCAACTTTAAACTGGAGGTGCAGGAACTAACTGACCTGCTGCTGTAACTAGTTGAAGGTATTGTAGAGGCAACACCCATTCCATCATTAATCCCGTTTGATGACGATGATGAAAGCATTGGGAAATGGGTGTGGCTTCCACCTACGGAATCAAATAATGATCGGTAGAGGCTACGAAAAGACGCGTTTAGATCATCGAAAGATCCCTCTCCATTTCCCTTGGGGTATTGTGAAGGAGTAGAGAAGTCAGTCTGTCCAGTGGAGGGTACGTGAGAGTGGAGCGGAGGAGGGGGGAGGGAATAGGTTGATGGACGTTTAGAATAGGACACTAGTTCGGAGAGCGTTGGAGAGGGGGACCCATTGGCTGGAGTCGGTTTAAAGCTCTTCTCTTTTCTAATGTCAGCAGGACTGATGGTGTCTTCAACACTCTAGAGGAGGGAGGAAGGGTTGATGATGATTATAAACAATAATGTATAGCATTAACATTGAGTGAGGAATACCAGTGTTAATAGAACCTATGAATAACATTAATAACAATGCAACATGGGAATATGGATCATTTTATAAAAGTGAATAAATTAATCATTATTAATAATAATAATAATAATAATAGTCGTATTCTTGGAACATGGAAATGCAGTGGGTATGTACCTGTATGGTACTACAGAGTAGAATAAAAAGTTTCTAGGAAAATACACGCACACACAGACATTATTTAAAATATAATAATAAGTTATACTGACACTAAATATCTATTGTGGCTATGCATGGAGTGTGTGCTGTGTCTACCAATTAACAAAACAAGAGAGAGAAAGAGAGAGTGAGTGAGAGAGAGAGAGAGAGAGGGGAGGAAATTGACTTTCCAACAACACAGGCAGTGGAAAGAGAGACAGGTGCACTCATATAAAAGTGACATGCAATTAAAAGACAATATAATAGCCAGAGAGCAGTTATTGTATAATGGCATGTAGGAGAGTGAGTGTTTATCAATAAAGAGGAGCAATCAAAGAGTTTGTGTACACTCAAGATAGTGGGTCATTACTAAAAAGAGATGACAGTCCTCTGCAGTAAGTTGACCCACAAACTTACTACTAGTGCACCAACAATCATCATTCACCATGCACACCAACAATCATCATGTACGTACATCAACAACCCGTACTGATGATGCAAAGTGACATCACTTACTTTATCACTGGTCTTTCGTTTCCTAGGAAACCCTGAGCTTGATAGTGTTTCGCTACTGTCTTCAAGAGGAGACGGATCAATCTCCCAGTAAGAACCCTGCATCAAAGAAACAGTCACCATTTTAAATAATACCGACTCCTTTTAAAAGTCCAATCTCTCTTACTTTCCCAGGGTCTTCTTTTGGTCGTGGAACTTTTTGAAAACATTTATTGAGCGACAAGTTATGTCTGATTGAATTCTGGAAAAACAAGATTGTAACACTAATATTATGGCAATAAAAATAGAGAATGCAAGCAATAGCTGCAGTATTATTATATATATATATATATACAGTGTGGTTGTTTGTTGATGCATTGAAAACTGCTAAGTAGCACAATGCAGCCATAAACCACACTGCCTCACATAAATGGCAGGCCATAAGTAGTATTCATCATTACCTTCCAGCCTGTCCCAGCTTCTCTATAATAAGGAAAGTTGTTGCATATCCATGTATATATCTCATTCAGTGTCATCCTTCTCTTTGGTGAGCTGTTAATGGCGTATGTGATCAGTGTAGCATAGGAATAAGGAGGCTTGGCATCATGATAGCGATAGGCCTGGGCCTCCAGAGGATCCAGGACTGCAGTTAGATCAATGGGAGACGGAGGGAGCTTACGACCACTCGCTGGATGTCTTTGTGCATGCAAAGGGATCCGTCCAAAGTGATGATAGTCAATGGAAGCAGTACCAGCATGTACTAATGGCGGCATTGACTGCACCTGCTGGCCTCCAGTACCTGCGACTAGCCCAGCACTGCTTGAAGAGGAGGCACCACCGACTCTAAGCCGAGGGAGCCACTCCATAGCAGTGAGACTAGAGCTAAGGTCTAGTGACATGGTGCCCTGTTACGTTTGCAAGTATAGGTGTCAAAATCAAAAGAGGGAGAGTCTTTCAAACCAGTGACTGGAGGAAACTAGTGCCTAGTAACTAGGATAGACTAGTCTTCTACTGCGGTGGAATAACTACTAGTGACTGCTTCTACTTTGTATCCTTCAGTGCTTAAGCTGTTCCTCTCTCTCTCTCTCTCCCCCTCCTCTTATAAGATTTTGCTCCTTGCAAAAGAGATGACGCCCACTAATTAACCAAGTGGGCGTTAAAGGGCGTGGCTTGAGAAGCAGCTGCAAAAATGGAAATATAATTTTATATAAAAAGGACAATTATAATAATATCTTACATAATATTAAGAAATAAGAGAGTAGCTCTTGCATGTCACGTGATAACTGATGTCATACGGACATATTTTAGTGGTGTCTCCTGTTGCGGTGTGGCTGTCTGTACCAATTACAAACCAACCGATTGGCTTTACAATAATAGACACACATCATCACAATATTGTCAGACAGGCATCCCTTGGAGCAATTCATAATGAGCTATACACAAGTACTGGAGGTCCATGAACATGATATGTGACTAGTGATTGGATGAGTGCGTCTGAGGCCTCAGGAGCAGCTGTAGGCTCACACGCAGTCAGACCTACATGAAACCACAGAGAGGAACGGTGAGAATATGCCTGCCTCAAAGAGAGGAGAGGCAAAGGTTACCAAGGACCCTCTAATGGACAATTACTTAAAATTATGAAGCATAAATCCTGCTAGACTCTGTTACTCCTCAACTCCATTAAAGCAATAGAGACTCCTACAGACTAGTGTTACCAAATGGAGTAGCCTATTAGAAGGAAGAGAGAGAGGGGGAGGGAGGGAGGGATAGACTAGCTATAAAAGATTAAAAGAGGTTGAGGAGACATTAAACAGAAGGTAACAATTAGGAAAAGGAAGAAGTGTCTGTCTGCCATTTAAAACACATTAAAAACTAATAATCACAGAGAGAAAGATGTACATCCTTAAGATATTACTACAGCTGGTTCTTGAAATTTAAAAATAAGAGTAACTCTACATTCTAACCACCAAACACACACACACACACACATACATTGGAGGACGTAATATGATATAACCAATTTATGGGCTATGGCACGTATACATGTACATGTATAGTACTAACAATAATAATAATAATAATAATGTACATCTGGTATTGAATATCACTCAACAGCTGAGAGGCACAGACATACAGACTGTATCAGGTTAATACTCTTAACATATGGTACCGCCAAGAAACCTTTTAAAGACACAATAAGCGACAGGTCATTAGCTATGGACTCACTCATATCATAAACCTGAACACACGCAGAACTCAATGAAGGACACACACAAGAAGAGACTAGCATATCATGTATGCCATAATTACACACGTGCCCTAACCACCACACAAAATAACATACCATGATTACCATCAACATGTACTGTATTGTACTGTCAGATATTAAAGGATAAAGAGGGTTTTGTCCTAAAATTTAATTTAAAAAGTCAAAATTGAATTGACACATGTCATTTTGAGTGCCTTATGATCACTAATGTAGCGCATTATTAAACACACAGATTCAGTACATGTACATGTAATTTCTATAAATAGTAACAGCTGCTGCTATAAATATAAACTAATGGCTCATTGAAACTTGAGTTACAATCCAAGATACATTAGATCATAAATCATTACATGCTACAATAAACGTAACATAAAACCAAATTATGATAATACTCTGACACACGTACATGAACATGTGCCCTGGGGCAATATCTCACTTGTTCTATAGCTTTTCAAATGTTACAGAGTGACCACATTCCTTGCATACTTTAGTCCAAGTCTCGTCAGACTGGTTCTTAGTTTCTGTATCATAGACATGAATATGAGCTCTGTATTGCTTCACTGATGAAGAGTAGACAGATCTCCTTAATTCTGTAGAGAATCAATGCATTAACACATGTACTGCATATAGCAAGGAACTTAGTTTTTGCAATTTTGTCAAAATTATTTTACAAAATTAAAATCAGTGAAATCTCACAAGATGGTTGAATGCCTTGTGAAATAACTTCTGGGTAAGTAATTATCTGCAAAAGTTTAACCGACTGTCAAGTTCTAGCTATCCAATGTACCCCATCATTCTTTATCTTGTGCATACCTTTAACTTGTTTCGAGTATTTCTTTTGCTTTCTCTTCTCTCTTGCCTCCTCCCTCCCCTCCCTCTCCCTCTCTAGTCCTTCAGCTCCGCCCCACAAGTCATGTGACCTTGACTCCACCTACAACACACACCTCACGTTATACATGTACATGTAGTCTACCTGTCTTCTCATGTAAAGTTTCATTTCCCCCCTGGAGCTGTGGGGATTTTTACGTACAATGTACATTAAAGGGGGCCCCCCTCGCTCAGTAAAATCACAATCTTTCAGTAAAAATAACTAAAAATAAATATTGTAAAAATGCATCAGAAGTATCTCGTTACTTCTTTTGCTTCTGTTTTAGTTATTAAAGAATGCTTTCCATCAGGATCCCTACAAATTAATTAATTAATACTAGCCACGCCCAGTACTGTCCCACCTACCTGCAGCTGTCACAGACTGGATATTTAAATTTGCTCCAAAGAAATGAAACGGAAAATTTCTGAGAACATTCCCCACAATCTATTCTATCATCACCAAAAGCAGCACCTAATTATCTATTAATTAGCCACACCCAGTATTAATTAATTAAATTACCTTCATCGTGAACGACTTTCTTAATTTTAGTCGGTCGCTCCTCCTCCTCCTCTTGGCTATCCTCTTCAAGAAAAAACCCACCACCAGTGTCCACCAATTGACCACTGTACCCCCCACCAGTGTCTGCAGTCTGTCGTGTTATTGTTTTATCCAGTAGAACTCTGTTAGCTCTTAAGTTAAGAGCAATCTGCCTGTTCCTCTCAGCTCTCTCCCTTTGAGCTGAAGTCATGCTGACAGTACTAGTCTCTTCAGCCTTTGACGGAGAGAGATTTGAAGAACACTCTTTGTTGGAAGGTTTTTCCGCCATGATAGTGGCCACACCCATACATTAATAATGGTTAATTAACTGGTATTACAAATTTAATCATTATTATTTAATAATTTGAATTTAATAACACAAAATGTAAATTATTTTTCTTCTTTATAAATCAGTGACAATTTAGTTATTATCTGCTCAAGAATAGAATTACCTCCAAGACTTTCCACTTCAGCAAGAGCTCTAGAGCAAGAAATATTATTACAATAAAAATGGAGAATTCTCTCGTTATTAATTTTGGCAAAATTTGACCAATACTGTACTATAGTACAGAAACTTTTATTCAATTTTGTAGCAACTTTAAAAATTCATAAAAAATCCAAATTTGATCGGAATAAGCTCAAACTTTCTACACAACATAAGAACATGTATATGTATCAGGGAATGTTATAAAAATTGAGAATTCTCTACTTTTCATTTTTGGCAAAATTTACCCCGAGACCATGTACTATAGTACAGGGACTTTGGTCTGATTTTGGAGCAACTTTAAAAATTCGTAAAAAATCCAAATTTGATCGGAATCAGCTCAAACTTTCTACACAACATAAGAACATGTATATGTATCAGGGAATGTTATAAAAATTGAGAATTCTCTACTTTTCATTTTTGGCAAAATTTGCCCCGAGACCATGTACTATAGTACAGGGACTTTGGTCTGATTTTTTGGAGCAACTTTAAAAATTCGTAAAAAATCTAAATTTGATCGGAATCAGCTGAAACTTTCTACACAACATAAGAATAAGAACATGTATATGTATCAGGGAATGTCATAAAAATACTCTCTATTACGTTAATTTACTTTTTTTCTAATTCCCTCATGCATTGAACACAATACTCCAAAGAACCAATTTCTGTTAAACACTCCACGAAGTACTTCTTAATATCGTTATTTGAAGGTCTCTGTCTTAAAATACCTAAAATGTAACAATAATAAATGAGCTATTTTAATTACTAGTAATTAATAATAATTAATGTTATAATTTTTATTAACGTCATACTTAGCAGTTTTGATGACTCATCATTTTTAATCCCGTGTATAATTGGAAAAGAAAATTTTCCTTCTGTAATATCTTCGCAATAACTCTTATTTTCAGAATACTAAAATAAATGAAATTAAATAATTTTGCTAAGTATGCTTGCCCTTCTCTATTTGACACTGATCTAATTAAACTGTACGGTATCTTACTTCTAGTGACATTAAGTTGGCATAATCATCTCTAATTTGAAAGAACAGGCCAAGAGTATCCAATAAAGAGTTAAAATCACTACAAAATAGTAATAAATAAATAAATAAATTAATTAATTAATTAATAATAATAAATAAAAATACCTTTTATTGTCACTGAATAATTGCATTAGATCAACTGCTAGTTGGAACAACCCACCAGTTTCTATTATAACAACAACAACAACAACAACAACAACAATAATAATAATAAACATACAAGCTCACTTTGTTTGACCATTACTTTATACTCTTCCTCAGTTGGGCAGGTGTAACTGTCCCGCCAATAAATGTCCTTTCCTTGTCCTTTATGTAGCTTTAATAACTCACCTATTAATTAAAGGTAGCTCCACCCACTAATAATTAGCAAATTAATAAATTACAAGTGAATATTTCCATAGCTTTTGGGTGGCCCAGCTGGAGTGTCCTCTCCATGGCAACAAAATAAATATAATTAGCCGAATTGATTGCTGAAGCGACACCAAACACTCGATGAGCAACTAAAAATATATTTTATCATCATTATTATTATTATCATTATATATTAATTACCTGGTATCCCTCTTCTCAGTACAGAGTTGTCTTCAATATCATCAATACTATACAGTCCGGGTAGAGGTCACGTGACTCTCACATGATCTCTTACTTACATTAAGCTTGAGTTGTGCAGCATTTGCGTAATATCTTGAATAGCTTTCATTTTATCGTCAGGAATTTTCAACCAAGTATTGAACGCCTAAAAAACAATAATAATAAACTCACAGCTGCTATATCTACATGTACATGTACACATACGTGTATTAATTTAATTCTTATTTCTTTTCCTTTGACTTCACAAACGTATTGATATGGCTCTCTCAATATCTGAAGAATAAAACTAAAATTATAAAAACTACTGCATTTAAACCTTTTCATAACTGTCTTCTGAGCTTTCCTTTTCAGCCATTTTGAGGGTTAAAAATCAACTATTAACAGTAGGACACACCCACCTAATAACTTAAAAGTCAAAAATTGATAGTAAAATACAAACTAAGAATCACTTTAATAATGATAATAATAATAATAACAACATAGTGATACCTGATACATAAGTTAAGTAATCATAAAATGAAAAGTGATTGTAAGATTATAAAAGAGAGAAAGAGCATATGAAAAATGGTAGCTAAGAGCCACACAAACGTATAAACAAAGTTAATGTATAAGTCACTGTATGTTATCTTCATTGTTCGTCAAATTTGATTGGTTGATGAGGTTATGACGCGTGGGCGGTCGCCGCTTTGCAAAAGGTTTTTGAGTTACTCTATTTTTAGTGAGAGATGAGAGTGTAACAGCAGCTGGTAAATCTAAAACACGATAATAATGAAACAAGACCATATTGAACAGTTATATACTATGCACCTGGTAATGAATCTCTTTCTTCAGCTTCATTCTCTTGTTGATTCTCTTCAGCTAGTTCCTTCTCTTCATCAGTGGCAACTGCTACTGGTTCTTCCTGAACTGGTGGTACTGACAGTTCCTCTCTCTCTTCATTTTCTACTTTAATAACACAAGGACTTCTATGAACAGCTTCCTCTCCTCCAGCAAACATCAGTTGTCTTTTAAGGAACTCTTCCCTCCCTGTACCAGTAATGGCTACATGAGACTGTCCTCCATTGCTAGTTGAGAGAGAAGATGAAGGAAAAGTCTCAGACCTTTTATTCAATGTGTGACTTGGAAATGGCTCCAGTTTAGGAAGACTTGCTGTCAACACAGCTCTATACAATAACAACATGTCAATAATAATAATGATGATGATGATGATACTATAATTGTCAATATGTACAGTACCTGTCTCTTTCAATGAGTTTCAGTTCATTCTTTAGTCTTTCTTTCTCTGATATAGCCTCTTCTTGTTGACTGCCATTCTCCAACTGATGGCTCTTCTTCTCATTCTCTTTCTTTTCCTCTAAAGCTTCCATCTTCTTCTTTAAAGGAGCAGGAGATTTAACCTGGAGCAAAGAAGAGACAGTTAAACAAGTACTATAGTGCAGTGTCAAGAGAGGAGAGAGTCCACACTTTACAGTATAGTTGGCCTACAGTTTCTTCTACAGTCTAAAGCTACAGTGTGTAGACTGATAGTGTATTGAGGCCTTTTGGTATTGGATATATATATATGTACATGTACTAGTAGCTGATGGTGGAACTTTAGAATGTTGTTTTATGTAGCATGAACAACTGCCATTGATTACAGTAAGAGCCACAGCTGGCACACGCTACAATGAAAGAATAACATACCATCAACTAATAGAGACAAACAGATAAAGGCGGCAGTAGTTACTAATAACATAGCAACAGAGTATAGACACACTGTGGTGTCCATGATATAGTGGATACAGTACTGTATTGTGAAGGATTATAAGGAATGAGGCAAACTGCTACATGTAACGTATGAAAAGGAGTATTTATCATCATCATCATCATCATCATCATTTATTATTATTATTATTATTATTATTATTATTATTATTATTATTATTATTATTACATTCTCCTTGGTGTCTTCTTGTAGTTTGCTCAGTCTGTTAGCCGCAGTTCTTGCTACTGAAGTGAGGTCACGAATATCTTTAAGAGTAACAGCTAGTTTATCCAACTGTTCATTAATAATACTCTCTATTACCCTGTAAACAACAACAACAACAACAACAACAATAATAATAATAATAATAATAATAATAATAATAATAATAATACACTGTATGTGTGTGTCAGTAACTGTACAGGATTCATGCATATCATTAAGTCAGGGCATTTGATGAACATTCAAAAATTTTCCTTTGAAGAAAACACCATGCAAGCAGAGACTGGTCTGCAGTGCCTTAAGCTTGACTTTATAAATGCATGCAATGTGACAAGGCTATCGTGGGTTGTCCTGATATTCTCATGTAACTATGTGTAGGTGTAACTATGTTCTTGTATGCTCATCACTTTGTCTGTTTAGGCATCATCTTTAGGAGCTGGTCCGGATTAGAAGAATTGTCTCCTTGTAAAAGAGACGGAGCAAATATGATGGCAAGATTGTGTGGATCCATTTTATTGACTGCTCCCTGCTGTGCTATCCTAGAGAGATAACAGAGACAGTTGAAGATGATTCCCACTGAAGGGACTACCTCCTACCTGGCTAGGTTGAATATCAGTCTCTCAAAAACACAGTGATTCATGTCAGGAAGACGATCTATAATCCTGTGGAGCGTCTCCATCATATCAGCAGGATCAGACAGATCTTTAAATAAATAAATAAATAAATAAATAAACAGTGGGTATATTACCAGTGGCTCTTATAAAGTCATTGTAGAGGTGGCGGGTTAGAAGTGGTTGAGGGAGCTCTCTAAAAAAAGAAGTGACAGTGGCGGCCACTGCATATAAACTAAAGTTATCTAAATCAACTCCCTCAGGATCTGGAAAGATGTGAGACTCGTTAATTCATTATTAATTAATATTAATTAATGTACCATTCTCAAGGGCCTCTCTTACTGATCTTTTACTAGAGCCACCTGCTGATCGCCTGTATATACCTTGAGTATAAAGACCTTCAAAATAAATAATAATAAATAAATAAATAAAATTAGTGATTAATGTACCATTGTTTTCAATGCAAATGAAGCACTTCTCTAAGAAGGTTGGTACTTTTATTGCACCAGCTGGAACCAGTTGCTCTAATGGCACTCCAAACCTTGACTTAGAAGAAACCTCATTAGCAACCTGAAGGATAAGGATAATAATAATAATAATAATAATAATAATAATAATAATAATAATAATAATAATAATAATGATTAATAGATTACTTTAGCTCCTCCCCCTCTGCTCCACCCTTTTCCTTCACATTTCAGTGACACCTTCTTAGTACAATATTCATGACAAGCATAACTGCACTCTATGATAGTTAATTAACAGTTATTAATAGTTAATTAACAGTTATTAATACTTAATTAACCTTGACACATTTCCCCTTTAGCCAGTACAGGAATGAGAACAGAGCACTGATCACAGACTGTCCTAGCATTAAACTGAGTCAGAACAAACTTGTGGCCTTTATGAGTCTGTAAGAGAGAGAGAGAGAGAGAGGGAGGGATAGGGTTAAATATTAAAAGTACAAGTATTGATTCTCATACCCTGAAGTGAACTTCCTTGGTAGCTGTCGATTTTCTTCTTTTCATTTTTGTTGGCCGCATTTTAGAATCATTACTTAAAACCCTCACCCTGTATTGTCTAAAACAACAACAACAACAACAACAACAACAACAACAACAATAATAATAATAATAATAACAATGATAATTACCTTGATTTTACAAACTCATCGAGGAGTGTCCTAATGTGATTGACTCCAATAGCGACATCAGATGAATGAAGAGGAAGGTTCTCATTGTACCCCATAGAGCGATAGATGCTGGAGAACTTGTTGACCAGATTGTCCATAGTATAAGTGACTGGAGTGTTCTTTGTAGAAGAGGAGGAGGAGGAGTCAATATTAGTGGGAGGAGTTGAAGCTGTTGTGTGACCGTTGGTATCAGAAGAATCCTTTAAGAAGAAATATACATTAATAATACGTGTACATGTATATGTACATGTACATGTACACGTACATGTACATGTACATGTATATGTACACGTACATGTACATGTACAGTGCAGCAAGTGGCAATTTCAATGGAGGGAAATTTTGGCAAATTTGGCAAATAAAACTGAACCATTTTACACCATTTTATGCACATACGTACAATGTACATGTGTAAAAAGGCCACAAATTCATCAAATTAAAACTAAAAGCTCAACCAGAAAGAGCATCAAGTGGTTGACATAAGTACATGTAGCTCATACCTGATGCTGTTGGACTGTGAGTGAGTAATTGGAGACAAGATTGAACTGGAATTCACACAAAGACTTTTGAAAGATATTATCAAGCGGCTCAGTTCTATCAGGCGTGAGTTGAGCCATTTTATGAAGTAACTGCACGTGCTGTAACAAGAATATCAATAAATATTAATAAATGAATGTTGTTACTTTTTCCACTAAAAATCGTGAGAGCTCGTCCAATTCATCATTATCAGATACCACAACCTCCGTTGCCATGACAACCTGTTGACCAGGTCTGGCAGGGTCGTTACACAGTGGAGCTCTGTCATGACAGTGTTTATGAACAACAATACCACAGGCTGAAGGAAAAGGGAGGAGAGTATCCACGAGTAATATATGATGATCAGGTATTGTTGAAGTACTTACTGACGCATTTAGATCCTTGTTTCAGAAACCCACTGAACCCTTTACTGCACACCAGACACACCAAAGACTTGTTCATGGAACTGGTTTTATACGAATGGACATCTGTTTCAAACAATAAATTAAATACATTATATACATGAAGACGTAACCATTACTTGGTTTTGAATCCTTTGATAGGTTAGGTGGTTTCTTTGAAGGACTCAGTCCAAGGTATGGTGTGTTCTCCCCACTGGCACTGGGTGAGGTGATCCTTTGTATCTTTGAAAGGAGGGGGTGCCCCCCGGCCTCCTTCTTGGGTCCTTTTAGTTTAGGACTCCTCCTCCCCCATCTCTTCCTGTTCACTACAAACCGACTCTCCTTAGGACTCTCACGAGCTGACTCCTCCTCCCTAAGAGAGAGAAAGGATATCATAATGGCTGCATGGGTTTGAGGATTATGGCCTGAACCTAACGGCAATAGTATTACATTGATTTTTAATTGTGAGTTTTTAAAATCCATTTTCAAAAACCAGCTGTTAATGTACATGTACATGATCAAAGCTAACCTTTCCCCAGTGGGTGTGTCTCCAGTGTGTCTCAACTGATAGTTTGCCTGGTACATGTCATCAGGTGAGAGTCCTCGTGTAAACTCACACGTTTCATCAAAGGACCGACTCTTGAGTGCCTCTGAGAGGTGGAGTGAAGTAGTGAGAGTTGAAGATGAAGTAGGCGGAGTTTCATTATCTAATTCAGCAGCATCGCCTAGTGAACGAGTGATACCTCTTTTGGTGGGCGGAGCCTCTTTATTAGAGGCCACACCCTCTTCAGTTGTCGTGGTAACAGTAGTATCAAGATCTTCATCAGATAAAGAGTCTAGCAAGAGGTCATCAGGTGGTTTGGGGGTGTGACCTGAGGGGGTGTGGCCCCCAGTCTTGTTCTGTACTTTCCATCGTTGAGGCTTCTTACGAACTGCAGGAGCTTCTTTTAAAGGTGTGGTCCTCGTTTCCATGACAACCGGAAGTTCTTTAGTAACAAGAGGAATATCATCTTTCATTACAATAATATTTTCATTGCCTTCTTGCAGGGGTTCTGGGGAGGAATTTCCCTTGAGGGGTTCCGGTGAAGGGGTCACAGATTGACGGTTTTCTTTTTCAAGAAACGGCGACTTCACACGACCAATGGGAGCCTTCCGAGAGAGCTTAACAGGGTGTGGCTTGTTGTCATGGTTACCAGAGAACTGATCTATAATACCAGTAATTTGGGCGGAGTCAGTTGGTGGAGCTTCTTCAGAATTTTTAAATTTTTTATTAAATTCTGAATCGGCAATAGTGGGTGTGGTGTCAGTAACAGAAGGAGAGATAACTTCGGTAATGGGTGTGGCTAAAGTAGGTGTGGCCACAGTTTTGGTGGGTGTGGTTTCAGGTCTATCACCACCATTAGAGGTAGAGAGTAGAGTATCAATGTCAGCTAGGACTAGAGGAGCATCCCTTTCCTTTTCTTGTTGCAATATTTCAGTTTCAAGTGACTCAAGATCACTTAATAAAGACTGCTCTTCCTCAGCCATTTTCCTTTCTCTCTCTCGTCTGATTTGCTCCTTCTCTATAGCTTCTTCTTCTAACAGTCTCTTCCTCTCTCTCTCTCTTTCAAGAGCAGCGTAATAACTAATAAATAATAAAGTTTATTCATTTTAACATTTAAAGATGTCACTCACTAAATTGACTAATGTATTAGCTAGTACACACACAAACAATTAAAAATGGAACACTTGACTCACGTCTTCCTAGCTGACTTCCCCCTCCAGTGTGCTTGGAATAGAACAGCTGCTTCTCTTAAAAGTAGAAAACGTTTTCTGTGAAAGTATGTCCTCCAGGATGATTGGATGATCACTGAAGAGCAAACCCTCTGGCGATAGTTAGAATAATTCTGTCTAGATAGAAACCCTCTTGAATACCTCTGAGAGAAAATGAAGCAAATAATGATAATAATAGTCATTTAAAGATACACGTACATAAATGTGCATACATTAATACAGTACCTGCATTAATAAGACGGTTCTTCTCATTTGTAAGAACCGGCAGCGATGCAGTTTAGCTCTTGTCCATCTTTGAATTACAATAATCTTATTCAGGACCTTCTCCTCCAGGAGGTCCTGCAATGTATGCTTCTGTCTATCCCTCATGAACACCTTCAGAAAATGATAATAATAATAATAATAATAATAATAATAATAATAATAATAATAATAATAATAGTTCTTAATTAATACACAATGTACATATACATGTTCTTATGTTGTGTAGAAAGTTTGAGCTGATTCCGATCAAATTTGGATTTTTTTACGAATTTTTATAAGTTGCTCCAAAATTAGGTAAAAGTCCCTGTACTATAGTACATGGTCTCGGGCCAAATTTTGCCAAAAATGAAAAGTAGAGAATTCTCAATTTTTATAACATTCCCTGATGCATATACATGTTCTTATGTTGTGTAGAAAGTTTGAACTAATTCCGATCAAATTTGGATTTTTTACAAATTTTTAAAGTTGCTCCAAAATTAGGTAAAAGTCCCTGTACTATAGTACATGGTCTCGGGCCAAATTTTGCCAAAAATGAAAAGTAGAGAATTCTCAATTTTTATAACATTCCCTGATGCATATACATGTTCTTATGTTGTGTAGAAAGTTTGAACTAATTCCGATCAAATTTGGATTTTTTTACGAATTTTTAAAGTTGCTCCAAAATTAGGTAAAAGTCCCTGTACTATAGTACATGGTCTCGGGCCAAATTTTGCCAAAAATGAAAAGTAGAGAATTCTCAATTTTTATAACATTCCCTGATACATATACATGTTCTTATGTTGTGTAGAAAGTTTGAACTAATTCCGATCAAATTTGGATTTTTTTACGAATTTTTAAAGTTGCTCCAAAATTAGGTAAAAGTCCCTGTACTATAGTACATGGTCTCGGGCCAAATTTTGCCAAAAATGAAAAGTAGAGAATTCTCAATTTTTATAACATTCCCTGATACATATACATGTTCTTATGTTTACTTTTGTATTTCCAATTTGAACGTCATTGTTTGAAAAGCCCAGAGTCTCAAGGAATCCTCTAATCTGATTGGCCAGGTCCTTATCCTTCCGTCCAATAAGAAACTGGTATTTTTCATAAAAGTCTTCAAAGGTCATTCTAACGGAGAACCCTGCCTTCCTTATCCTAATGGTCTCCATCATACCAGTGTATCGCAACTGTCGGGTCACTAGCTCAGAATCAAACTGTCTTGAAGCCTATTAATAATAATTAATTAATAATCAATAAATTCATTAATTAATCTATAGTACCTTTACTCCATTTGATTTGATACACCTGATAAAGTAAGGGTGTGTCCTCTCCAGCTGCTCCATGAGGTAGACTAGTGATGTGTGGAACTCAGCACTCACTGTCTTAGTTTGACCACGCCTACTTGAGCCAGTCCCGGCCAGCTGCTGTAACTTACCACCTGATGTACGACTGGAATCAATTTTCTAATAAAATTAATAAATAATAAAATATATTTTAATTAAAATCCCTTACCACTCTAGGGGCTGATCTATATATCTTATCTTTACTGCTGACTCCACCCCCAGCCCCTCCCATCATTAGCCCGCCAGTAGCCATTAGCAGGCCCAGGTCCTCTCTCTCGTTCTTTCCCTCCATCTTGGCTCTGAGGGAGTGATGCCATTTCTTTTTGAACAGGTGAGCAATGGAGGGGTGTCTCTCAGCTGAGGAGTGAGGGGCTGACAGCTGATGGAGTGAAACACTGTCTGTATCATCTTAAAATGAAGGACAATAATGATAATGATAATGATGTACCTAAGCTACATGTACACACGTACCTTTACCAGCTGGTTCTTGTACAGCTGAGAGTCTCTGCCCCACACTCTTTAGTTTAATATTACCAGTTCCCTTATCGTCAGTAGACACACCCCCTAGCACATTACTAGCTGACAGTACTCTCTGCATTGCTGAGCTAGTAAAATGGAGGGAGACACAGACTGATCTACCTGCTACTGGTTACTGTACCTCTTGGTTTCATGACTTGGACTCACTGGAGGAGAGGAGACTGGTCTCTTCTTCCTACTGTAGGACTAATAGAAAATAATAATAATAATTATTATTATATTATCAATCTCTCTCTCTCTCTCACTGTGGCTAAGTTATAATCCTCCTCCTCTTGTTGTCTCCTCCTCCTCCTCCTCCCACTCCAGATGAACCTCACTGCTCCCAGTACAGTAGCAGTTGCTAGTCTCCACCGATGGGCAGCATAAGAATGAAGACCGATCAGGGACCGGACAAGGTTCATACGACTCGTCTTAAGGACCTCAACAACATCCTGACGCATGAGGTCACGGTTCTTCTCTCTGAAACCCTAAAATAACAACAACAACAACAACAACAATAATAATAATAATAATAATAATAATAATAATAATGATGATGATGATGATAACAATAATAATAATAATAATAATAATGATGATGATGATGATAATAATAATGATGATTTACTTGTATAGAGTAGGTGACAGGGCTTGCATAGTGACTGATGGTGAAGACTGGTTCCTTCCTCTTCAACTGGGGGGAGGAGTAGTGGGTGGAGCTTCCTTTATGCTGCCTCTCAAACTTTCCAAAAAGTGACAGATCATCAGCACCTGGAAAACTAAAGGGCCAATAGATACATGTACATGTACATTTGTAATAATATCGGTATCATTCAAGTACCTGCACTCCTCGTCCAGGAGTGGGAGGAGTCCAGTTGGTTTCTTAGAAATGAGATCAATGCAGTCACTGTTGTCCTCAAAACGAACACTCCTCCACTCAATACCCTCGGACTGGTACTCAACCTAACAACAGCAACAACAACAACAATAACAATCATAATAATGACAATGATAATAATTCTGCACCTGTTCCAGTTTGAAAATGTGCTTATTAAAGTACTGCTGGAGCTGTTCATTTGCATAATTGATACAAAACTGCTCGAATGAGTTCTTTGGGAAGACCTCAAATCCAAATATATCAAGAACCCCAATGGTATTCCCTTTATGAGGACCTTTAGCAAACTGACCCACCAGAGCTCCGTTCACCTAATCAAGGGACGGTATATTATTATTATTATTTATAAATTTAAAAGGATTTAAATTCAAACACAGACCAGGTGTATAGCAATGTAGCACTAGTAATAAACACAGCTGGTGTTATCCCTCCCTCCTCTCCTTACCTTATCAACTATCCAGTCAAAGAGAGCTCCATATAAAGCTTTAGCCATTGCATCACAGGTAGCCATAGCCTAAGTCAATTAATAACTATCAATTAACTAGAATAACCACACCCACCTCATCAAGTTTATAGTGCGTCACAAAGGTGTCCATTCCACCTGCTTTTGATTTACGAGTGACGAGTGCCTCAAGGAGAATGTCCTGATCAACTTGAAGGAGAGTTGATATGACCTGAGCCGTCTTAAGATTGGACACCTGAACCTTCTCACCTCCACTGATCTATAAATAATGTAATTAGACCACACCCACCCACTTTATTAATTACCTTTTCAAATTTAATGTTCCCGATGTGTAGAATAGCAGAGAGGACAGTAAACATACTAAACAATAAACAATATATTAACAACAAGTTTAAATAAACAACTACATGTATAATTACATGTATGTACTGTACCTGTCTTGTATTTCTCCAGTAAACTTCAACATTCTCAATGATTCTTTCAGTCGATGGAATTCAGCTGCTTCGTCTCCCCCTCCCTCCAATTCATTGGTCCCTGAGGACTGGAGGTAGCGGTACTCATCGAGAGACAGTAAGTGAAGTTTAGTTTTAAGGTTGGTATCAGCTCCAGATAACAGGTAATAAAATACGTGATAATTCCTTAATAATAAATAAATACATAAATAAATAAAATAATGGTAAACCTTTCTCCTGGTGCCTGGCTAATTATCCTGCTCTTCTCAAGAAGATACTTCTCAATAGAAGCACTGAAAGAGAGAGGGAGAGAGGAAAGAGGGAGAGTGGAAAGAGGGAGAGTGGAAAGAGGGAGAGAGGAGAGAGGGAGAGAGGAAAGAGGGATAAGTATATGTACATCAATACTGAACATATCACAAATAGCACATCTACATGTACTTATGTCCTGCCTATCAAAATTGCATTTTTTATAAATTTTTAAAGCTACTCAAAAATCAGGCCAAAGTCCCTGTACTACAGTACATGTCCACACTCACCCAAAGTAAGCTCCATTCTCCTTGAACTTGACTAGTATAAATTTGCCAAATCTTGAGCTGTTGTTATTAGCAATCGTCTTTGCGTTGCCAAAAGCCTGGACATGAAGATAAACAAGGAAGATATGATCCAATTAATAATAATAAATAATAATAACAAATCAATAATAATAATAATGACAATAATAAACTACATGTACATGTACATGTACATTAATGTGTATAATACTGTAAGTACAGTATATGATCCAGCTACATGCAGTCTTATCTGCTTATAACTAATTAACTATCAAACTTCCTCCTGATAATAGCAGCTGTTTGGCTGTCAACAGATGCATACATGTACACATGTACTATGAAGACTGGCTAATGATTCCACTAGCTAGTGAAGAAATCACCTACACGTACATGTATACAGCTGTGCATAAAATCCACCATCTTGTTGCAAAACTCAATGACAGCTGGTACAAATCAAAAGAAAATATACAACAGTGGTATGTAATGTACATAGAGCTACATGTGTACAGAGAGTACATGTACATGTACATCTGTTGTACATGTACATGTACATACAATAGATTGTACGTTACAGGAAAAGCTGCTAATAGGTGAAGCTACTGTAATGATAACTTACAGTAGACTCTCTCTCACTGCCACCATTTAACAAATAGAGAACAAACACAGCATGAACTGTACCAATGCTATACAAGGAATCATTAGAATGTGTACATGTACATGTACAGTATACATGTACATGTATGTAAGGTGGGTAGTAGATATTAGATAATGAATTGGATTTGATAAAAAAGGAAATGGATGTACTCACATCAAACATACTGCACATGTACATTAACAAGAAAGTCAAAATAATATTAGCAATAAATATAATAATAATAATAATAATAATAATAATAATAATAATAATAATAATAATAATAATAATAATAATAATAATAATAATGAGGCTAATAGTAATAGCAGGTGTAGATGTCATGCAGGTTGTGTCATAAGAAATTTAAAAAATGCCAGAGGGACAAGTGTACACAATGTCTCTGTACACAAACATACACAAACAGTACAGACTAGCAGCTGCTAGTGTTGGCATTAACCACCCAATATAAACTGATGAATTTATGAGGCAATAAAAGAATGTGAACTAAGAATAATGATGATGATGATGATGATGATAATAATGGAAAGTGGACATTGTACATGTATATAAAAAATAAAACAAGACTATACCATCTTTTAAAATAAACACAACAAAGGGATGAAAGTACAGGTACATGTACAGCTGGTAATTAGTGCAACCATCACCTACCTCTAGCACAGGACCAGTGCCGAGTGTGATGAGATCCAGGGAAGAGGTTTCCTCATATTTAGCAGACAACTGCATTAACTGGTGCAAGAGGAACTTTGTCGATTCAGTCTTCCCTGCTCCACTCTCCCCGCTAATAATGACAGCCTGATCAGTCTTATCAGCTAACATGGAAGAGTAGGAGTCGTCAGCAATGGCGAATATGTGAGGAGGGAGTTCCCCGAGGTGCTTCCCCTGGTAGAGGGAGCAGTACTTAGGATTATATATAGAATAGAAGTAATACGGGTTGATGGCTATCAGGATTGAACCAACGTAAGTATAGATACGGTTAGAATCAAAACGAGACTTTAAAATCGAGAGCATTAGGTCTTCAGTGAGATCCTCCAGTTTACACAAGTCATCAATTTCAGCCAACGCCTCCAAACTATCGCTTAACGTGAGACCCGACAGAGACTCAGTGAAAGAACTCAAGAGGCTTGATGAGGCACTGGCACGTTTACGAACATGTAGGGTCTTTGCCACGCCTACTTTGACGTCTGTTTCCATGGCAACTAGGGGATAGTCCGAAGGAGAGAAGGCATGAGTGATGTCACCGTTCTTATCGAGACAGACGAGGCAGAAGAGGGAGGAGTCTTCATAAACCTGGAGCCGATCAAGTGAAATCCTAATGATGTCATCAGAGCTCGTGGTACGACTAGCTATTATTGATAAGGGGGAGGAGTTAGGGGTGTGGCTTGACTGTACGTCTTTAGTAATTACAGTAAGTGAAAGTGTGTCTCTAGGAGCCGCCATCTTGAGAGAAAGAGAGAGGGAAAATATTTGATTATTGATTACAAATTATCTGTTTTTACACCAAACAAAATACAACTGAAATTAAAGTGTAAACACAAGTATACATGTTACATGGCTACATATTCCATACCAATACAACAGTTAATAATAATACCAATACGACAATATGATGGACTGTAGACCAGGTTAGTAAACTGACTTATTTAAGAGCTTTTCCTTCTTTTATTCTCTTCTTTCTTTCTCTGATAGAGTATAACCATTCCTCATGTTATGACTGCCCACTGGTTAATTTACTAGTTATTAACTCATTATTATGCAAGATAACCCGTGCACCTACGGAAACTATACGCTTCACTGATCCGTATAATTGCAGAGTCAAAAAGCTCCATTATTTAAAAAAAATCCGACCTAAGCTTTCAGAGAGGAACAATACTGTTCCTTTACGTTGATTTCTCTTTATTCCTGACACCACAGACCTCCTGTCAATGCTATTCAGCTATAGCTATACACATAGCAGCCCCGCCCACCTCATTAGCATTACTGTGGCTGTACAAGTACAATAGCCTTTATGGGGGCGTGGTCACAGCTCCACTGAGTGAGGGTGTGGTTATAACTCCACTAGCCCCACCTACTTTTTAATTAATTAATTTATTTTTTTTTATTGTTTTATTTTTTTTTAATTATTCAAAATTTTAAACCATTGGCTCATTTTACTACTATTCATCCCATTACATGTAATAACAGAAAACATGCAATCAATCCTTACCAGGGTCCAGTCCAGAACAGTCAGCCGGACCTACTACTAGAGGGGGGGGTGGAGGGAGAGAGCAGAATATGTGGATTATATTGTACATGCATAAAATACATTATAAAAATGCATAATTATACATTAATAACTCTCATACTACCTCACACTCAACCAACTTTAATCTTGATCCTGAGTCCAGTCCAGAACAGTCAGACCTACTAGAGGTGGGGGGGGGGTAGGAGGAACATGTGTGGATTATATTGTACATGCCTAATTATACCTGATAAACATGCGTAATTATACATTCATAACTCTCACTCT